ATCATTTGCTCATTTTCCCAAGAAATCTTTGTATAAAGTATTAAGGACTGAGATCCCTGAAATAAGCTTGTAGGGAACCCTAGGTTTATTTTTAAAAAAGGCCTGGAGCTGTCTTGACCTAAGGAAGAAATGCTTAACTTACTGATGTGAGGTCCAAAAGACCCTGGAGACAAATTCCTACCCTTAAAAAATTAAGGGTTTTTTTTTTTTTTTTCTATGCCTGTGCTACCTTCCAAGTGATGACAAACTAAAAATGAATGGCACTGTTCTATTTATTGATTGGGTCAGACACTAAGCTACTCTAACGCCGCTCTGCTGGCCTGCTTCCCAGCCACACGGCACATTACCTGCCATCTTAGTCTCACTCTGGCACCTCCTTGTTCGTGTAGCCTCATGGCAACGTTGCCTCATGGTGACTCCCTGTCCCCAGCTGAGACCCCCCTCTACCTCTCTGGATCCCAAAGTCCTGCCTTATCCTCTCCTGCCTAGCTATTGGCTGTTCAGCTTTTTATCAACCAATGGGGGCGGGGGGGGGAATGGAAACCAATTTTCACACAACATTGAGACAGGAGATGCTTCATAATAGTGACAATTCCGACACTAACCAGATCTCTGGGGACAGAAATCGGCGTTTGTATAATGTGCACAAAAGAATCCTCCAATACTGTGCAGCCAACGTGCATGCCGGCCTCCAGGCTCTCTTGGCATCGTGAGCACCTGTTACAGAGCCCTGGCTGGCCTCCGGCTCGGCTCTCCCCACCCTGTGCGTCCTACCCTAAACTCCAGTTCGTGGGTTTCCCAGCTCTAGCTTTCCGTTTCCACGTAAGCCTACACTTTGAGCCGTGTTCCCTCTAGTTCCCCCCCTCTTGACTCTCTTGATCTTTCTACTCTTTGCTTCCTCTTTCCCTCTCTCTCCTCTCCTAACCTGGCTCAGTCTCCTGGTCAGGGTTAGTGTTCCACCTTCTCTTCCTGCTCTGGACTCTTCCGGACACCTCCGGCTGTGCTGTCCCTCAGATCCACAGCATAAACCCGCTCCTCAGCTAAACGACGGTGCAGTCGTGTCCTCATTTTATCTATCTGATGCTGAAACCTTGTAGAGACACAAACCCCTAAAGTATGTATGGATCACTTGTTTCTGCTGGCTTCTTCCATCCACATGACTCCAGATTCTATAGTCTGCACTTCAACTGCTTCTTCTTCTACCTGATCTAACCATTCATCTCCCTTCAGTCATGATCTTTGTCTACTGAAGTCTGCTGTGCCCTCCGGGGTGCCCTCCACCTGCATAGCTGTCTACTCACTTATTTCTCTCCCTCTACTGGAATCCTCTTTTTGCTCCAAAGCCTCTCTGTTGTAGAATAATTATTAATTCTAGAAGACTTTTCTATAACCCGTGTGGCTCTCAAATAACTGAGTCAGAGACCTATAGATTTATTCAACAAGCCCAATAACTGGCCAGGTACGATGTACATTCTTTCTAAGCTAGTCTACTTCCCAGCCACCTTCCACCTTCCCCATGTCACTTGCCAGTGTTTGTTTTGTCTGCGTTGGATCTGCTCCATCAGGCCACATGGTCTCTCTTCATCTTCCTCCTCCCTCTCCTCCCAAGGTAGGAGCCTTGTGGTTCCTACCTGAGACCCCAAGCCTGGGAACCAAAGCCCTGCCTGCCTCTCTTCTGCCCAGTTACAGGCTGTCCAACCTTTTTTTTATTACCAATCACAGACAACTGGGGAGCAAAGTTTACACGACACTATTTCGTACACATAAGAATGCATTTGTTTGGGGGCTGGAACTTAGCATCTGAATACACAGACAGCAGACCAACCCCCAACAGCTCTCGAGGTCCGCCTCTTAGCTGCCACCTCCTCTCCTGGGTGTCACCCTGGAGCGTCCTACTTTGTCTACTGTTACTATAGATGCCGCACTGGTGTGCCAGAGGGACTCTTCTGGGTCATCACATGGAAAGACATGCAGGCAGCTCATCAGTTCCTACTACTCTCTAATTGGTTTTGGTTCTTAAAATATTGAAATAACAAAAGTGACAATGGAACAATTGTCCTCCACGATCAAGTAGCCACACTCAGTCACCAGCTTTGCCAATCTAGACTCTTTGTCAACTTTGGTTTTTTTGAGACCAGTTTCTGTGTAGCTCTGGATGTCCTGGAACTCTGTAGACCAGGCTAGCCTTGAACCCGGAGATCTGCCTGCTTCTGCCTTCTGAGTGCTGGGATTAGCTGTGTGACACTATGCCTGGTTTTGTCAACTCCATTCCTTTTGATGAATCTTTCCCCTTTTCATTTTAGACATAGTCCTGCTATGTGGCCCAGACTAGGGTTCAATGAAAACCATTTTCTGGACCCATTATTCCACTAGAATCTAGAAAATGATGATTCTCCCCACCCCTCAATTCTATTTTTTCTTTTTTCTGCCTTTACTGGTTAAATTTGCTTAAGGAAAACAAACAAACAAACAAAAAAACACTTGAATTTGATGAACACTTGCGGACTCTTAAAAGTAGTTTGCATTTTTATTTCATCTGCTAATTTAGAATGACGTGAACCAGGCACGGTGGCGCTTGCTTTCATCTCAGCGCTTGGAGGTGTAGAGGCAGACAGATCTCTGTGAGTTCTAGGCCAGCCTGAACTCTATAGAGTTCCAAGTCAGCCAGGGCAGCATGGTAAGACCCCGTCTCAAAATACAAGTAAGTAAATACACACATTTATAAGTAAATGAGTCGGTGGCCTCCACTCACCTATCGTTGACTGCACTGCGCAGCCATAACCCTGAAATCACCAAAGCACCAGCAGGGCCCCGTCAAAAGAGCCAGCGTGACACACAGACTGAAAATACAGCCATCTGTGGAGCACATTTGAACACGCCTGTAATCCCAGCACTCAGGGAAGCGGAGGCAGGCAGATCTCTGTGAGCTCCAAAACAGCCTCGTCTACAGAGTGAGTCCAGGACAGCCAAGGCTATACAGAGAAACCCTATCTCAAAGAAAACAGAAACGTGAAATCTGAGCATGTGTGCTGATACATTTTTATGCTACCTTATTAGGGTTCTCACACGCACCAAGCTTCTCCACCCAATCCCTTCCGATACCCAAACATCCGGTAGGAGTGACAGAAGGTTAGTGGGGAAAGAGGTCACAGACCTCTATAAACTACTTCCAGCTGATTAGGGGCATTGAGTTCCTTGGGACAAGCCCAACATGTCTCCAAATTCTTGTCCCTTTTCTCACTTGAAAGCCCAGCAACAGCAGGAGCAGGAACAAGCCTGAGGAAAGCCAGGACTCCCCTCTTTGGACTCTGGTCTTTTTACACCCTCCCTAGAGTCCCCAGAAGTAACTCTCTTCAGCTGGCAGAATCGCACCCCTGTCAGAGCCTGAACGAGGCCAACAGTCAGCTGCTGTGGGCAATCTGAAGCACCTCATACCCCACACTTGGGATTAAAACAAAAACATGTTTACATAACATAACTGGGTTTTTTAAGACACCAAAATTCTCACATTTGTTGACTGTAAAACCTTTTCTTTCTTTTTGTGTGGGCATGTTATTCATTTGCACATATCTGTGTTTGTATGTATGAGGGCACTTGTGTAGGTGAACACGCACATAGATGGTTATCTCAGGAACCATCTTCCGTCACTCTTCCACCGTGTGCGCTGGGACAGGGCCCCTCAATCCAACCCAGAGCCAGCCAACTTGCTTTGGATATCCAATCTCTATCTCCACAGGCTGGAATTACCAGTGAGCGCCCCCATCTACCTGGCATTTAACTGGGGTCCTGGGGATCCAAATTTGGGACCTCATACTTATATAGCAATCACTTAACCTCTGGGCCACCTCCCAGCCCCTGTCTTCAATCTGCCTTCGAATGAAAACAAAATCCCCAAGCGGCTACGTTGTCTTTAATGCCATCCTTGAGACTGAATTTAGTCAGAGAAAGGACTCTAGATGATCTGGTTTTTGTTTTAAATTTGAAGAAGTCATTTTCTCTGATTCTTTAAGTTTTAACAACTCACATTCATGAAATTCGATCTCATTCAATCATGAATTTTTGCTCAAGTGACAAAAATCTCCCACTTACTCTAATCTAGATCTCACCTAGGCAAAATTACATTGGGGGTTTTAAACGCAGAGACGTGAAAGGAGGAGGTTCTACGTTTACTGCTTCTGTAGGACCATCTTCCTCTCATACAAACTGACAACCCTGGTGGTAACACTCACAGGTACTATTGATAGGGCCGTGCCTGCTATCTGCTAGTGTTAACTACTTCACTCTTAAACCGCCTCCATCATGCAGTACCCTGGCTCTAACCGGCCCTCGCTCACTGGCCCCTGTCTTGTGGAATTTCAACTTCATGCACTCTTGAGTGTAAGCTGGTCTGGTAACTTATTTTTAACAGGAGGAGGTGGTAAAATGACGGATGTTCCTTCTGTGATTAGATTGCACAGACCACAGCTGCAGACTTGCGAGGTGGCTTCCATCCTGCTGGCAACTACCTTTCCGGGCTTCCATAATCCCATCAGAACAGCAGCCGCAGTGGGCTGGCCAGTGTGGCCAGGAACCTCACTCATCTTCCAGCGATGGCCGTCCAGAAACTGGGCGTCTCAATGGATCTGGACCGGCTCCTAAAGAAGTGAATTCAGGTGTCTAACCTGTCACCTCCGATGTGACTCCTTCTCGAGTTAATCCTTCAGAAGAGATCAGTCTTAGCTGAAACCTCAAAGGCATGCCTGGACTCCTGATCTATAGAAAAGTTTGGCTAATAGATGCGTATCACTTACACGATCATTTTTCTATTAATTTGTTACAGAACAACAGCGTAAGTGCTATTATCACCATCTTGACGGCGACCTTTAGTGTCCTGTCCGGTACCGCGACGGGAAGGGAGCAGTTGGAGCCACGGAAGCAGGTGAGTCTCCGCGGCCCTCAGGCTGTTCTTCCGCAGGGGTCTGCGGGCGCCCCAACCGCGGAGTGCAGGAGGCCCCAGCGCAGCGGTCTTCTCAGCCTGAAGCAGGCGGTCCCTGAAGCCGGCGACGGCCGGCCTGCCGGGCCGCGGGCGGCTAGGCGGCGCTGTGGGTCCTGTGGTGCTGGGTGAGGTGGGAGTGCTGGCGGAAGGCCCGGCCGCAGCGCGCGCAGCGGTACGGCTTCTCCCCGGTGTGCACCCTCCGGTGCTGGGCGAGGAACGAGGGCAGGCGGAAGGCCTTGCCGCAGTCGGCGCAGCGGTGCGGCTTCTCGCCCGTGTGCACGCTGCGGTGCTGCGCGAGCTGCGCGGGCAGGCGGAAGGCCTTGCCGCAGTCGGCGCAGGCGTGGGGCTTCTCGCCCGTGTGCACGCTGCGGTGCTGCGCGAGCTGCGCGGGCAGGCGGAAGGCCTTGCCGCAGTCGGCGCAGGCGTGGGGCCGCCGGCCGCCGTGCACGCTGCGGTGGGCGGCGAGCTGCGAGGGGCTGCCGAAGGCCTGCCGGCACTCCGGGCAGGCGTGGGGCCTCTGGCGGGCGTGGACGCTCCGGTGGCGCAGCAGCTGCTGGCGCAGGCGGAAGGCCCTCCCGCAGTCGGCGCAGGCGTGCGGCCTCTCGCCGCTGTGCACGCTCCGGTGCGCGGCCAGCTGCTGGCGCGCGCGGAAGGCCTTGCCGCAGGCGGCGCACGCGTGGGGCCTGGCGCCCGGGTGGCTCTCCCGGTGGACGCGCAGGTCGGGGCCGCAGTCCGCGCAGCGGGGCGGCCTGCCGGGGGCGTGCAGCCGCCGGTGCCGGGCGAGGTGCGTGCCCTGGCGGAAGGCCCGGCCGCAGGCGGCGCAGGCGTACGGCCTCTCCCCGGTGTGGACCCGCTGGTGGCGGGCCAGCTGCTGGTGCACCCGGAAGGCCCGGCCGCAGGCCGCGCAGGCGTACGGCTTCTCCCCGGTGTGCAGCCGGCGGTGCTGCGCCAGCTCCTGGGGCACGGCGAAGGCCTTGCCGCAGTCGGCGCACGCGTGCGGCCTCTCCCCGGTGTGCAGCCGCCGGTGGCGGAGCAGGTGCGCGCGCTGCCGGAAGGGCTGCCCGCAGTCCCGGCAGCGGTACGGCTTCTCGCCCGTGTGCACCCTCACGTGCTGGCTGAGCGTCGAGCGGCGCACGAAGGTCCTGCCGCAGTCCGCGCACGCGTGCGCCCTCTCCCCGCCCCCCGCCCTCCGACACCCGGACAGGAGGCCGCGCTCTGCCAGCGGGGCCTGCTCGGGGGTCGTTTCCAACTGCGCGAAGCCGCCCTCCCGCGGCTGCCCCTGCCGCTCAGTCCCGCTCTTACAGTCCCAGTCGCGTCCCAGGCCAGAAGCCTGCGGGGTGAGGCCTTTCATTTTCTCCACCAACTCCCACTTCAATGAACGTACTTCGTAAACGTCCCGGTCTGAGGACGAGGATGTCTTGAATCGGGACTCCAAACCTGAAATAAAAACAAAACAAGAAACACACTGCTTCCTGAGGACCTGAGGCAACAGGCGGTGGGCTGTGCCTCCTGGAAACAGGCGTTTCTGGAAAAACACTACCCACGTGTACCCCAAGACCTATCTCCTATACAGAATCCTCCACCCGACATAAATAGGTTCATGGGGAAGACAGCAAGAGTCGACACGCCGCTGCATACAGCACAGGCTCTCTGGGGAGTGTAGTGTGCACTGCTTTTCTCAGCTGCCAGGGAGGTGGAGGGAAAGGGCCGCGTGTCCCTGAGAGCCAGAAGCCAGCCCGGGCAGGGAGCCCATCTCAGAGGTAAAGACCAGAATAGGTGTGGTGGCGCTTGGCTGGAATGCCAGCAGGGAGGTGGAAGCGAGACGATTACAAAAGGTCCTCCTTGGACACACAGTGCAGGTCCAGCCTTGGGCATGTGAGACCTTGTCTCCAAAAGAGAAAGCTGTAGCCGGGCATGGTGGTGCATTTAATCCCAGCACTCGGGAGACAAAGGCAGGCGGATCTCTGTGACCTCTGGGCCAGCCAGGGCTATATAGTGAGGCCCTGTCTTAAAAAGGGAAGGGAGAAGGGGAGGAGTACGGAGGGAGGGGGAAGGAGAGAGGGGAGGGGGAGAGGAGTCAGTGAAATGCTCATTCTGAGACCTGCAGACCTGAGCTCGCATCCCCGGCACCCATGTGAGAAGCCTGGGTGGCAGCAGGCTCCTGCCCTCCAGCACAGGCAGGCGAGACAGAGGATTAGCTGGTGACTCAGTCTAGCCAGGAAGTGAGTTCCACGTTCAGGGTGAGGCTGTGACTCAAAAATGAAGGGAAGAGGCCACTGAGGAAGGTCCCACACCTCATCTCGCCCTCCACGTGCACACCCTCCCAAAGGAACACTCTCCTCAGCGCGCACACACACACACACACACACACACACACACCCCAGAACAAACCTTCAGATGGGACCCACTCCGGTGGATGAAATGCAGCCTCTTAGTGAGGCTCCTGCCTCTATCCTCCTGCCTCCACCAGGCTCCAGGCACCCAGCGCCATGCCCAGCTCACTAAGAGGCGGGTTTGTTTGGTTTAGGTAAGGATGTTGAATTTTGTCATGCTGTATCTTTACACTGATAGAGGTAACGATATAGTGTCTCTTGTTTGTTGTTTAATACGGTGAAGGGATACAATCAGCTTTTCAGTGTTATACACTAAGCTTCATTACTTAAGCAGGGATGAGGTCCATTTGAGCATCATTTTAAAATATTTTGTAGGTTTGACTTACCAGTATTGCATTAAGAAATTTATACCTGTATACACAAATAATAGGGGTTTGTAATTTCTTTTAGTACATGTCAATTATGACATGTGAGTTACACAGACCTAATAAAGTAAGTTAAGAGGTATACTTTTATTTTCTAGAGAAATCCATAAAATAATGCTATTTTCCCTTTAAATTTCTAATAGAATTTCACCTAAATTTCTGAGCATGGCATTTTCTTTCCAAAAGATTTTTTATAATATTTTCCATACTTTAATAGACATACTTTTTGTTGTTTGTGTTGTTGGGTTTGTTTGTTTTGTTTTCTTTGCTGTTTTTCAAGACAGGGGTTCTCTGTGTAGCCCTGACTGTCCTGGAACTCACTTTGTAAGCTAGGCTGGCCTCAAACTCACAGAGACCCACCTGCCTCTGCCTCCCGAGTGCTGGGATCACAGGTGTTCGCCAGCACCACCCAGCTATAAATTATTTAATCTTACGTTTTCAAGGCATTTCACCATCTCACCTAAGATGTCAAATTTACCAATGTAAAATTATTCAAGGATTCTTTTCACAGCCCCAGATGAGAGGGAAATCCTTTATGTTATTCTTGGTAGTAATTTATGTTCTTTTTCTCAATTAGTTCAACTAGGTGCTCACGAGCTTTGTTCAAGTTTTCAGTGACATTTATTTCAATTTTGGCTTTGTCTCTTAATCTCCTTTCTCATTCTATTTTGCTGATTTCCGTTCCTGTATTTACTAGCATTTTCCCTACTACTGATAATGGCTCCCTGCGAAGTAGGAAGGAAAAATGGAAGTCGAGAAAAAAGGCAACCGAGCTCAACAAAAAGCAGTGTTGCTACTTCAGGCTTAGAAGATGGGAATTAGGACCAGAGAAAGGCTCGGCGGGGAGCCAGTGCTGGCCACGCAGTCTGCCAAGCTGAGTTCACTCTCAGGACCCAGGGAAAGATGAAGGAGACAGCCCCTGAGCGGCAGCGGTCCTCTGCCTCCAGGCTTGCTCTCCACCCCACTTTCACAGACACAGTTACATGTGTATGTCTAATCTAAATTTGCTTCAGGTCTCAAATCACCCTTGAGGCTTTGGAAGAGAGATCCCCAGCAATTCTCGGCAAGGTCCCCAGCTCACTGAGCCGAGCAACTATGGTTGCCCCAGCCGCCACGCCAGCTCACCCCCACCTACCAGGACAGTGTCTTCTCCCTTCTACGGCCACCTCAGGCTCCTTCCCTCCTTCACCCAGTAAGGCAATCATCTCTCTCTCAGAAATGGAAGGTCCTGCTTAAAAGAAAAATGTCACATTGAATTACAGACACAAACATCTGTTCTTTCAGACTCCATTAAATGTTTAATTAGTTATTAGTCAAAATGGTGTTTTGTTTTGAGACAGGGTCTCGGTATCTCCAGTGGCCAACCCCGTCTCAGCCTCTAGAGTACAGAGCTCGCCACCATGCCTGTGTTCATTAGCCAAAGTGTTAAAATTAACACTACCGGGCTCCAGAACAACCATTTTAGGGAAACCTCCAGAATGAACACCAGATGGCTAAGAACAGGCTTCATGTAATTTAGTCTGGCTCCGGGGAGAGGCCGCACTGTGAGATGTGTCTGGACAAACTGCTTCCCATCCTGCCTGTTTACTAGGTGCCCCCAGGAAATGTGTGTGTGTGTGTGTGTGTGTGTGTGTGTGTGGACACACACGTGGTCAGAGAACTCAGCTTGCCACTGTTGGAAACAGGCTGTTCGTTGTCTACTGCTGAGGTCATCGGGCCTACGTGCTTCCGGGCTATGCTGTTTCTGCCTCCTGCCTGACCACAGGAGCGCTGGGGCTCTGCCTGGACTACTGCTCTGAAGTCACCTGCTCCAGGGGACTTGGTTTCCGGTCCTCTCGTCTGCATAAGTGCTCTCCAAGAGCTCTCACTGAGGTGAGGGCGGGAGCAGCATCTCACAGAGCAGCTGCGACAGTTAACTGTATAACAGTGTCTAAGCGCGAAGCCCACAGGACACACATGCTTTAGCTATGACTCTTACTCCGCTCCCTGGGCCGAGAGGGGAAGAAGCCTCTGGAAGCAGCCAGAGCCTTTCTAGCAGATCTATCCGCTGTAAAATACAGATACTCATTTTCAGCTATTTTTGTGGCATTGGACCCTGGATCTCACGCATGCTAAGCAAGTGCTCTAACACTGAGCTCCAGCCCCAGCCCAGATTCTAACTTTCAAACGTGAAGTGGGAAGGACTGCACAGGGCTGCTTCCCGGGGCAGAACGAGTTTCCTCGAGTTTGAAGTTTGCACCCTCCATATGCATTGCCTTTGAAATTAGAAAGAAGTGGGGAGTGTTTACATCAATTCTGGACTCCAACATGGCACGGAGTCTACCTTCTCAGAAAATTAGATGTTAAATGGCAGGACCCCCTTCTACTCTACCAGGCAGAAAGGAAAAGGGTTTAACAGGAGGGGGTAGACGCTCACCCAGCGAGAGGAGATTGCTGTAGGTCTCCCACATCACGTCCCTGTACAGGCTCTTCTGGGCAGGGTCCAGGAACTCCCACTCTTCCTGTGAGAAATCTACAGCCACATCCCTGAACGTCACCGCCATCTAGGAAACAAACTCGTGCAGTGCCTTTGGAGGAGCGGAGGAAAGGAGGCGCGCCCTGCCACGCCGTACGGTGGGAAGCCCACGGCGCGCGAACGGCATGGGGCTGAGCGCTACAGCAGGAAAATCAGGCTCTCGGGAGCACAGTGAGGCTGCGTCCCCACACAGTCCTGGGCGTGCGCAGAAAATTACACCCTAAAGGAAGCGGTCATTTCAGCTTTGTGCGTGTGTACTTGTGCGTCCATACACACACGTGTACACGCGGCAGTTCCTTCTGCCATGAGGGTCTCGGGGACTGAGGCGCCATCTTGCTGCCCACGGTTACACTTCTCACTCTTCCTGGAATGAGTACTTCAAAACCCACAACCGAGCCCAACTGTGCAGCAGTTATCCCATACCTTACTACATGCTCCCAGTAAGAACTGCACAGAAACATGACACTCGGTTTCACTGATCACGAAAACACACTGATAAAATTTTCTTCAAAAAAATTCATTGGCTGGGAGAGGTGGCGCACGCTGAAATTGTCGCTGCCTTCCACCCCAAAATAATGGTGACAGGGCAGGGTCAGAATGACAACAATGGACGTGTCATCTATGCTCAGCCTGAGGGAAGAAAGCCCACATCATTCCAGGTCACAGTCCACCCTGAGGAATGGGAGAACGAGGGCCTTCGGAGAAGGAAATGCGAGGGGCTCACACGAACATCCTGAAACCTATTAGGGTGTCTCCTGGGCTTTTTTTTTGCACTTTATCGTTTCTTTAGATGTTGGTACCCTCGCACTAAGTTTTTACAAGCTGGTGAACACCAACTAATTATTTCTCCCCAGAACTATAACCACACATTCCCGGACAGTACAAATACATGGTTGAACCAACATTAACACACATCACCACTTTATCGATTACATAATAAAACAAATGATCCAAGTATCCAATTATTAAGTTCCATAGCTCAAAAGGCAAATACAACATGTCTGCTCACTTCGTTAGCAGATCTCATTTTTTCTTTTTTGCAAGAGAGGTTGGGAAGAGAAGGAGAAAACCTTAATTTAGACAAGTAAGAAAACAACTTCTGGCAGGTATGGGAAAAAAACCAGGAATTTCAGAAATTTTGATTAATAATTGGCGCACTGCAAGAATGTTATCTCCACCTCTTAAAAAGATGTACTAAGGGCTGGAGAGGTGGCTCAGCAGTTAAGAGCACTGTCTGCTCTTTCAGAGGTCCTGAGTTCAGTTCCCAGCGACCACATGGTGGCTCACAACCATCTATAATAATATCTGGTGCCCTCTTCTGGCAGGTGTAAATGCAGGTAGAACACTCATATACAAAAAATAAATAAATAAATCTTAAAAATAAAAGATGTACTAAACTAAAGGGCATACTCTATATGCTGTGTATAAGACAAAGATGGAGCCTAACTTTCTGTCATACACATTAGCCAGCGCGTCGGCTTATGGAATAAGTCTACTGAAGCTTCTACAGGAATACTGAAAACCAGTTTTCCCAGGCCACAGCTTGACAGAATTGCAACCTCTAAATCTGGGTTATGATCAACCTGTTTGAACAATCAGCACAAGATTTTTGCTGGTCGGCATTTAAAATGTGCTGCTTATTTGTAGCAATTGGCCTTTCCTAAAATAAAGGTACTGAGTTGTCCTTGGCGGTACCCCTGGGCCAGAACGTCATTAGTGTTTGAGGCATTTTAGAAAGACTGGGCGCCAACATCCCAGCACAATACCTGTATACATTTACCGTCACATAGAAGCACAACTGCAGCAGCTGAGAACACTCTAGGCTTCCACGGCTTATTCCTCAGTCATTTCAAGCACTGCAGGGCTTCTCTGTGACCGGCCTGCTCATTCTAGGTTTACATCCGCACACTAATCCCGGCATACGTCAGCTTTGCTCAGCCATCTTTTTAATTTTTTTTTTTTTACCAAGTCCTGCACCGATTATTTAATGTCTTATTTTGTGCTATTTGGGGGAAACCTCCATTTGAAAATCAGCTCTGTTACAGAAGGACCTAGCTTCAATATCGTCTCCAGACAAAAACCTTATAGTTGAGCTGGAGAGATGGCTCAGAGGTTAAGAGCACTGGCTGCTCTTCTAAAGGGCCCAGCAACTACGTGGTGGCTCACAACCATCTAGAATGATATCTAGTGCCCTCTCCTGCTGTACATGCAGGCAGACCACTGTAATCATAAGTAAGTAAATCTAAAAAAAGAAGGAAGAAAAAGCCTTAGTTAATCTAATGTCTGCACTCCGAGGTGCAGCTCAGCAGGGAGGGCCTGCAAAAAGAATGAGAGGGGGCTGTTAAGTGTTTTTAGTAATGATCTGTGGTGCTGTAAAGTAAAGACGGTGTCTACATCTGGATACCTGCACGGCAAGTGACTCAAGGGGACGCCCGAAGTGCTAGTATTATCCTTTCTTGATTTGGAAGTAACGAGGGGCTCAGTTTAGGAAAATTCTTTCAGCTGTACACTTCCAATCCGCACATAAGTGAGATGGTTTAAGAGCCGTTCCGGGGGTTAGAAAGAGTGCCCGGGCAGGAAGGGGCTTGCCGCAGGAGCGTGGGCACCCAGTCTGTGCCCCTCGCTGTAAGCCCGTCACTGGGGTGCGGACAAGAAGGGCTCCTGGGGCTTGCTGGCAGCCAGTCTAGCTGGATGGGGAACTCCATGTCCAGGGATACTCTGCCTCAAAAACACGGTGGAAACCCAACTGGAGGGAGAACCTGGCGTCAGCCTCCGGCTTCGACACACGTGTGCACACACAGGTACACAGATCAACACATTTACAAAATGATGATGAGGCCGGGCGTGCTGGTGCGCCCCTGTAGTCTCAGTACTCCGGGAGGCAGAGGCAGGAGGATCTCTGTGAGTTCAAGGCCAGCCTGGGGTGAAGGAGAACTCTGACCTACCTGGGCCAGGGCCATTGTGTCAGGACTGCAGGAACTGGTCAGCTCTTTTCAATATTTCTCCATGGAAAACTGTAGGGTCCAGACAAACAAAGCTGGAATAAAAAGAGCTGTAAATCCAGATGTGCCCAGATGTTCCCAAACTAATTTAGGTAGTAAGAGCAGGGTTGTTTTGTTTTGTTTTGTTTTTTCCATCATTCCTACTTGTAAATCATCCCTCATTATAGACTTACACCTGACTCTAAACCCGCCCCAAACCAGAGATTTCCACAGAAAGCTCGGAGGAAATCCAGCAGCATGTTCTGGTCTCCTGCTCTTGCGGAGGACTCAGGTTCAGTTCCCAGCACCTACACAGTGGCTCACAACCATCTGTGGCTCCAGTCCCAGAAGACCCCACACCTTCCTTAGGCAGCAGGCATAGATGTGGTACAGGCAAAACACTCGTACACATTAAATAAATTAAAAAAAAAAAAATTGGACCACCATGCCCAGCTGACAGGCAATTCTTGACTATCAATAATCTAAAAATGGAGGGTGCATGGACAGAGAAAGTGAATGTGGCAAAAATCAGAATGTATTATAACAGCAATGCACTGCCAAGCGTAACCTAAGATTTTACAGTGTTTTCTTTTGGATTCCTCGGGGGGAGCTGTCTCTGTTACTGAGGATGGCATCACAGGCTTTGGACAGGGTAGGCAAGCACTGTACTCCGTTCCCAGCCCTCGGTTACTCAGAGCAATCCTGCAGAGGAGGCCTTGTCTCAGACACACAGCATGAAGAGAGGAAACACACGAGGATGAAGCGGAAGGTTTCAGCTCAGAACCCTAGCACTTAGCCTCACATGCCACACTGCTGACTCGACCTTAACCTGCCTCCCAAGCCTCAAATCAGTGGTCACACAGAGCTCACATTTTGAGAACTTTAAATCACCTCCCTCATTTCCACAGAGATCTCTCCCGAGGAACCCTACCATCTTACCTCTCCTCAGGAGCCTCCAAAGCAGAAGACTCCCAGGAGTAAAGGCTCAGAGGGACAGTGCTTGCCTCAACACACAAGGCCCCTGGTTCCAACCCCAGCACTAGAAAGAAGAGGAGAAGTCCTACAGTGAAAGACCTTGTTACCACGCAAACTGTTCTGTATCTTTCCTGCTCTGAACCCAGGGCAGCTGATCAGTGACAGCTGGTGGGACTCTGGGTAAGGTGTCACCCCGGGGGAAGAGGCTGGAGGCTGCCTGTCTGAGCTGGAGGCAGCCTGTGATTTCCTCTCCAAATTAAATCTTGTAACGTTTGTGTAGTAGTAGAAACGGAGTTGTTTTCCCAGAGGGCCAAGCAGCTGTTTCAATGTGGAAACAGTCTAACAATAAATTACAGTCAGAATCTAAGCGAAAGGCTTCATGCACCAGATGAGAGAAGACTGGGATTACAGCAGCCACTTCCACTGTGAGCGGAGGCTTCTGGAGCCATCAGTGAATGGGCCTTTGTTGATTTACTTTTTACAGCTGTCCCGTTACAGGAACCATCTGTAAAAACCAAAGCAGCTGGCAAGGATGCCTGTGATTCTCTTGAAGCAAAAATTAGAGGATGCAATTTTAGGAAGTGTAAAGAAGAGAGATGATATAATATTTATCCTGTGAAATTAATCCAACTCACATGCCACAAGTCACCGTGTGTAAGAAGATGATTTAACTGTTGTGCGTTACAGGGGATTGCAATACTAAGATCCTGACCAAAGCTCTCTTTGCTCCGAGTTCTCCCCTCAAGAGGCAGAGAAGCAATCACAGGACATGAGGCCCCACCTTTCTTAGCTGTAAGTGCCAAACGGATCCATTCTAGTGGCCCACTCTGCCAGAGACACCCAGCGGGAGAGCGAGGAACGGCTGTCAGGGCCAGGCTCCAAGGCTGTTAGACATCGGCTTTTGTACTAACGGTAAGGCTTGTCTGCTTCTTTACTCGATGCTCTGGAAGAGGGTGGATCAGAATCTGCTCTCAACACATCAAATAGGGGCTTAAGTTCAACCATAGTGACTTTTAAAGCACGGTCAAAGCCCATTTATATCTGAGGGTTTTTGAGAACCATTTAACGTTGAGTGAGAGCTTAGCCTTAACTCTGAAGGCAGGTGGGTCACTGTCTGACCCAAATAATTAGACAGAGGTTGCTCCTATTGTTTTTTGGAGCCACCTTAAGCCCACAGGCAGACAACTGAGAAGTAAGTTGTTGAACCACTTCTTGTAGGTGGGCTGTCTCCTTTGGGAGATATGGTTATCATGCATATAATGAACCAAATAAGCCTGAGTGTTTATCTTGGATTTTCTGTAAAGCCATTTCTACAATTTTTTTTTTTTTTTTTTACAGAGCTTAGGACTATTTCCATACCTTGAGGGAGGACTTTCCATTGATATCTACGGCGGTCTTAAATTTGTAGAGGGAAGACTAAAGGCAAACCTTTTAGAGTACTGACGACTCAGGGGAATGGCAAAGAAACCTTCCTGTAATCTATGGCTATGATAGCATCATCCCTAGGAACAGCAGAAGAGGGCAACCCAGGCTGAAGAGCCACGATGAAGAGCCTGCATCTTCCATAGGCTCATTAATCTTTCTCAAGTCGTTTAGAAGCCTCCATTTTCCTGATTTCTTATAAATAAGTAATCTAGGAGTATTCCAGGGGCTATTGGGGGATTCTGTATGTCCCAGCCGCAATTACTCATTAACTGACTCTGTGGCCGCTCGTATCTTTTCTGCAGTCAGGGGCCACTATTCCACCCATTCAGGAGTCTCAGATCTCCAAGTAATGGGGTCAGCATCCACTTGAACACTGGTCCCTGGGAAAAACTCTCATCAAGCCCCGCCCCCTGCCTATTCTGATTTTGTTTAGGTTGTCTAGGTTCTGTAATACCCTATTTTTTCTTAGTCCAATACTAGGATCAAATTTCATTTGTATCATTTAAGCAACCACTTTTCATCATTTGGACTCATTAAAAGAACCCCCATCTGTCCCAAAATGTCCCTCCCTCATACCGTGAAAGGGAGAGATGGAAGTACACGAGACAGCAGGGACCAGAAGACTCTTCAGATGCGTGTGTTGCAGCCTGGCCCACATCAGCAGGCTGACCCAGGCCCATTCAAGTCGATGGTAACCTGGGCTGGCCAAGAAGATGGCCAGTTCCCTCTGGCAATGCAATCGACATCAGTTCCCGTGTCTGTAAGACCCTCAAGAGCTTTGGACCATTAAGGTTTTTATGGGGCACTAATTTTTAACTTCCTGTATCCAAAATTCCATATCTCTAGATGCAATCCCTGGGTTTCTCCTTTCTTCGGGGGAGGCTGTTTTTCTACTGGAAGACAGGGAAACACGAGCAATTGGACATCGTTGGTCCCACATGTACTTGTATGGTTTTGTAGAGGGATGACTCACAAGCTTGATCTGGTCTGTAAAATCTGAATCAGCCCCAGGATAAGCTGAACACCCTGTAAGGAAGCGCAGCTTCTCCCTGGAGTAAGCCCACGTAAGCACAGTGTAGGGACCAATACCCCATAAGTAAATTACAGGAGAACCGGCTCTTAATATTGCTGAGGTGGTAGAACTGAGGTCCAGCCCCGCACGGCCCGGGGTGTCGAGGAGGAGTTGTTGGACCCCTTGTCTGAGAAGAGATGAGGGTCACCCCCATTATTTGAGGGGCCTGGGAATGGCCTGCACCCAGTGTCCTGGCTGACAAGCCAGAGTCACAGTGTTTCCTGTGACAGAGCTAGGGGTTTCTCCTTGAACTGTTTACAGGAGGCGGCAATGGTCCATCCTTACGGTATCTGGAACAGCTGTCTTTTCCCCAGTGAAAGCCCTCTGGACAGTGAGGGCGTACTGTTTCTGGCACATTAGTGGGAGCTGTGATTGCCTGTGGCATTCTGGCAGAGTCGGGGACGTCCCTGTAGTGGACATTCTTTTCCCTTTACTTTGGGGACAGTCCCTACAGCTGGGTTGGCCACATCCAAAGCAAGCCTTGTGTTCCCAGTTGTTGTTGTTGTTATTATTATTATTATTTGGTTCTTAAAAACCTGAGTAGTGGTCTGTCCCTGCAAAGCAGCTGCAAGAGCTACTCCCTGCCAACAGGAGGGCCTACCTCCACAGGCCACCTGCTGTTTTTCTAAGTGGTCTCAACAAGGTCCAGCAACAGGTTCAGATTCTCGAAGGGCAACTGCTCGATTCTGTGCAGCGCCATCTTGTGGGGCAAGATTATGTACTGCGCCCGTCAACCGGGACCGGAAGGCTTCCAAAGGTTCACCAGCCCTTTGCCTCTATCAGCTGAGCCTGCAGCCTCGGCGGAGGGGAGCCTCCACGCAGCAGCAGCTGAGCAGTCAGCTGTGACTGACCTCACACCCAAATGCAGTCCCCAGGCCCATCAGCCTCCATGGACGCTCTCATTCACGTTGTGGCAACTTTTTGAGAAGCGACCTCAGTTAGCCTCATATTTCACTTAATAAAAAGTGCCCTCCAGAGAAACAAGACCTAGCAACCCGAAACCAATCATAGGGGTCATCTTTCTACTAAATAATTGTATGTGGAGAGGGGGGCCATCATCTGCAGCGGCCTGCTTAAGCTCCCTGTGGCCTTTATAAGACATGGCCTTCCATGAGGGTGCCTCGCCCCATTCACTGTTAAAGAAGACGGGGAAACATCCAAGCTGCCCTCCCCATTGACAGGCTTGCTTAGGACCTCCGGTAAATCCTACTGAAGAGGCAACAATACTCGTCCTTGTTTAGGCTTGGTAAGTTAGGACAGAGTCTTGGAGGTTCAAGAAGGCCAATCTGGATTGTGATACTTTGCAACCCATTCTTCCAAATCTGCTTCCTCATCAGGGGAGAGAGGCTCATCTTCCTCCTTCTCATCTTCAATTTTGAATACTTTATGAGAAACAGGGAATGTATTGGAAGACTTACTTTGGGGTTTGTTATTCAATAATGGAGTGTTCTCACGTGGAGCAGCTGAAGGACAAGGCAAAGTATGTCCTTCCTGTGGTTTCTCAGGACCCAAAGCACATTCCAATAAAAAAGTCTCAACTGGCATAGCTTCAGGTCCATGTTCTTGATACCAGACCTGACTATCTCTCCCCACTCCATCCCAGTTATCTAAATCCAAAGTCTCTTGGTCTGAGAATCAAGGGCTGCTATTCAGTTAATATGTCTAATCAGTATTCTTTTTTTCCTTGGTCATTCAACACCACGGTGGTCCTGCCCCAGCTAACTTTTCTAGGAAAGGGGGTGGTCTTAACACTTTCTCTATTATCTTTATACACACCATTCTTCGTCTATCAGCATAAAAGTCCCAGTGTAGGGCAGAGATAACTCCGCCAACCTAACTTCGTTGTTCTAGCTTTTCCTTGAGAAGTATAGCATTTGCAGCCCCCAATCCGATGTGCCACGTAGGAAGAGGCTTGTAATCTGATCTGCTGCCGACTCTAGCCCACCAAATCTTGTTTACCTTTTTAAGTTTACTCTGTTCCGATTATCCTGTTCCTGGGTAAGTACGGAGGCAGATGTTTCCAGACTGTCTTGGAGCAGGGGCCCCATGAGGAGGTCTCTGGCATCTTTATTTGAGTCACAACCTGCAGGGCACAAGGGAGGCCTTCAAGTAGGGCCGCATGGGCTACTTCCCTAAGGCAGGAGGGGTAGCAGGCTTGGGGTTCCCTGGGGAAGCGCAGAAGCGGCACTCCTGGGAGAAGGCGTAATTGAGCCATAAGAAATCTCCCATCGCTCCAACATCCCCAAGTTGTACAAGTATTAAAAGCTCCCAAGCACGCAACACGCGGAGATCAAGACCAAAAGTGAAAACCGGCGAGAGAGCAGTAGCAACACGTGGCTCGGCCTTGCTGGACCTCTGTCAAGCAGCTGTGCCGGCTTTATGATTTTTGCTGTTCCTATTAGATATGGCTGTGCCAGTAAGCCAAAGCTGGCTAGGAAGGAAGAATATGGGAAGAAACTCCCCCACTGGTCACTGAGGCAGAAGGCCAAAGCAGCAGGTTAAGAGGTCACTTTGGTGTCAAAGCGTGAGATTAACCAGGAAGAGCCTGTATCCTGCTATAAAACCTTGATTGACATGGAGTATGGGAACTGCACAGGAACAGTTAGAATGGGATGGATAAAGGGGAAAGGGCTCTTTTGTAAGCTCCCTACCCAGTCCCTGCAAGCGCTGGTGACAAACCCAGCCTTGCTCTATGCTAGCGAGCTACAGCTCGAGCCTCCAGGCAGAAGACTCGAAGACTGGTGATTTCGGTTTGGGACAGCTGCCGCTGCTGTGACAGGATCAGAAGAGACAGATTAACTGAAGAGTAAATGCTGCCCTGGCTGGACACAGTGGCACACACTGCAGCCCAGAGGCTGAGGCAGGAGAATCACCCACAAATTTGAGATCAGCGTGGGTTAAAAAACAACAAGGCAAGCCTCACAGGTAAGAACGCTGCAGACTGAAACGCAGCAATGGATCAGCAGATAGGGTGATGGCTGCTCTTGCAGGGGGCCCAGGTTTGCTCTCCAGCACCTACACAGCTGCTGTAACTCCAGTTCTGGAGGATCTGGTGCCCTCTTCAGGCCTCCTCAGGCACCAGCCACACACAGCAGAGCACTGACATAAAGGCAGGCAAAACCCATATACTTAAAAAGGAAAATTAAAAATGATTTTTTTTTTTAATTAAAAAGAAACCTGTGAGTGGCTCAACCATTAAGAGCATCGGCTGCTCTTGCAGAGGATGCAAGTTCGATTCCCAGCACCCACGTGGTGTTTCACAACCTTCTGTTACTCCAGCTCCTGGGAATTAGACGCCTGTTCCTGGCTTCTGCTGGTGCATGTACACATATATACACACATGCACATAAACAAACAATAAAATATGAATTTTAAAAAAAAGAAACCTGTGACCGCACAAAGAGGGGATGGGACCGCATTTAACAACAGAGGCATAAGCTCTAAGTGATGGTTTATATTAATCTGCATTAATCTGTCTTCTCCCCTGGCCTAGTTAACGCCAAACCCGCAGCTTCTTTCCAGGCTCATTTCACAGTAAAGGGTAGTAAATGTCCCCATGCCCGGAAAAATAAGGATTACACTTCACAGGACAAAAAGCAAGAGGAAAGCAACAATCATTTCCTCCGCTTATTCCCGCGCCTTCCCGAAGACGAGCACGGCCGGGAGCACGCAGGATGGGGAAGGTGCAGGGCCCGCGGCCGCGCCCACCGCACACCCGGGAAGGACGGGGCGGCAGCCTCTCCGGGGCGCGGACAAAGCCGCCCCGGCCCCGCTGGCTTTTTGTTCGGGGGCCGTCACCCTGGGGTTCAGGCACGGGACGCGGAGCCATGCCGGGCGTCTGGGCCCTGCAGCGGGAACACGGAGGGCGCGGCGGGGACCCGGTCCACTCAGCCTCACCGGCTGCGCACCTCCCAGGCCGGCGCAAAGGCAACCCGCGCCGCCCCCGCGCCCTCAGCGCAGAGGGCCACACTCACCTCCGTAGCCGACCGGCGCTCGGCGGCCGGGGGCCGCGCGGGGGCCTGTGGGAAATGTAGTCCAACGTGGAAGAGCCGGCTTCGCCGCCGCCGCGGAGCGCTCCACTGTCCCCCCAGCCCCCATCCCCTTCCGCTCCTCCCAGCTGAGAACTAGCGCTCCCAGCATCCCATGCTTAATATGTGAGACAAGCGCACGCACAGTATGTTCCCCCCCACACACACACAATACCGTCGCTTCCCAGCCACACTGCAGAGGGATTGTCACAAACCGTGGGCCACAGCTCCGTAGGTCTCCCTCTTTGCGTTGTTCCAACGGTCTACTTACTCATTTCTGCACTAACGCCGTCCTGTTTTCATGACCGCAGTACAGAGCACTTTGACACACTCGAGAAAAACACATCCAGGAGCCAGCCAGCGCCGGACAATTGGCCTCTCTAATAAAAGGCTTCTGTTGGAACCCGGCGAGGCCAACCCAGTGGAAATTTGTTTGCTCAGTTGTGAACAGCACACACAATCCTTGGAATCGGGAGCGTGACTGGATGCCAACCAGCTCCACAAATACCAAGTCTTGCTTTGGAAGTTTCTAATAGATTGTTAAATGATATAAATATCCAGGGAAAGGTGCAGTTGACAAAGCTGATTATCTATTTGCAGTTGACAAAGCTGATTACCTAGGAAACCAAGGCTCCAGTAAAAAGAATGTATTCAAAGGAGTCCTGACCTCTTGAATTTTTTTTTTCATAAGGAAAGCGATGGCTGTACCTATATTTCAATTGGAAATGTAAATGTTTAATTACTATGACATCACAAGTACAGATTTAAGTCTGAGGTGAGGCAAGACCGTCTGAGATCCTGTCTCAATGGTCCTGCCGCGTGCCAGCTAGGATTCATCTCTTAGAGACATTTCCCCTGCTAGGCTGTGACTTAAACTAGGTAGTTGCACTGTTTGGTCATAGAGTAGATATTTAAGGACTTTCAGCTCATTATTAATCATTAAAATATTAAAACACACATTAGGTCCAGATTAGTGATACATGCCTATAACGTCAGTACTTGGGAAGTGGAGGTAGGAGGATCAGGAGTTCAAGACCAACCTGAGTTACATGAGACGCTGTCTCAAACACCATCACCACCACCATACACTCCAGGAATGGGGACAGGAGGAGCAATTTTACTGGTTGAAGATATTGTAAACTGGCAGAACCACGACATCCTCCATTTCTGTGGAAGTTCCCAGTGAGGTTGAAAAGAAGATAAACTGATAAAAGTAACCTTGCTTTTTGTTAGATGCTTTAGAAAACTTATTATACAGAGCAAGAAACATACTGCAATTTAATAAAGCATTTATATATATATATATATAACATTGGTCAATGAATGGTTGCGGAGGTGGCTCAGTGGTTGGGCGCTTACCGCACAGGCCAGAGAGCCTGCATAGGGGCTGGGTGGGCAGGGTGGACCCCCTGTAATCCTTGGAAAGCGCAGAGAGGATGGACACCTAGAGCAAGCTGGCTCTCCAGAACAGCACACTAGCGAGCCCCGGATTTGACTGAGAGCCTTTGAGGGTGATTCCCGACACTAGCCTCAGGCGTCTACATGTATAGACATCCTCTCACACATACAAAACATGCATACACATACATGTGCCAATACGCACAATGGAAAAGAAACAAGAAACAAATGTGGGTTTAAACAGATGTACATGTAAAAAGGGCAAGCGAATTTTCTGATTAAAAATCACCTCTTTGGGTTATTTGTTCAGAATTGGCGTGGGGCCCACCCTTTACCGACGAGCCAAAGGGGCAAGCAGCTGGTTGCACAGTGACAACTGCTCTGTCACACAGTAACTAACACCTGCCGCCATGCCATGCTGGGGTTCCTATGTTGAGTTTTGGTTACAGCCTGGCCTGCAAAGCACAGCCTCGTCTGTAATAGACGACGAAAGGAGAATTGTGTAGCTTAGGCTGAGAAACACTGATTTACACCAAACGAAACCTCTTCTGTTGTTCTGACGTGATCCGAGGAAGCACAGTGTCTGTGGATGTTTGATAGCAGCGTCTTCCTTAGATGCCATGAAGCAAGTACTCACACTCTATAAAACAAGCGTTTAGACACTCTGGGTAAATAAGCCTACGTGACTGTGCACATAGCGCCTGGCAGGTAGAGGTAGAAGGGTCAGCCCAGGCTGTCAAGAACATGGTTAAGTTTGTCTGGAATAAGCAATACCTTGTCGAAAGAAAGAAAAGAAAAGAAAAGAAAAGAAAAGAAACAAAGAAAGAAACAGAGAAAGAAAAGAAGAAAGAGAGGGGAAGATGGGGAGAGAATGGGAGAAAAGGAAAAACTAGGACAAAAGTACTATCTTCTATATTAACTCTCTATTGTCAATAAAAAATTTCAAATTTTATCACTTTGATCACTGATGGTTAGAATATTTCTTTCTTTCCTCCTTCTTCAAGACAGGGTTTCTCTGTGTAGCCCTGGCAGTCCTGGAACTCACTATGTAGACCAGGCTGGCCTGTAACTAAGAGATCCACCTGCCTCTGCCTCCCCAGTGCTGGGATTAAAGGTGTGCGCCACCACACCTGGGCAGCCTTAGAATTCTCTAATAAAGACATTTTCTTAGACATTTAATTGCTATGAAATGAGAGCATAAATATTCCATTCTTCATTTATCAACAATGTCCTAGTATGCTCCATAGCTGACCAAGTCATTTGATAAAAGGAAAAAAAAAGGCAGAGGAAAAAGCTCTTAAATGGTGGTCAAGACGTAAGGACACTAGGGGATTCTCACTAGCTAAAAAAAATAGGATAATCTGGTACATTAAAAAATGCTACACAATCCAGTGATCTTTTTTAAGTAACAGGAATTATTGTTTATGATTGGCTTGTGTTGTCTTTATTAAATATTGACTGGGACTACAGAATATAGAGTGTTTTATTAAGAGCAAATTCCAAATAACTTCACACTCTGAATGTTCTAATGAGTGGACTGGGGAGAGTTTCAGTGAAAGGCTCTGGCTCAACCCCCAGCATCATGCCACCCCAGCACAGAACACACACAAATGCACACTGGTGCGCGCACTGGAAGTGACAATGCACACCTGTGATTCCAGCATTCTGGAGACTGAGGCGGGGGAGTGTTCAAGGTCTGGGCGAAAGGGGAAGTTTTAGGCTAGTCTGGTTACACGCTGAGGCTGCGTGAAACAACAAACCCAAACACTACTCACAAGAGTCAGGTATCGAAGGTTCAGCAAGGGATAAATGTTGGAAAGCCTTTCTGTGTTCATCACGCCCGAGGTCTTCCATATGAACTCTCAAAAGAGCAATAGTAAGCCACTATAAAAAGTTTAGTGACTTTATAACGACCGTTGTATTAAGTTATGATTGTAGGGCAGGAGGATTTTTCAGTTCTGTATGATGTCAACTGACGTCACTTAGTGGCGTTCAGTTGGTGGCTGCTCTGGGAGACCCAAAACTCTTGCAACCCAGTGTCTAATAGGAGCCTATCCAGGAGCCAGCTTCAGCCAGGGGCCCCGATGTCTGTGCTGTCTCAGGGCCTCTCCACACGGTCTGTACAAACCTCAAACACAGCAGTTCTGAACTTGAGAGGGCACTCTGACAAAGCCACCCGAGCAGAAAGCCCCGCAGTGGTGCTGACTGCATCTGCTGTTCTCCCTGGCAAAGCAGCATCTGCCTGTACTCCAAGAAGAGGATGCGGATTGCACAGCTTGATGGAGTTCTGGAGAACTTGCAGCCATTTTTAGATCACCATTTCACAAATAAATAAACCTGCAGCGCAGGGCAACTGAGCATTTTAACATAACTGAAGGAACAGGGCTGTTCTTTTCCCCTCATCTGTTTATGTGCAGGACTAACTGAAGGGTAAATGTGTCAAAGCATTATGGTTGAGAACAGACTGGAACACAACGGAACACATTAAATTAACACATCCCTTTAATGGTATAAAGCCTCTTAGGCCAGGCCGGTTACATGTGTGCGATTAGCTGTGACATTCACAGAATGTTCTGCAGGGCCGCTAAGACTCTGTCACACCTTGACACTATGAATCTTGAGGTGATGGGTGAGATGGGAATGCTGTCGAAAGGCCTTCTTACACTCTTTACACTCATAGGGCTTCTCACCAGAGTGAATCCTCAGGTGCTGGATAAGGGAAGAATTGAGTCGGAAGGCCTTCCTGCACTCTTTACACTCGAAGGGCTTCTCCCCGGTGTGGATGCTTTGGTGCAGAGTGAGCTTCTGCCGCAGCCTGAAGGCCTTGCCGCACTCCGTGCACGCGTACGGCTTCTCCCCGGCGTGGATGCTCCGGTGCTGCGTGAGCTGCGAGAGCAGCCTGAAGGCCTTGCCGCACTCCGTGCACGCGTACGGCTTGACCCCACCGTGAACGCTCTGGTGGGAGACGAGCTGGGAGTACCGGCTGAAGGCCTTGCCGCACTCCTTGCACGCGTACGGCTTCTCGCCAGTGTGCGTTCTGTGGTGGAGGATGAGGTGATAGCCCCGACTGAAGGTCTTCCCACACTCACTGCACTCGTACGGCTTCTCCCCGGTGTGAACTCTCTGGTGCAGGGTGAGCTGCTGCCGCACCCTGAAGGCCTTCCCACAGTCCTTGCACTCGTGGGGCTTCTCGCCCGTGTGGAGCTTGTGATGCACCCTCAGGCCGGAGCCACACAGAAAGTCTTTCCCACACTCTCTGCACTCGTAGAGTCGGTCAGCAATGTTCAGCTTCTGGTGCCTGGTCAGGTGCGCGTACTGCCGGAAGGCCTTCCCACACTCCTCACACACGTAGGGCTTCTCGCCCGTGTGGACTCTCTGGTGGAGGGTGAGCTGCCCTCGCACCCTGAAGGCCTTCCCGCACTCTTTACACGTGTAGGGCTTCTCCCCGCTGTGAAGCTTTTGGTGAGCCCTGAGGTCTGGGCCGTATGTGAAAGCTTCCCCACATTCCTTGCACTCGTACAGTTTTTCCCCAGAATGGAGTCGCTGGTGCCTGCTCAGGTGTGCGGTCTGCCTGAAGGCCAGGCCACACTCCTTACACACGTAGGGCTTCTCGCCAGTGTGGATTCTGTGATGGAAAGTCAGCTGCTGGCGCACTCTAAATGCCTTTCCACACTCGCCACACTCGTAGGGCTTCTCCACAAAACGGACTCTCTGTCGTGGAGTAGTAGACGCACGCTTTTCATAGGAGGACATTTTTTCAGGTGCGTTCTTCACTGGACCGAGACAGCCCTCCTGAGAGCCCGCTCGTCTCTCATGTTTCCTTTTTGACTCCCATTTGTTTTTTAAAATGAGGTCTTTCAGGCCACTGCTCCCAATTCTTTCCACTATCTTCCACTGGGATAAGTTAATTTCATAAAAGCCTTTTTCTGAGAATAGCTGTTTGGTCTCATCCTTAGTGTCCAAATCTGAAAGAAAGCAAAAAAGCAAACACACGCTGTTTTCTTTTTCTAAAGAAGATAACTTCCCACAGTAGAAACAGAAGACAAACTCAGAAGAGTATCATATAATTTGGTGGCAAAAGAGAGTATGAGTCAAGAGTTCACGCGTGAAAAGGGAATGGTAATTAGATGAATAATTCAGGCACTGTTTTGTGAACGGAAGTATGGATCAGAATTGCTGTGGGGCTTAATTTGATACAAATACTGATTAAAGCTTGGGAGGCAGGAGGAGGTGGGTCTATGTGAGTTCGAGGCCAGCCAGGTCTACATAGTGAGTTCTAGGACAGCCAGGGCTACACAGAGAAACCCTTTCTCAAAAACAAAACAAAGTTGTAGTGGAAGTTTTGGTTTCTTTAAAAACTTAGTTCTGTTGTGTAAATGTGTTTGCTTTAATTCCAGCTGTGGGATGTGGTACCGCCTTCGTCTAGCCACAGCTGGCAACTGCCTTCTGCAGGTGTGGTCTTTGCAAGCTGCTAACAATCTCGTGAGACCTAGAGAAGGGTGTGGTCTTTGCCAGCTGCAGAGAGTGAATTCTGAGGACTCTAGAGGGTACAAACACAAGAGCCCAGAGAGAGAGAGAACAAGGGTTCAAGGAGACAGAGGAGAAAGAAGGCTGCGTGTTAGCCCTGCTGCATTTGCCGTTTCCTGTGGCTGGACTGCTGGAGATCCTGACAAATGAGACTGTATTTTCCCAAAGAAACCAACAGCCCTAACCAGCCAGAACTAAGTCTAAAAAAAGCTCTATGTCCCCTTTCCCTTCTAAACTTCTTTCTCCCCTACCTAGGGTTGGGGGGCTGGAAGGGAGGTAGAGATTTAAGAAACCCCAAATAAAACACAGTTTAAAAACTAGCGCCAACAACAAACAAACAAACAAAAAACCCCAAATATTGTTTATATACTACCAAAAAAACACCTGGATAAGATTAGACTATAATTTTTTATCTTATTTTTCATGTGCATTTGTATGTGTGATATGTGCACTTGCAAATAGACACGTTTTGCATGTGTGTGGGTACACAGGGGGCATGTGATGACCCGAGGTTGAAGTCGGGAATCATCCTCAATCTATAACTCATGTTATTCCTCAAGACTGGCTCTTTCAGTCAAACCAAGATCTAGGGAATCTCCTGTGTCTGCCTTCTACGGCTGGAACCACTAGTGGAGCGCCACACCCATCTGTCATTTACACGTTCTGGAGAAACGAACACATTTGTGCAGCAAAAGCTTTAACCACTGAGCCATCTCCCCAAGCTGGATTTTAATTTGGGACCGGACAGTGGTTAAGAATGCTCACTGTTCCTGCACAGCAAATTTATTTGCTTATTTTGTGTGCCTGAGTGCATTTATGGGCTTATTTTGTTGAAGATTCATTTGCTTAATTTGTGTGTCTGAGTGCCCATAAATGCCTACGGGTCATGCTAAATGACCCGTGCAAAGATTCACTGTGTATGTGCAGAGCACAGAGGACTCTGTTGGATGCCCTGGCATTGGACTTACAGATTGATGTAGGTTCTGGAAACTGAACCCGGGTCTTCTGCAAGAGCCACAGTCCTCTTAGCCATGGAGCCATGTTCTAGCTCCTCCACCTTATTTGTCCACCTGGAGCTTAGCAGTTCAGCTGGCCTAGCTGGCCAGCAAGCCCCAGATCCTGCCTCTGCCTTCCCAGCCCGAGATTAAAGGCCCTCTTTTAGCTCAGGGCCTCCGTTTGCACCAGCAGAGCCTTCTCCCTGACTCCACATTTCTCCAGTATTAATAACTTTACATTTTCATGGTTGTTACTGGTTTTCTTTTCTTTTTTAACTTTATAAAAAATGCTAGAGGTAGAACACAGGGTCTTACACAGTTGTAACACTGAGATTATCGAGCCCCAGCTTTTTCTTCTCTGAAAGGCTCCTTAAAGTCAGATGCAATCTTAATTTGCTCCCCACTGACTGGTAAATTCATAGTTTAAGAGTGTGACTCATTTCTTTATCATAGTTACACACCCTCGTTTTGAATACATCTCACTGCCCCGAATCTCTCATGGTTTGCTATACATAGTTAAATACTCTCTTCATGAGCCTGAGCTTGTGCACTTAAATACACACAGGGACAGAAAGATCATTCTTATGCCTTCCTACTTTGTATCTGTCCTTATATTCATTCTTTCCCTCCTTTCCTTGTGGTACTTAAGGTTGTACCAAAGGCCTCACCCACACCAGGCAAGCCAAAGCCCAAAAGGCCTCTTGTATTGTTATTTAGGCTGGTTCTCTTCAGTGTCCATGTCCTCTGTCACAAAGCTAGAGGCAAAAGCTCGTGCACATATTTGAATGTGAAGAACTCACTGACACGGTTGAAGAACCTGCAGACCAGAAGACAGCAAGCCAAGCGGAGGAGTCAGAGAAAAATCCCATGCTAAATGACCCATGTAAAAGAGGATGGGGGGTGGCGGAGAGATGGCTCAGAGGTTAAGAGCACTGGCTGTTCTTCCCAAGGTCCTGAGTTCAATTCCTAGCAATCACATGGTGGCTCATAACTATCTATGATGAGATATCGTGCCCTCTTCTGCCCTGCAGGCACACATGCAGGCAGAACACTGTATAAATAATAAAGAAATCTTTTAAAAAAAAGTTTCTCTAAAAGAGGATGAGGTTTTCAATTCTTACGATTGTGGGCTATGTAAAAAGTTGAATCATATAGGTATTTCCTAACTAGAAATAATGAAAACAGAAGATTCATTTAAAAATTAAAAAATATAAGTTAGATAACTTTTAGGTCATTAGGAAAAAAGATTTACAATAGTATTCTTGTTTTTTAAGAAAACAAGAAGGTAAAAAGAAAATTTCAATAGTGAGTGAGGTTTCACAGGCCTGTAATCCCACCACTCCAGAGGTTGAGACAAGAGCACAGCAAACTTATGTCCAGGCTGGGCACTTCAGCAAGACCCAGTCTCAAAATGCACTGGATAAAGGGACTAAGGGTGTAACTCTGTAGCCTTGTAGTAGAGTGCTTCCCTGGAGTGTGAAGTCTAGGGTTCCACACACAAGAAAAGAAAACAAACAACAAAACAAAATCCAACAGCAAACATACAAATAATAAACGACAAAGTACAGGCCACACAAATGCCTGTAATAATATAACATTATAATTTATAACACCAGCACTTGGAAAGCTGAGGCAAGAGGCTGCATAGAGACCTTCTCAATATAAAAATAAATAAACAAATAAAAATAATATGACAAAGTGAACATTATTAGAAAAAAGAAGACTGGCAATGAAAATTTTAAAACATAGCCAAAGCAAGTGTTTCTCCAGAACCCCCCCCCCCCCCGGTTCACTATAGTGAAATATGTTGTGACAATAACTGGTAAGCAGTGTGCAGCTCGGACTCCACCCCTCTGCTCTGCCTCCAGTGTCCCCTGAGCTCGACAGACGCTGGCTTACCTTGATTTCTTCCTCTTTTTCTGGAAACCTTCCAGGGCTCTTTCCCTTGCTCCAGTAAGGAGATCACGTCTGGTTTAGAAATGAGGCACCCTGCTTAGAAGAAAAGAAACACAAGGCAATAAGGAATTTAAATTTGAACACCTTCCCCCCCTCCGGTTTGCTATAGTGAAATATGTTATGACAATAACCGGTAAAGTCCTTCAGGAAGGTGAAGACAGTGTAGGAAAATTCACATTACGCAGATTAGAGCGGACGGGGAGGAGCTTATGCGGCCGTGGCAGCTACTCCCATGCTTCATTTTCTTTAGCTCTAAAGTAGCAGCGGGGAGAGTGTCTAGCAGGGGCCGAGAGGTGGCTCAGTGGTTACGAGCACATCTGCACTTGCAGAAGACTGAGTTCAGCTCCCAACGCCCACAATTCCCATCAGCCGGCACCTTGCCCCAGGGGACTCGGCCATGCTCTTCCGGCCTCCTCAGGCACTGCATTCACACACACACACACACACCGAAACACACAGGCATATACTGAAAAATTAAATAAATCATTACAAAATTGTAATCCCAGCGCTTGTGTGGCTGAGGCAGGAAGATGCTAAAGCTGAGTCTGAGGCCGGTCTGGGATGCATACAGAGGTGCTGTCTCAATATATTAACTATATTAATGTATTACGTATATTAAATATATTAACGTATATTACTTAACTATATCAATGTCTGTATGCCTAGCACTACCTAACTGAACCACAGCGCTCAGGAGTCGCTGTGAGTTTGAGGCCAGCCTGGGCTACAGAGTGAGTTCCAGGACAGCCAGGGCCACACAGAGACACCCTGGGCTGGGAGCTGCTTACAGGGCTTTCTTCACGGGCTACTGAGATAACTTCGGTGCCCTGCCCCCTGCTGTGGCGGCCCACTGCACCCCCACCCCCAAGAGCTATGCTAGCCCTTGAGCAGCTGCCATTAGACTCACTGCCAGCTAAACTAGGACAGTCTGCCCCTCCTTCCTGCCCTGGGGCTATGGAGACAGGAGGCAAGACAGCTCCTCCTGTCAGCAAGTCAGCGGGAGCTGTCCATGGTGACTGTTCCTGCCTCAGCCTACTGCTATGTGAACCCACACCTCTTCCGCCTCAGAAAGCCTACTGATGCCAAGGGAGCTGATGACAACAGCCTTTCCCGCTTCAGTCTACTGCCTTCATGGTGGACTCTGTAAATATTGGACACTTTGTATACTGTATAATCCCTCAAGGCAGCAAGGTCGTCAGACCTCTGCCTGAAGGAAACTCCAGCAGGCCAGCTCCTCCCTCAGAACCCTGGAACTGTCATCTCCAGCATCTCAGTAGAACTCATCCCAGATTATGGTAATTTGAGGTGAAAAGTCTAGACAAAAACCCACCAATCCCTGAACAGGAAAGCCCACCAATCCTGGAGCTCCCCTAGCTCAGGACTTGAAATCCCACCAATCCACACTCCCGAAATTCCTGTCCTCAAAAGCTCCCCCCCCCCCAAAAGGAATCCTATATAAATGCTGTGTCTGCCAGTCCCTGCTGCCTTCTCCTGAAGCAGGGGCAGCTACTCCTGGATTCGTCCCTCTAATAAATCTCTTTTGAGAGATTTACTACCTGCTGTGACTCACTCCTCAAAAGAAAAGAAGAAGAAATGAAGAAGTAGCAGAGCTCAGGCTCCTAGGTACCTCAGCTTATCAGAGGTTGGGGCAACTCACCCCTGGTAGCTGCAATGTCTCTGCTGAGGAGGCCTTCTCTCAGAGCTGTGCAGTTCCTGGGCTCCTGGGCTTCAGGTACACTCAGGACACTGTCCCACCTAGAACTGTGCGGTTCCTGGCTCTCCTGTCTCAGCATACGCTTAGGATACTGTCCCACCCCAGAGCAGGGATACCTTCCCAGACCTTAGAGTTGCCAGTTTTCTGGACACCCTTCCATCTGAGTACCAGAAGGCAGGCCACAAACAACAGTGGTGACACACATCTTTAATCCCAGCTGAGGGAGGCAGAGGTAGGTGGGACCTCTGAATTTGAGGCCAGCCTGTTCTACAGAGTAAGCTCCAGGACAGCCAAGGCTATAAACAAACAAACAAACAAACCTGTCTCAAAAAAACAAAAGGTGAAATCTGCTTTGTTTGATTTTGCTAAGGCTATTACTCACCTACATTTAAAATCTAGCTCCTAAAGTAGCTCATAGCTGTAATCTCATCACTCAGGAGGCTGAGGCAGGGAGAAGGCTGTGAGTTACAGATCATCCTGGCCTACAAATATGACTGTCTCAAAAAAATAAATAAATAAAAATCTAAAAGGGTGAAGTAAAATTTCCATCACTACAAATGGCTCAAAGGCCCAAGAGCCCGGGGAAAGTGTCGAAACCATCTCCTTAAAGCAGAAAGACAGGTGGGACGCCACAGGGTCACAGGCACTTGCTGCCACCCTGAGGTCCTTCCGGAACGCACAGTGGGAGAAGAGCACCGAGTTTCAAATGTTCTCTGACTGCTACATGCTTGCTACAACACATGCGTGCCTCCCCCAACACACACGGCAGATGATGGGTGGATGGATGAGAGACAGATGGACAGACACATACATACACACATACACATAGAGATACATAGATAGACAGCTGCAAAAGGAAATCTCATAGCTTCTTGAAAGCTGTTCTGGAGCTTCCCCAGGCATGATGTTGCTGAGAACACAATCAAAGTTGCTACAGACATGCGCGCTTACCTAATGAGACCACATTCCGGTAGTTCTCCATCATCACATCTTTGTACAAATTCCTCTGCTCTAAGTCCAGGTACTCCCACTCTTCCTGAGAGAAGGCTATGGACACGTCACTGAACATCACTGACACCTGGATGACAAACTGTATGTCACAACTAAAGCAGGAAAAAGAATGTAAAGCCCTCCACCCCCACCCCACCCCCAAAATTACAGGCACTGTGAGAAGCAGGCCATCTGACTGTTTGAGACAAATTCTCCCAATGGAACCCTCTCACTATGGAGCCCAGACTGGCTTCACAGGGCTCCACCTGCCTCTGCCTCTCAAGTGTTGGTATTAAAAGCACACACCACCACGGCTCAGCAGTGGGCAGAACAGCAAGCAAACCAGCCTGCGCTGCAAGGTTAGACAACAGGAAAATGGGGTCTTGAAGCAAGATACTTATGTGTTCTAGAAGGTCCCCTCCCCTAACTTCCACCCTCTCTCCTATATTTTGCAGACAGGAATAACAGCTATGAACCATCACTTTCAGCTGCTCCATACTGTGACTTACTTCAATAATCCAAACATGTCTAAAAAAGGAAAAACTGATGGAGCTGAGCATGCCTCAAATTCCACCAGCATCATGAAAGTGTGCTGGCTGTTTCTGTCAATTTGACACAAGCGAGAGGCATCTGGGAAAAGAGAATCTCAATCAAGAAACTGCCTCTATCACATTGGACTGTGGGCATGTCTGCAGACATTTTCTTGACTGATGTGCCTGTGCCCAGCCCACCGAGGGTGGTGGACCCTGGTCAGGTGGTCAGGGATTGTTGTAGAAGAAAGGTTAGCGGAGCAAGCCAGGAGGAGCGAGCCAGTAAGCAGCACTCCTCTGTGGTCTCTGCTTCCGTTCCTGCCTCCAGGTTCCTGCGTGGAGTTCCCATCCTGACCTCCCTCCCTGTGTGGCTTTTGTCATGGTGTTTAGCAACAGACACTCCTAGGACAGATGTGGTGAACATACTACAGGCAGGGAGTCAAGAGTGAGAGACCAGGGGAGGGACAGCAGTACCATAACGACCAAGGTAGGAGGACCATGAATGTACGGCAGCCTAGGCCACACACCAGTTCCCTGGGTGGGCATTTATCGTGCATACACATGGAAGTGGAAAGACAACTTTTTGAAGTTTTGTGAACTTTCCACCTTTATGAGGGAGGAAGGTCCTGGGTGGGGCTCTGCCAGGAAGCGTCATGATAAAGAAATGTTCACATGGGGCTGTAGAGATGGCTCATCCACTAAGAGGAACTAGGATACCAGGCTCATGTGGCACACAGACACACAAAAGTATATGTATATATGTCATAGTATGTGTATTATGTATGTATATATATATATATATATATATATATGTATGCATGTATGTGTGTTTACATACACATGCAGGAAAAACTCATACACATAAGCAAAAATTATAAAGAGAAGTGTTTGTAGGTCCTTAATATGACAGTGTTTCCAGACAAAGACTGTGAACAGTTAACTCACACGGGCCATCATTTAGACCTTCAACAACTGCTCAGTCTTCCCTGGAGTTTATTTCTCGGGAGAAGCAGAGTCCACTGTGGCCAGAGCTGGGGAGAAAAACAAGCCCATGAGATTTGGCCTCAGAAGCCCCCAGGATCTCCTTACCCACAGCCACATCATCTTACCCAGTCTCCTTCAAAGTTTCGAAAGCACACGTGGACTCGCAGAAAGAAATTCCTAAGTACCAAGCCTGGCAGCCATGCCCACTGGGAAACTGTTGCTCAGCCTGCCCACAGCCAAGCCAACTTCCACACGGCAGGTATTTGAGGCATGCACTACTGTCCCTAACTCTTGATGAATGCTTTATGAGTCATATTGTATCTTCAGGATTGCTAGTCAGTATATTGTATTTATGCAATAGATCAGAAACCCCACAATAAAGGAAATTAGGTCACACTTATAGAAACTGAAAGTTGGGAAGTAGCATAGCTACAGATGGAACCTTTATCTTCCCCACAAAAGCCAGCTCTCATTCATTCCTAGCCCTAGCTTGTGAAACCCAGAATTTCCTGCTCCAGTGACAGAGTGTAGGTATTCATGGCTCGCTGGAAAACAGAAATGATAGCAAATTCGGGATATAAAATCTTATTTTAAGAGTATCAATGTGCCAGGCAGCGGTGGCACACGTCTGTAATCCCAGCACTCTGGAGGCAGAGGCAGGTGGATCTCTGTGAGCTTGAGGCCAGCCTGGCATATAGAGTGAGTTTCAGGACAGCCAGTTTCAGGGCTACATAGAGAAACCCTGTCTCAAAAACCAACCAACCAACCAACCAACCAACCAACAACAACAACAGACTATCAATGCTCACGTAATCAAGAATATGAGAAAAGAGACACTCTAACCAGCATGCTGAGGATCAAATTTTAAAGTATAGACAAGTGGCATTTAATCCACGTAAACCCTTTGACTCAGAAATTCTACTCTGGAGACTAAAGAAAATAATCACTTCCATGGCCATCAAAGATGTCCATCAAAGTAGGCCGACAAGGCTGGGAGGACGGCTCAGCTGGTGAAGACACTCGCCGCCGAGACTGATGGCCTGAGCTTGATCCTTAGAGCTCACACCACAGAAGAATCTTCCACACACACTCTGTGGTAGGTATGCATTCTTGCACACATAAACAAATAAACAAGCAAGCAAGGGGGTACATTGAAAGACACTGTCCATAACAGAAATTTGTGCACACACATACACACAAATAAATACATGGATGAGTAAATAATTAAGCAAGCAAGCAAGTAGGGTACATTAAAGACATTGCCCATAACAGAAAAAAAGCTGTAACATAAAACCCCAAATATCCTTCAATAGGAAAGAGACTAAATAATTAACCATCTATGCTGGAGCCAGCCAGCAGAGTCGAACGGTTCTTGAGTCGGGAGTGAGGATTAATATTATTTAAATAAACACACAGCACACGGGAAACTTTTTTAAAGGTCCAGACTCGACAGCCACAGCAAAAGGCAGGCTGCTGCAGCAAGTCTCCCGTCTCTCCTCTGCCTCTAGCCCTCTGTTTCCTAGCATTTAGATTTCCCACATTATACTTGCTTTTTGGGAAATCTTAAGTCTGGTTCATGCTCCAGGTCTTCCAAGCTCTCTCCTCCAGCTCTGCTCTCCTCGTGCTTTCTCCTCCTGCTTTCTAGCTCCTCCCCTCTTCCCTGTCCTCTGGCTCCTCCCATTGCACAACATTGTATCTAGTTGCTTTGTGTCCTGTTTACACAAGAGTCAGCCTTCTTCTGCAGTAACTGTCCGCCTGTCTTTTTATTGTAGAGTTTCTAAGCCAGAGTAGAAATATCTCAGAACAATGGTTTAATTTCCACGAGGAGCCTGAGGAAGAGGTGTGATCCTCACAAGCTATCCTACCTGCTGTCACAAACAAAAGGAGATAGACTTGCAAATTCTACCCTGCCTTTAGAGAAGGTCTGGTAAAAGCAGTCTCACCGCTGAGATTTAAATATCAAAGCAGCTGCCAGAGGCACGGCTCCCGACACAACTATAGGATTAAAAGAAACCTGTCATTTAAAAATGATACATATCATTAAGTGGAATGATAAAGTTGTTTGCTTCATATTGAGAAGTAACAAATCCAGGTAACAAAACAGTTGCACTATAATTCTGTACTTACTTTTATTTATTTATTTGTGTGTATGTATGTGATGTGTGTGTGGGGATGGGTACATGGATACTATGGCATGCATGTGGGAGTCAGGGGAGAACTTGCATTCCATTATGTGGATCCTGGGCTCAAACTCCAGTCCTCAGGCTTGACAGGGCTCCTCTACCCACGAAGCCATTCACCTGGCCATTTTCTTTACAAAAACAAAACAAGGTAATGAGGGCTGGAGAAACGGCTCAGCGGTTAAGAGTGTACATTACAGCCAGGGCAGTGGTGGCACAGGCCTTTAATCCCAGCACCTGGGAGGCAGAGGCAGGTGGATCTCTATGATTTCGAGGCCAGCCTGGTCTACAAAGCAAGTCCGGAACATCCGAGGCTACACAGAGAAACCCTGTCTCGAGGAAAAAAAAAAAAAAAAAATTAAAGGACCCAAATTCACGTCCCAGCACTTGCCTCAAGGGATCATAACCACCCTTAATTCCAGCTGCAGGAGGATGCTATCCCAGAGGTGTCTGGGCACCAGCTCTCAGACAGGCACACACGTGTACATCACAATTAAGTAGCTCTTCATACACACCACTCCCCTGGAGGGAGGAATCCCCCCCCCCCAAATCACCACACTGCACGTATGAAGTATCGGCAAGTGCCCTGAGAGCCCCACAGCTATAACCCACAGTTATAAAAAGCAAGCGTAGCCTCCTTTGAGGGACCTCGTTGCTGTTCTAAGCACTGGAGAGCACCGACAAACGGACACACGCGTGCAGACACGGGGTGGTGTGCGGAGCCAGGCCCTGTTTCCGAGAGCCACACACTGAAAAACAACAGACGTTCTGATCTACTGAAAAATAAACAGTGCGTGCGCTTCACACATCCAGGAGGTAACAGTGGATCCCCGAGACCCTACCTCTTAAACAGGCAACGGCGGCTTATTCCTTCCCTCCCTATTAGCGTTAACGACGGGGCTGGGCTAGAAGGGAATTCTAACACCCAAACGTTTCCTGCCTTGTCCAGCCCAAAGCACAGGCCACCAGCCGCCCCGCCACCACCGCGCATCACCCTGCACGGGAGGAGAGGGCACACTTGTCCTTCCGTGGTGCGGCCAGGGTTGGAACCTCCTAGCTGCACCCCCGCCCATACGGGACTGTGTGCGAGCCTGCGGGGTGCGTGGGGGTGACCCGGAGGGCCAGGCGGGGTGGGGAGGTCGTTCATCCTTCCCCCGGGACCGAGAGCTCTTTGTTTGCCCGGGGTCTTCTGTGTGGCGCGCAGGGCCCACCCCGGGCCCGGACCCGCCCTCCTCGCCGCCGCTCGGCCTCCCGCCCCCTCGCACAGACGCCACCGCGCGCGGCTCGCGGCCTCCCTCGGCGGCGCCCGGCCACGCCCAGCGGGCGCGGCTCGCCCGCGGCGACCGGGCGCGGCCTCCCTGGCCCGCCTTACCCGCTCCCTGCGGCGCCTCCCCTGCGTCCAGGGACCGCGACCCGGGCGCGGAGCGGGCGCCGCGGAGCTGACAGCGGCCGCCGGGCCGCCGGGCCGGTCCTCACACCCCGCAGGACCCGGAGCGCGCGAGGGCTGCCGGGAGCGCCCGCCGCACGCGCCCAGCGCGCACGCGCCGCGCTCCCCGGGCGCCTGGTTTCAGACGCGGGCGGCAGCGGGCACCTCGGCGTCACTTGGGCGTCTGAGGAAAAACTGGTTTTCCCCTGGAAAGGTGTGTATTTGGTATGACCGTGGGCTTGTGGTGGAGAGGACCGCGAACGAACGTGCCTCAACGGGGTGTTAGCGAACATTCCTGTCATGTAGTTCGTTTCTGCCCCAGATTCTAGGGTTTTCTTGTTTGTTTTTGGGAATTTGTTTACGTATAGTTGTTTTGCCGAGCGTATGTCCGTGCACCATCTTCGTACCTGGTGCCCGAGCAGGGCAACGTGAGATTTATGAGCCACCGTGTGGGTGCTGACTAGAAGCCTGGGGTCCCCTGCAAGAGCGCTAGGTTTCCCCGGGGAGAAAAGGAAGACCAGAGAAGCGGTAGGGCTGGGGCAGACAGCCAAGGATCCAGGAATCGGACAGGTACCTTTATTTCCTGAGCGGAGGCTTTTTTTCTTTGTAAAGGAGAAACGTTGAGACAGCAAGAGAGCATTCTGATAGCGCTAATTCTAATTTGACATCACCGATTTTTCCCGCCTTTTATCTTTATCTTACCTAGTCACACAAGCTTATTACAACTACTAGTTTTCAAATTGGCTGGGAACAGTGGAACACCCTAGTTACAGGACTGGGAGACAGGAGAATCTCTGTGGAGTTTGAGGCCAGTCTGGCCTATGCATGGTGAGTTCCAGGCCAGCCAGAGCTACCTTTAATAATTAATAAGCTTAAAATAAAAAAAAAAAAAATAGAAAGCCTCTTAGTTATTAAGCTTCTAGCTAGTAGCTCTTCTCCAGCATGTAGCAGACCAGATTTGGCCTGCATGCTTTACCGTGCCAACCTCTGATCCAAAACAACAGCTACTAAGAACAGCTAATATGTTTCTGTATTTTTAAATTGTCAAAAAATAAAATATTAAAAAAGTTGTGCTGGCATATTCCTGTAATGTCAACACTTTAGAGGTCTAGGGATTACTCAGTGTTTGAGACCAACCTGAGCTACATAGTGAGTTCCAAGCCAGCAGGGCTACACAATAAGACCTGGTCTCCAGTACATGAAGTTCATGTGATTAAATTTTTGATTCATCATCTTTAATTGTATTCCCCATTACTACAGTCTGTATAAAGGTAAGCCTTTCAGTAAGTAGGGATAACTCTAGAAAGCAGTGACTAACACACAGCCTGTTATTCATTATCTGGAAGGCACAAACCTAAATACCATGAATCTTAACTAACTCAATCCTAATGAAATCCTGAGGTAGGTGGTATCATCATTCCCGGTTGACAGTACCACTGAAAACAGAGCTGTAAAAGGGTCCCAGCTGAGCATCTGCCTGCACTCTCAGACAGTACCTGGGAGTCTGCACAAAAGCACGGGTTTGAGGCCAGACTGGAGTGCACAGGGATCCTGTCTCAACCAACAACCACTCAATAAATGGCTCAAGATGGGCATGATGATGCATGCCTGTAGTTCCAGTACTCTGGAGGCAAAGGCAGGAAGATGAGTTGAGCTCAAGAGTGTGGAAGCAGCCAGGCGACATCTTGGGGCCCATGAGATTCAAAGTACCTGCTATCAAGGCTAGTTATCCTTTGGCCTCCACACATGTGCTGCAGCCCACACATATGCATGTGAAGTAAAGAACTTAAAAAAAGACTCCTTGCCATCCAGTGAAGTAAACAACCGATTATGACAACTTTTTAAGGAAAGAGTCGCAAGGTTTTGCTGTCTTATTTATATTTAAATCTCCCACAAGGAAAACACATCTCTCTTATTTCTTTGGTTAAAATGATGAGCATTTAGGCCAGGGAGAGGGCTCAGGGGGGCTTGCTGTTCGTTCCCTGGGAACCACATGGTGAAAGGGGAGAACCAATTTCCCATGACCTCTACACCAGGAGAGGTCCAGGCATGGTGGCACACACTTTAACCCAGCATTCACACTGGGAGGCAGAGGTAGGTGGCTCACTCTGTGTGAGGACAGCCTGGTCTACATAGTGAGTTCTAGGATAGCTGGGGTAATGTAGAAAGACCCCCACCTCCATAAATAAATAAATGAGTAAGTAAATGATAGACAGATGGATGACAGACAGCTAGTCAGAGGGGCTCAGGGGATGGCTAAGAACAATGGTTGTTCTTACAGAAAACTCAAGTTCTGTTCTCAGCACCCATATGGTTGCTCATAACCATCCATGACTCCAGTTCCAGCAGATTCAATGCCGTCTTATAAACTGGGACACAAGCCCGTGGTAAACACACACACCTGAAGACACTCATACACACAAAATAAAAACAAAACAAAGATCCACCGAGGGAGACTGTCCACCGGGGGCGTGAATTTTAGCATGTATCATGACAGAATATCTGAAAGAAACAACATAGCCCACCACGAGGCACTAAAAGTGCTTTATCTGTAGCAGAATGAAACACAGTCAAGGTAAGAGTCCTGTGACTGATTGCTTTTTTTGTTCTTTCAAGACAGGGTTTCTCTGTGTAGTTCTGGAACTTGCTGGGTAGACCAGGCTTGGCCTCTGCCTCCCGTGTGCCACCATGAAGAGCCACTAATCTTGTTTGTCAGCTTGAGATTTAGACTCACAAGACATGTCTCTGGGAGTCTGGGGGTGGAAGAATGGGGCATTTCCAGACAGGTTTAACTGGAGGAGGAACACCTTAATTTAAACTGGAGAGAAGGCTCAATGGTTAAGAACACTTGAGATTACGAAGGACCCAGGTTGTTCCATACATCACTTCTGGATGAGCACATGCGGCACATACATACATGGACTCAGACACATAAAAAAAAAAAAAAAAATTCAAGCAAGTGGAGTACTAGCATTCATCTTTTTCTTTGTAGACTGCAGACTCGATGTGATCACACTCCTGTTGCCGTTCCTGTCCCGCCAAACTGTCCCCTCAAACTGTGGATGGCATAAAGTCCACAGCCGGAGAGAGGGACGGGGAATCTCAATGGCACGGGAGGAAAACCTTGGCGAGAAAAGAGGCTCTGCTCCAGAGACCAGTTCCGCTTTTAGTGCCCACAGAGGCAGACTTCAGAATCCACTGATCAGGACCTAACAGCACATAAAGACATGTGCTTTCCATCTTTAATCCTACCACTTGGAAGGCAGAGGCAGGCAGATCTCTGTGAGTTCGAGGCCAGCCTGGTCTACAGAGCAAGTTCCAGGACAGCCAGGGCTGTATAGAGAAAACCTGTCTCAAAAAACCAAACCCAACAACAGAAACCAAAACCCAAACCAGTGCTTTCCAAAAGCCATCTTGTCAAAGTCAGCAAATAAACCTCTCTCAGGACTGGAGGGAGGCTCGGCAGTTAAGAACGCTGGCTACTCTTATGCAGGGCCTGGGTTCTCTTACAAGGTGACTTAGAACCATCTGGAAACTCTTCCAGGGGCTCCAATGTTTTCTTCAGTCCTCTTGGGCACCTCGCACACGGGTGGTGCATACAAGTTGCAGGTGTGCAGGCAGAGCACTCAGGCACACAGAATAAAACTTTACAAGTAAACCGCCCTGCCCTGGTGCCAGCTGATACCTTCCCAGAAGCCATCTCCATCAAGGGTGTCAGGGACAGCAACTGGGCTGTGCTCAGCTGGCTCCAACCCCATGTTCCTAGCACTCCTGTCTTCTGTCGTCTCAGTGATTCTTCCCATAAACCACCACACAACCTCACCAATGAGAAACGTCCTTTTAACTCTTTTCTTTTGGTGTTTCCTCGAGACAGGTTTCTCTGTGGCCTTGGCTGTCCGAGGACTCACTGGCCTTGAGACCAGACTGGCCTCAAACTCACTGTGTCCCAGTGTTAGGACTAAACCTTTCACCACCAGCCAGCTAAATTCTCGAACTCTTACCCTTGTTACGATTGACACTTTGAGTCATGTTAAAAAGGAGTTGCTTTCTTAGCCACCTTTACAGATGTAACTTGAGAGCTTCCAAGATCCCGTGCATACTCCTGAAGAACCTCGCTGTGACTGTCCCTAGAGACACCCACACCTCCCCGAGCACTTGCTTCGGATCTTTCCTGCATCCAACTGTGCCTCACATTTGGTTCCCTCTGAAGTTCATTCGTTGTTGACGTGTGAATCTCAGTTTGGCATAGGTGGAGGTCTCTGAAAAGACTCGCCCCGGCAGCCTTTGGTGGAGAGCTGTGTCCCTAACGCCAGTGACAAACCTTCAAGTTGCTTTCGTAAGGCCTTCTGTCAAGGCAACCTGTAACTCATACAGCTGCTATTCACCATGCTGAAAGTTGTTATGAACATGTTTATAAAAATGTGCTTCAAAAAGACCCTAAGAACAAACCACCTTAAAAATCAAGAATGGGCCAGGCGGTGGTGGCACCCGCCTTTAACCCCTGCACTCAGGAGGCAGAGGCAGGGAGATCTGATTTTGAGGCCAGCCTGGTCTACACAAAGAAACCATGTCTTGAAAAACCAAAAGGAAAAAAAAAATTAATGTAACAATTATTAAACAAAACAAAAAAAAAAATCTAAGAAAATGATGAAAACCATAACACTAAATTTCTACATGAATTCTGATATTTAAGATCAAGGCATTATTTTCTTTTCAATTATTTGTGAGACCAAATAATCTAGGTGAAAAGAAATACAAACTATTACTGAAAGGCTTCCAGAATATGCTATATTCACAGGATTTTTCTCCAATATGAATTTTCTTCAGATGAACAAACTGTGGTCAACAAGTAAACTGTTTCTACCTTCTTCGGACAAGTCTGTAAAGACAGAGTCTCCGACAGTTTTGCGTCTTCCCATCCACCCTGCATGTGTTCGTTTCTCACCAGTATAAGTTCTGATGCTGAAGCAGCCGTGAGTCATAGTTGGCGCTCTCCCTGCAGTCCTCATACACGTAGGCTCTCTTACCCGCGTGGATTCTGTGATGACTGATGAGCTGTGAGCTCTGCGAGTAGGCTTTCCCACAAACCTTACACTCATAGGGTTTCTCTCCGGTGTGAATTCTTTGATGTCTGGTGAGGTCAGAACCAGACCGGAAGGCCTTCTCACACTCCTTACACTCATAGGGTTTCTCTCCAGTGTGGATTCTCTGATGTTTAATAAGTTGTGAGCTCTGACTAAAGGCATTGCCACACTCCTTACACTCATATGGTTTCTCTCCAGTGTGGATTCTCTGATGCTGAGTAAAATTTGAACCACTGCTAAAAGCCTTCCCACACTCTTTACATTCATAAGGCTTCTCGCCTGTGTGAATTCTCTGATGGCGAGTAAAATTTGAACCACTACTGAAGGCTTTCCCACAGTCCTTACACTCATAGGGCTTCTCTCCTGTGTGAATTCTGTGATGTCGTGTCAAGTCTGAGCCACAAATAAACGTCTTTCCACATTCCTTACATTCGAAGGGTTTCTTTCCAGTGTGAATCTTGTGATGGTGAGTGAGTCCCGAGGGGTGTCTAAAGGTCCTGCCACAGTCCTTACACTCATATGGCTTCTCAATGGCACGGATGATTTGATGGGTAGTGAACCGTGAGCTGTGTTTGTAGAGCTTCCTGTTTTCTTTACTCGCACAGTATTTCTCCTTCCTGAAGGATGGATACCGACTGAGCGCAGCGGTGTCTTCACAGCTGACGATCAGTTGACTCACTTGTGTCTCCTGAGCCCCACGCTGCCTCTCACACTGGTTGGTCCATTCCTGAACACAGCTGAAATGAGTGCTCCGAAGGTCCTGTCTTGTGAGTTTTTTCATGATCTCCCACTGTGCTGACTCTATCTCATAAAGTTCCTTCTTCAAAAATAATTTCTGGGACTCACATCTTGATTCCAGGACTAAAAAAAAGAAAATATGGATGTGATCACTCACATTTTTACTGTCTGGGAGACGTGAAAACCCAATTCGATATGACATAAACATGGGCGATCTAAGCAGTTTTGAAAACTAGATGCAGGTCAGCTGGGTGCAGTAGGTACAGCTATAACCTGAGCACCCAGGAAGTGATGACAGGAAGATTGGGAGTTCAAAGTTATCCCTAAGTTGAAGCCAGTCTGGGTTTTAGGAGACTCAGTATTAATAACAAAAAAATCAGGGCTGACTGATGGCTGAACAGTCAAGAGCACTGTTGCTCTTCCAGAAGACCCTGGTTCAATCCCAGCACCCACATGGCGGCTGTTTATAACACCAGTCCCGAGGGATCTGGCTCTCACAGAGATACAGATGAAGGCAAAACACCAATGCACACACACGCACACGCACGCACACACACACACAAATTATAAAAAGAAAAAAATTTTAAAAAATCTCGGGCTAGAAATATGGCTCACTGGTTAGGAACACTCTCTGTTCTTGCAGAGGACCCAGGTTCAGTTCCCAGCACCTCCATCATAGTCACAACTGCCTGTAGCCATAGTTCTAGGCCCTTTCCAGACCCCCTGGCCACCTGACATGCATGTGGTACATACTTGCATGCAGGTAAACCTCATAGATGAAAATTTTTTAAAGATTAAAACTAAGTAAATCAATCAAAGCCAGGTATGGTGACGCACACCTTTGATCCCAGCATGGGGGGGGTGCAGAGGCAGGCGGATCACTAAGTTTAAAGCTAGCCTGGTCTCAGAGGAAGTTTTGGACAGCCTGGGCTACTCGGAGAAGCCCTGTCTCAAGAAATAAACTTAAAAAAAAAAAAAAAAAATCAATCAATAAAGGTGTCAAAAAGCAGGCCGAGTAGTTGAGAGCACCTGTTGCTCTTTCTGAGGACTCAGGTTCAATTCCCAGCACACACACGGTGGCTCACAACTGTGTAACTCCAGTGCCAGGGATCCAGTGCCCGCTTCTGATCTCTGCAGGCACCAGGCATGCATACGGTGCACATACATATATGGAGGCAAAATAATCCTACAAATAAACACTTTTAGATAGAGGAGAAAGCCCAGGTGTGGTGGCTCACACTTGTAATCTCAGGAGTCCTGAGGCTGAGGAAAAAGATGCTGGGAGTTCTAGGCAAGCCTGGGTCACAATACAAACTCTGCCTCAACCAAGCAGACCAGGAAGACAAGAAAGCGAGAGGCAACAGGACGATTACACAGGGATGCCTAGTGAGCTTCCTGACATGCAGAAGATGCTCAGCCTACCGGAAAGGAGACTCTTCCCTACGGAGTAACTCCACTGCTGAGGGTCCGATGCCCACTTCTGACCACACGGAACAGACATGCAGGCAAAACACCCACACACACAGTCTGGCGCTCTGGGCTACTGGGCTAGAGGACAGGGAGGCTACATTGGTAATCTTTTTCTCAGTCATGCCAAGTGAAGCAACTGATTTAGGGAGCAGGTGTGAAAGTATGAACAAGGGAAGGGCTGACACCAAAGAAACTTCCCTATACACTTGACCAAGATGGCAGCGCTCGTCTCTCTGCGGAAACACCAGTCTGAACACGTGCAAAGAGCCTCTTGGTGCCGGGTAATGTAGGTGAGAGATGACAGCACCAGGGGGAGCATGGAAATAACACACTGGCAAACCTGGTGGCCCAGGTTATCCCATCTACTTAGGGCTTGGAACTTAAGGAACTGCCTGGTTGACAGAGTGAGCTCAAGGTTAGCCTGACCCTGACTCAAATAAACAGAAAGGAAACAGTGAGGTGAGCATCTGTAGTGCTTGTTAGCACGCTTGAGGACCAGGCTCAACCCCGGTGTGAGGAGGAAAATGCACACATGTGGAAGCAAACAATGAAAAAATCCAATTTTAAAATAGTCATTTCCATTGATGCTCTAGTCATAACAGCTAGGGAACGGAAACCTCAATGTCCTTCAACTGACGAATGGACAAATGAATTGTGGACCATAACTGGGCACGGTGGCCAAGCCTTTAGTGCCAGCACTTGGCAGCAGGCGGATCTCTGTGAGTTCAAAGCCAGTCTGGTCTACAAAGCGAGTTCCAGGACAGCCAGGGATATGTAGAGAGAAACTGCCAGAAAGGAAGGAAGGAAGGAAGGAAGGAAGGAAGGAAGGAAGGAAGGAAGGAAGGAAGGAAGGAGGGAAGGAGGGAAGGAGGGAAGGAGGGAAGGAGGGAAGGAGGGAAGGAGGGAAGGAGGGAAGGAGGGAAGGAGGGAAGGAGGGAAGGAGGGAAGGAGGGAAGGAGGGAAGGAGGGAAGGAGGGAGGGAGGGAGGGAGGGAGGGAGGGAGGGAGGGAGGGAGAGAGGAAGGAAGGAGTGTAGAAGACACTATTCGGCTATTAAAAAGAATCAAATCATGAAACATACAGGTAACTGGATGGGACTAGACATTACACTGAGCAAAGGAACCCAGGCCCAGAAAGACGAAAGCCACGTGTTCTCTCCGTGTGGTTCCCAGCCCCAAACACTCAGAGGTAACACTGCATAGGTAACCCGGAGCAAATAGGGACAGGGAGAGAGGAAAGAAGCCACTCCAGTAGCAGCTGGAGAGAGGAACGGCTGGATACTGAGGGACGGTGGTGACCCTTAACACTGAGGACAGTGGACAACACAGAAGAGAAAGGGATGAGGGATAACTAACACTGAGGACATCTGCAAAGTTACAGAGATTCACTTTCTATGCACCTATAACTGCACATATTTTAAGTGTATGCACACACACACATCAGGCCAAGACCTCAACATTACTGTTTTGTGGAGGTGGAGCAGACCTCAGAGATCAGGTGTAATGTCAGGCCACTTCCTGCCTCACCCCATCTCACACGTGAGGTCTAGAAACCTGCTGTCTGTGACCAGATTCATCCCTAACCCCAGACACTGGGAACAGGGCTCAAGAAGGACAGTTTCTACTGGAGCCTCTGGGACAGCGCTCACCGGGGTAGGGCAGGCATGAATCTGGCACAGCTGCATTACACTTTGTTTCTCTAACTTGTGCAGCCCCTCGCTGAGAACTGCACCTATTAGAGAAACAGTGAACAGCAGTTAAAAGAATGGATGAATCAAGGACGGTATGGAACTTCCAAATAAAAAAACAAGAAAACCCCAAGTTTAGAGAGCAAGTCCAGCTGGGCTGTGGTGGCACAGGCCTTTAATCCTAGCACTCAGGATGCAGAGGCAGGTGGATCTCTGTGAGTTCGAGGCCAGCTTGCTCTATAGAGTGAGTCCCAGGACAGCCAGGGCTACACATAGCAGCCTTGTCTCAAAAAATAAAGGCAGGCAGGCAGGAAGGTAGGAAGGTAAAAAGGTAGGTGGACAGATAGATGGATAGACGGACGGAAGGACAGACGGACAGATGAGTAGAACTGCAGGTGGTAGGCGGCTTGCTTGGCAGGCACAGGCCCTGGGCTGATCCACAGGAGAGAGAGAAGGAGAGGAGTGAATGGAAAAGGAGATGGGAAAGGAGGAGAAAGGGTGTGCGTGCTAGCTTTGCAATGTAGGAAAACACGCATTCCCGTGGACAGCAGATCCACAAAAAGGCTGCTGATAAGGGTTAGATCAAGAGCAGACTGCTAGAGCCACAGCAGCTGGACCTTCGCCCTGGCCTCACAGGAGGGCACCCTGTGGAAAGCAAACAGCCTTCCAGGCAGGTCCTTGCATTTCTCATCACAAGTGAGTTTGGATGTTTGAACACAACAAAGAACCTACAGGTAGCCACACTTCCCTTCCCCCACTTCCTGACGGGAAATCAGAGGCCCTGTCTTCAGGCTCTTGCTGAACCCTTCCCCCTTTCTCAGACATCTGTAAAAGGGAGCCCAGATACCATCGCTCTTCATAGTGGACACTGTGCTGTCTGTGATGCTGGGGCCTGAAGGCTCCTCAGTCTCACCCTCGCTGCTGTCTGTCTATGTGTGTGTGTTACCAGCTCTTCTGATAAGCTCCACGCACCCAACCACCCACCAAGTGTCCCTGAGACCTGCAGCCACAACCTTTCAAGCAGCTTGGAAGCAACAGCATCCAAAGCATGCATCACAGGAAGGGTGACACAAAGGTAAAGGACAGTTAGGAAACACGGAGGAAGACGCAAAATGCTGCCTTCTGTAACTCCATGCGGCTCTCTCTTTCCCTTTCAGATTTTTAAGGACAGGCTCTCCCTGTAGCCCTGGCTGGCCTCCAACTCACAGAGATCTACCTGCCTCTTCCTCTCAAGTGTTGTCATTACAAGTATGTGTCACCAAGCTCAACTATTTTTGGCTCTTCTGTATAAAACTTTTTTTTTTTTTTTAACTTTCTGAGACAGGGTCTCATTTTGTAGCCTAGGCTGGCCTGGAATTGGCTGCAGTCTTGTCTCAGCTCTCAAGCACTATAATTACAGGCATGAGCCACCATAATGCATAGCTTCCTGTTTATAACTTTTTAAGATTCAAAACTCTCTGTGGGACTAGGATATAGAATTCAGTGCCTTTCCTTCCTTCCTTCCTTCCTTCCTTCCTTCCTTCCTTCCTTCCTTCCTTCCTTCCTTCCTTCTTCCCTCTCTCCCTCCCTCCTTCCTTCCTTCCCCCAGAATTTCAAGGCAGGGTTTTTCTATGTAGCATTGGCTGTCCTGGACTTCTTCTGTAGACTAGGCTGGCCTTGAACTATAGAGATCCGCGTGCCTCTGCCTCGCTGAGTGCTGGGATGGAAGGCCTTCACCAGCATGCCTAGCTTCTGATGGCTTTTTCAAAGTAAGATGAGAATCTCCCACTTGGAGGAGAGGAAGAAACAGACCTACCGAAGGCAAATCAAGACTTAGCATGGACAGATGTACTTACCCATTGAAAGCAGGTTGCTGTAATTCTCCAACATCACATCTCTGTACAGATCCCTCTGTTCCTCAGTCAGGCACTCCCACTCCTCCTGAGAGAAGTCTATGTACACATCACGGAACAGCACTGACACCTGCAAGAGTAGCCACATAGTGCTTGATTAATTAAAAAAAAAAGTGTTTCTTGTTGGGGGTAGATGTGGTGCTATGGATTCTAATGCAAAATACTGGCCCCCAGAATCTGGTTGCTATCCAGACGAGCACATTCCCACGTACACCAAGTGATGGTGTATAAACCTTGCTCATCAATTTAAAGTTGGTTAATAAAATTAGCTAGGAGCCTTAACTGGGCAGTGGAGACGTAGGAACTTAGCTTCCCAGGCTTGAGGGTTTGAGAGGGACCATGAGCCCGGCAGTAACAGTTATGGCAAGTAACTTGGGGTGTGTAGCTGGGAAACAGCAAAATAGCTTTGAAGGCTGATACCTGCCCAGTTACGGTGCCTTAAAAGCTTTTATTACTTTAAAATGTCTCGGTCTTGATTATTTGGGAACTAGCTGAAATAGAGAAGCCCTCTATAGTCTAATATCCATTTACGAGCAGTTTCTATTGAGGAAAAACAACAGAGAAGGAATGAGGTAGAACAAGCTAAATGCAGTGAGTGTAAATGTCTGGACTCCTGGGGAAGGCCTGCGACCAAACCACTGTGCCTCCAGGTCAGTTTCCTCCAGACAACGCCATGTGGGGTTAATGAATTCCTCCATCTTTAAAAAATATATTTATTTATTATTTCTACAATATTCTGTCTACACCAGAAGAGAACAAGAGATCTCACTACAGATGGTTATGAGACATTATGTGGTTGCTGGGAATTGAACTCAGGACCTTGGGAAGAACAGCCAGTGCTCTTAACCTCTGAGCCATCTCTCCAGCCCCAAGAAAACAAATCTTAGTATTAATAAGCCAAGCTAGGTGGTACACAATTTTAATCCCAGTGCTCAGGAAGCAGAAGCCAAGCTCTGTGGGACCCATTTAAAAAAAAAATGTGAAGGAGACTTTATGTAATAAGGATCTTTACAGGCATATTTCTTTCAGATTAAATAATACTCTATCTTAAAGACAATAAATGTCGATTTCTTGCTCACCTGCTTGCTATCTGGTATGACATCCAGGAATTCAGGCCCTTTTCATGCTAGACCAAGTATTTTACCAATGAGCTACTTCCCAGTTCTTGGTTTTTCAACAGAAGGGCTCACTATGTACCCTAGGGTAGCCTTGAACTCACCATAGTACAAGATGGCCTGGAATCTACCATCGTCCTAAATGCTGGGATTGAGGCATGAGCCACCACACTGGACACAAGCGACGCCTTTTCCTTTACCTTTAGACCGTGAGGCTGATATCCACCTTTAAGGAATTCCTTGGGGTGTGGGTCGCCTGGGAAGCACTTGCCTAGTGGGCACAGAGCCCTGGGTCCCATCCCTAGAGCTCTCTAACTGGCACATGCCTGTCACCCTCAGGTAAAGTCAGGTGGAAGCCAGCCTTGTCTCAAAACAAGCGAGTGAACACCCACAAGAGACAACCTTAATACCGGAGACTTATTTACGAACACCGCTGCTGAACTGCTACTGAGCTTAAGGAAGACTATGGAGAAAGATGCTGCTTAACACGACACTGGACCAGAGAAAAGGCTCAGCAGTTGAGAGCACTGGTTGCCCTTCCAGAGAAAGGGGGTTCAATTCCCAAATGTGTGGGGAGCCACTGGTCTGCCAGGCTGCTTTGTTATTTAGATCTCAGTGGAAAGACATGTTTTCACCCTGGCCTTCACCTGGAGTCAGTGATAAGCTGCCAAGTCGACGCCCTTTTGTTTGAGACAGCAGGAAGGATGTCTTGTCAAGTTCAGGCCTTTAGTTTGTGTGAGGATCATCACACAGACAGGTGGTTGAGGTAAATGAGTTTGACTGCTCGTATGAATTCAGTCACTGTACTGAGGTGCTTTTGCTCTGACTTAAGGAGACATTATTGGAATAAACCAGCAACTAGTTTTCTAATGGAGGCCCTCTTGGAAAGATCACATGTGCAGTGCGTTGGTTTATAAATTTTTTTTCCAATCCTCACTCTTGACTCAAGAACTGTTCGACTCTACCTGCAGACTCCCGCAGTTTGACAGTCGGACAGCGACCTGAGATACAGGGAAGGACACGGTGGGTGTTGGTGAGCTCAGATCATAAAGTTAAAAAGGGTGTGGTGAGTGAAATTCAAGAGTAAAAATGGGACAAGGCAGTAGCCTCATGTTTTTTGTATGGGATTTAATTAGAAATAGTCTCCAAAAGAGTTATATGTCCCTCCTAATGATAAAAATTTCTTATTAGAAGACTTTGAAGTTGACTTAGATCCTGATGAGGTTACAGAGTTACAGGAAGAGCAAGCTACAAAGAAAGAAAAAGATATAACTGGGTTTTATGACTTTCCAATTATAGAGCAACCTGATGGACAAGGTAATACGGCGAGAGTTCATTTACCTACATCGTAAACAATTAAAAGAATTAAAAACTGCATGTTCTCAATATGGTCTTACAGCACCTTTTACTCAAGCTCTGTAAGAGTCCTTGTCTACTGAAAGCAATTAGCAAAAGAATGTTTGACAGGAGAAGATCATTTGTTATGCAAATTAGAATTTGCTGAACAGTGTCAAGCTACAACTAAATCACTTGAGTTGGGAGACCAAAAACAAACAAACAAAAAAAGGCAGCTTCTCAGTTTTTCCAGTAAGAAAGCTAATGGTAAATTCTGCTACAAAGCTTCTACAGTCATAAAAAATTGGATTCAACAAATAGCACAGTGTTTTGTCCATCTGTTATGAATGTATAAGTTTACCATGTTCAACAGGTCTTGGTTATAGATTACTGGTCACTGGGTATGTTTAAAATCTGTAACATAAAGTAAACTTACTTAAAACCTAGGGTTGGAACCATTCTAAACAACAAATGAATGTTACTCATGTCCCAGAATTTAGAAAACTAAAATAAGTTCATGTAACAATACTTTTTTCAGGATTTATCATGCTAACTCCCTTAGCAGGAGAAGCCACCAACACATTATAAGTCATTGCTTAAAGTGTTTTGCTGCAATTGGTAATCTTTCCATTATAAAGACTGATAATAGTACCACATATATTAGTCAAGCTTTTCAGTGTTTTTGTGAGCAAATAAATGTCATAAAACAGGTATTCCATATAATCCTCAAGGTCCAGGAATTGTGGAGCGTCCCCATGGATCTCTTAAGAACCAATTACAAAAAATAAAAAAGGGGAGTCATATCCCCAAATCTTAAGCATGCTCTCTTTATTTAAAATTTTTTGAATGTGGATATACAGGGCCATTCTGCAGCTGATCAATTGTGGCACCCTAATACCAAAGATACTTATGCCCAAGTGAAATGGAAAGATCCAACTACTGGAATATGGCAGGGCCCCAACCCTGAATTAACATGGGGAAGAGGGCATGTTTGTTTTTCTGCAGGATGCAGAGCACCAGGTGGATCCAGACAGGCTGGTGCCATTTGCAGGAGATGTTTCCCGGAAGGAGGATGCTCCTGTTGCTGACCACAGTGAATCCTGTCCTGATGGTGAACAGAGAGCTGTATTGGGCTTATGCTCCTGACCCACCTTTGTTTCATTCTGCTCCTCGGAGATGTTAAGAGAGAAACCTCTTAGTTACAATGTGACTGGGCTTGATCTGGTAATCGGGACAATTCTCAACAAAATCAGGAAAAATGAAAACCAGGACTGACTATGGGACTTTGGTCTGATTCTGATTTTCAGCAGACCTATATTTGTAAGCTTGCCACAGAAACTCTTGGGAGGCCCAATAATTGCCTATGTAAATTTTCCTTATGTTTTTTTTTGTTTGTTTGTTTGTTTAGAAATGTTAATGTTCTAAGATTCAAACTTTAATGTTTGCCATCAATGTAAACTAACAAACTCTATTTCTAAGCTTTCACATGGACAATAAGTTCTGATTGCTTGACAGCCTTTTATTATGGTTCCTGTGAATGGTTCTCAGGCTTGGTATCTGGATGAAGGGGTCATCATTTAAGTCACTTTTATGGAGTGTTATTGGATTTGGCTTATCACTCTTATTAGGAGCATGTCTCTACCAGTGACAATTAAGACCTGCCTGGAGTTCTTTTAGAATGTTCACGACGCTGATCAGCACAAGATTATAAACCCCAGGGTCTACCCTAGCAGATGTTGGTAGTCAAAAATGGCTAAGAGCTCTCTAAGAATATTCAACCTAATACCTGTGGGGAGCCGCTGCTCAGCCAGGCTGCTTTGTTATTTAGATCTCAGCGGAAAGACATGCTTTCACCCTGGCCTTCACCTGGAATCAGTGATGAGCTGCCAAGTCTACGCCCTTTTGTTTGAGACAGCAGGTGGGATGTCTTGTCAAGTTCAGGCCTTTAGTTTGTGTGAGGATGATGATCCTCACACAACCACACAGACAGGTGGTTGAGGTAAAGGAGTTTGAGTGCTCCTGTGATTTCAGTCATTGTACTGAGGTGCTTTTGCTCTGACTTAAAGAGGGATTATTGGAATACACTGGGCAACTAGTTTCTACTAGAGTGCTCTGGAATTGATCCCATGTGTAGTTTGTTGGTTTATTAATTTTTTTTCAATCCCCACTCTAAACTCAAGAACTGTTTGACTCTGCCAGTAGGCTCCGGTACATGTGAACATTGGGGCTCACACCATCTGTAAATCCAGTCCCGGGGGATCTGTCGCCCTCTTCTGGCCTCTGTGGCTACTTCACACATGTGGGGCACAGACAGACATACTTGCAGGCAAAACACCCATATATACACATAGGATTTAAGAGAACACAACAAAACAAAAAGAAAACTCAATGATATCACAGATAGTTAAGTGTTCATGGATGCTCACCAGAATGTCAGAGCTTTGACGAACCAGCAGTCATACTTCCAAACCTAGTAAGCCAAGAGACATGCCATGTTCTAAGACTGACACTACCAAAATAGCACACTTATTTTCTTTCTTCCTTCCTTCCTTTTTATTGTTGTTAGTTGGAGAGTGGATCTCACTGGGTAGCCCTTGCTGGCCTTGGACTCACTGTGTAGACCAGGCTAGCCTGAACTCACAGAGCTCTTCCTGTCTCTGCCTCCCGAGCGCTAGAATTAAGCCATGTGCTACCCTGTTTTAGTTGTTAGCCTGGTCTTTTAACCTTTAACGGCTGGACCAGCTCTCCCACCCCCACAGCTTTTTTAATTAGTCTATTAGGCAGCCTTTCCTTCGGAGGCCAAGTTCTCAACTTGTGGGTCACGACCCCTTTGGGGATAGAGCCTTTTCACATGGGTCACCTTAGACTATTGGAAAACACAGATGTTTACACTATAACTTATAACAGTAGCAACATTACAGCTAGGAAGCAGCAACAGAAATAAAGGGAGAGTCAGGAAGGTTGAGAAGCTCTGTCTCAGGATGTGACCCTTTGTTTGACACACTGGGACTCTATCACGACTGAGCACCCGCTGTTTTTACAGACTATGCGGGCTCCGTTTAACACCAAATAAGCGTCTGTGCCTCACCTGAGCCATGGCTTTGATAGCCGAAGCTGCTCTGCGCTGCTCTTCTGGAACAGAGTGGAACTAGGAGAGGCAAAGAAAACAGTGAGACCCCACTGGACTCGGCTCCCGCAACAGTCACTCTCACGTCCTCCCCTACACACGGAGGGGTCTGAGAAGAATGGACGGATCTCCATAAGCATGCACACAAAGCCATATGTTTCTTTTATAAGCTGGAGCGTGAGGGCACATGTCTGAAAGCACCCAGGACACTGAGGCAGGAACGCTGCCACAGGTCTGCGGCCAGCCTCTGCACTGCACCCGTCCGCGTGCCCCCTCTGGCTTTGTGCGACAGGGTCTCTCTACATTGCTCTGCCTGTGGTGGAACCCACTCTGTTGACCAGGGTGGCGTTCAATTTACAGATCCACCGGCCTCTGCCTCCAGGGTGCTGGAATTAAAGACCACACATGGCTAAAAAAAACCCGAAGCTCCTGCAGCCTACTGTAAAAGTAATTAAAGTCTAGTACAGTGGCCAAAGCCTTTAGTCCCAGCACTCAGGAGGCAGAGGTAGGTGGACCTGTGAGCCTGATCTACACAGCAAGTTCCAGGCCAAGGCAGGGCTATACAGTGAGACCTTATCTCAAATAAATAGATAAAATGGCCATGGCTGTATGTTTACAAGATTAAAATGTAGAAATGCTCAAATGTACCGTTAATGGACGAGATGAGTAAGTGCACTTCAGATGCTGGAACACCGAACAGCACAAAAACTGAGTCAGGCTGCTACCCGACTTTTAAGGCGAGTAACCACGGAGGTGTCCGAACAGACCCGATAAAACACAAAGGAAAGAAGCACGACAGCACTCACACGAGCCTCGAGAACGAGGAGGAGCTGAAGAACACCGCACGCACGCAAGAGCTACACGTCCAAAGCTTCGCACACCCACACCCAACCCACAGACCAACTCACCACAACGGGGACACTCGGCTGCGGGACCCGGGTAGAGAGGACAAGAGGACCACACACACGGGGACAGCAAAGGTGGCTCAGCACACGCGTGCACTCGGCGGGTCCCCAGCGCCGCGCGTGCACACACAATGCCGCACGTGCTGCCCAGCCCGCCCGCCCGCCCGCACTCACCCAGGGGTGGTGCCCGCCACGGTGGTGGCGGAACCGGGGGCGCGCCACGGCCCGGCCCCTCCGCGCCGCACGCGCCCGGCGAGCCAGCTAACGGCTGCTCGACGCCGACCGCAGCTCGGGCTCCGCACCAAGCCCGGGCTCGCCGCCCGCCCCGCCCTCGTCTCGGGTTCCGCGCCTCGGGCCTTCCTCCCGAGCTTCCCAGCCCGCGCGAGCCTTCGCCGGCGGCAGGGAGCCGAGCGCCCGCCAGCGCGTGACGTTCCCGCGAGAGGCCGAGGAGGCTTCTGGGAATCGTAGTCCGAGACAACGCGGCGGCGAGGATGGCTGGGCGGGACGCGCTCCGCGGGGTTCTTGGAACCCTGAACCAGCCTCTGCCGCTGCCTTTAAAAGACACTGAGAAAAGCTAGGAATTAGTTTATCTCCCGGCCCTTCGGCACTATCTGTAGACGACGGACAGCTCTAGGAAAAGGGCGGGGAATGGGGCAGGTCCTCAGAGAGCTACGCCTCTGCTTGGCTATCTCTGTAGAGCAGGGACAGACTTCATGGGCCGACCTATGGCTTGTTCTGGCAATCAGTTTGGCTCGGTATTGCTTTTTAGCAGGTCCCACAGGTTGAAAGGGTGGGCCTCAGGAACCGGCCTTGGATCCCCGTATGCCTGTGATCCTAGCACTCGGGTGAAATTGGAGGAGGTGGAATTTGGGATTGCTAGGTGTGGTGGTTTGGAAGAGAATGACCCCGTAGCCTGGTATGTTTGAGTGCTTAGTCAGCAGTTAGTGGAACTGCTGGGCAAGGATTAGGAGGTGTGTTGGAGGAGGCGTGTTACTGGGGCTGGGCTTTAAAAGCCTGTATCAGGCCCACTGTGAAGGTCGTCTGGCTGTCTCTGTGTGTGCATTTGTGTGTGTTATCTGCAGATCACGGTGTAACGCTCTCAGCTGCTGCTCCCCTGCCTGCCACCGTGCTCCTCACCGTGGTACTCATGGACCGGAACCCTGAAATTATAAGCCGGCCCCCAATTAAATGCTTTCTTTACAAGAGTTTCTGTGGTCGTGGTGTCTCTTCACAGTAACAGAACAGTAACTAAGACAGTAAGATAATGTTTCGGTGTGTGTTTTTGTTCACCAGTATTGACCAGCCATTAGGCTCCATTTCCATAGCAAAGGAGACAACCCTGACTTACATCTCCGCATTAGAGAAGATGCCTTTGACGGGCAGTTCTACGGGGCAGTACAGAATGACAAACCATTGTTAACTCCTGCCCTGCTATAAAGCCCTCCACCTCCCCCCACCACTGTCTTCCTTAAAAAGTGTGATTCCGCCCCTAATAACAACTGTTTGAAAAGAAAAAAGAAATGGTGTATTTAAAAATAATTCTAGCAGTATCTTTGCTGTGTAAATCTCCCATCTGCCCAGGAGGCTAGGCAAGCAGACTCCTATCTGTCTGTTTAAACTGTTCAAAGTGTAACCTTGGGCTAGACCCCCGAAAGGCACTTAAGGACAACAGCTTTTGTGTCTAAGGGCTGCATAGGTTGGTAAAATTTTCTGTACATAAGTAGTTCCCTTTTGAACAGCAGCCAGATACTATCGTTAAGGAGCCTTTTTCTCATTTTTCCTGAGTGTGTGGAGTGAAGTCTCCCATGGGAGCAGGCATGTTCCTCTGCTTTACCGCTACTTTTCCTCCTGCATCATGAAGCACTGCACCCCAAGAGATTAGACTCTCCAGAGCAAGGAGGACTCCCATCACACAGGCAAAATTTCTTTCAGAACGAGGCCTTTTAAACAGCTTTTGACGGGTTTGTATGTTTTTTATTTTGCTTTTGTTTGAGGTGTGGTTTCCCTGTATAGCTTTAGCTGGCCTAGAAATCCCTGTGTAGACAAGGATTGCCTCAACACCACAGAGATCTACCCAGTTCTGCCCCGAGTCCTGGGAGTAAAGGAGCGCACCATGGCCAGCGTGTTTTTCTTTCAGGGAAAGGAGGGGTTAACACAGGGCCTCATTATGTAGCCCTGGCTGTCCTGAAACTGACCGTGTAGACCAGGCAGGCCTCAAACTCACAGAGATCCACCTGCTTCTGCCTTCCAAGTGCTGGGATTAAAACCATACACCACTGTGCCCAGCTTTATTTTTCTATCTGTCTTCTCTCTCTTTTCAGACAGGGTTTCTCTTGTAGTCCTGGAGTCCTAAACTCCTTTTGTAGAATAAGCTGGCCTCAACCTCACAAAGATCCTCCTGCATCTGTCTCCCCGGGTGCTGGGATTAAAGGCATGTGCCACCATGCCCAGCTCCAGCTTTATTTTTCTAATAGAGATAATTCCTCTCTACAAAGACCAGGCTCCCTTAAACTTTATTTTTGAAGATTTATCTATTTTTCAGGCTAGAGAGGGGCTCAGTAGTCAGGAATACTGGCTGCTCATCCAGAGGACTCTTGGTTTAATTTCCAGCACCCACAGGCAGCTCACAATCTGTATTCCAATCCTAGGGAATGTGATGCCCTCTTCTGGCCTCCGCAGGCCCTGCACACATGCAATGCACAGATATACGTGCAGGAAACCATTCGTAAACATTCAATAAAAATGATTTTCTTTTTAACTACATGTATATATGTGTCCATATGTGGATCTATGTACAAGCGAGCGCAGACACCTACAAAGGCTAGGAGTGGGTATTGGATACCCTGGAGCTGGAATTACAGGTAGTTGTGAGCTGACGTGGGTACTGGGAACCAGAACTGTGATCTAGTACAAGAGCAGTACTCTCTGTGGCCTCCATGGCTTGAGCTTCTCATCCTCCTGCCTCAGGCTCCTGAATGCAGGGTTTATAGGCATGTACTATTGCGCTTGGGGCCTCCTTTTCATAGCTTTTAGAGGTATATACTGTATTTACACAAATTTTTTGAGACAGGGTTTCTTGGTGTTCTATTGCTGTGAAGAGACACTATGACCACAGCAACTCTTATATAAGAAAGCATTTAATCAGGGAGGGCTTACAGTTTCAGAGGCTTAGTCCATTAGTGTCATGGTGGGGATCATGGCTACAGACAGACAGACAGACATGGTGCTAGAGAAGTGTTGTAAGAGCCTGGTTACTTGCCAGCCATAAGAATAAGGACACCAGGACCTTGTAATATTTCAAAGCTTAGGCCTGAGCTGGGCAAACTCTCAACTAGCTCATACACGGTAACCCATCTACCTAGGCCTGTCCCACCACAAGGCTAGCTGTACCTTCCAGGGCCCATAGTCACGTCTGTCTCCTATCGTGTCTCCTGGAGAAAAGACCCTTCCCTTTCTTCCCAGAGTCCCTTTCTCCCTACCAGAAAGTTCCCCCTTCAACTTCCTGCCCAGATATTGGCCCTCAGCTTTTTATTAAGGCCAATCAGAGGATGCTTTAGGTAAGTGAAGAAGGACAGAGACACACCTTCACACAGTATACCCCAACAGAGACGTTCTACACCTGGATCTGTAGGCACCAGGAAGAGAGAGCCAATGGGCTTAGCTTGGACTTCTGAAACTTCAAACCCCCACCCCCTTCCCTACCCCTATCCTCTATCCCATCTCCACCCCCCACCCCACTCCCACATGCTTTCTCCAAGAAGGCCACACCTCCTAATCCTTCCATGATGACCAAACATTCAAATATGTGAGCCTATCACAGCCATTTTTATTTAAACCACCACAACCTGAGACTATTTGAAATGATTAGGAGGTGCAGCCTTTTTGGAGGAACTGTGTCCATGGGGGTAGGTGGGTTTTGAGGTTTTAGAAGCCCATGCCAAGCCCGGAATCTCTCTCGTGCTGCTGCCTGCAGATCCAAATATAGGACTCTGCCACCATGCCAACCTGCATGCTGCCATGCTCCCTGCCGTGAGGGTAACGGATAAAGCAGCAAGGACTGCAGCCCCTTCCTGCCCTTGTCCAAAAACATCGTCCTGAAGCTTGTAGTAGAATTCTAGCAGAATCACTGTATCTAGAGTATTAGAATGAAACAGCTTTTCACTGTATAGAGGGTAAAAATCAGACTGAAGAGTTGTTTTCTAGAAGTACTTTGCTCCTGAAGAAATAGTGTAGAAAACGGTGATTATTTCCTGTTATCTAGAGTTGGTTTTTCTGTAGGAGCTTCAGCCTTTTATGTGACTTTGGTCACGGGATGGTCCCGGCACACCCGGAATGTCTCGTATTATCGAGTACAGCAAACAGTGCACAGGAAGGACTAAAGTTGCAGGGGCATGATGTTTTCCTTCAGGAAACATATAGATTCGGTTGGGGCTTTGGTATGAGGAACTCATTTTACCCAAGAAAACCCAACATTTGTGTAACAATCAATAAATATGCTCCTGTGCAGCTGCTTGAGGCTCAGTTCATCGAGACTGTTCCTCCCTGCTACCGCAGAGCCTGATTGCATTTGAGAGTGACCCTCCTTTTTGGATCAACATGTATAACTTTGAACACTGACAGGAGCTAAATTGAAGAGTTTGGAGTAGTGGCACAGGCGGAGGAGATTTCAAGACAGCCTAGTACTGACTCTGTCCTGTGGTCATTGGTGGTCGCTTTTATGAAGATCTATAATGAAAAGGAGCAAGAAACAAAAGAAAAAATTAAAAATGTACAGTTTGAGGAGAAAATGTCTCCATGCCATTATTCAGAGCTGGGCGGACCTACGAAATCTTCGTGGTTTTATTTGGTGCCCAACACGCCTGTGTGCCTGAGCGAATGTGTAGGCACCGCTTACATGGTTCTCTGATTCTGCAGCTTTTAATCTTTTTTTTTTTTTTTAATCTTTTGTTCTCTTCTTTGTTACTTTATTTGTGGGTTCATCCTGGGTTCTTCTCCTAATTGTGTCTTAATATCTTCTCTGGCTCAGCACTGCTTCTCCTAGCTCTTGTTCTGCTCTCTGCTAGCCCAACTCACTTTGCACTGTCTCTCATTTCCACATGAATCTATTAGAAGAGGGATTTGATCTTCTGGAAGAGGTGTTACAGTCAGGTGTGAGCCACCATGTGGGTGCTGGGAACCAAACCAAGGTCCACAGCCGTCTTAATGACGGAGCCATCTCTGGGAGAGGCCCTCGGGTCTATTATTTTTAATGGAATTTTTAGGTTTTCACCATGTCTATTAACAACAGTAATTTTATTTATCCCTTTCCAGTTTGAATGCAGCACATCTTAGTCTTGTTGTTGTTGTTCTTTTGTTTTAGAAGGTGGTCTCTCTGTATGGCACTGGTGTCCTGGAACTCACTCTGTAGAAAAGGCTGCCCTCAAACTCAGGGCTCTGCCTGCCTCTGCCTCCCGAATACTGGGATTAAAGGTGGGCACCACCACCGCCCAGCTTAAGTGTCATATTCTGTCACTCTTTTTCAGGGGGTTGTCTCCATCTTACCCCATTTTCACTTGACCAATTTTAGCAATTCCTAAGATTAGGTCAAAGCAGGCCTTGGTGTCTTAGCATTTTCACTCACGCACAGAGTTATCGGGTATCGAGGAAGGGTGTTCTCTGTATCGAGGAAGGGTGTTCTCTGTGGTGGGAGGTGCACGGATGCAGTCTCAACACTGGAGAGGCTGAGCCTGGCTACGGACCGAGAGTCTAAAAAACAAGTGACCACCATTGTGGGACAGAGAGGTGGCTCAGAGGTGGCTCGAGAGCAGCTTTTGCTCTTGCAGAGAACCTGGATTTGATTCCTAGCACCACATGGCCGCTTGTGACTGTCTGTGACTCCAGTTCATCTAGGACTCTGAAGTCCTCTTCTGGCCTTTGACCTGCATGAGCCACACAAAACATACATGCAGGCAAAACACTCATAAAGTAGCAAAATAAGTAAACCCTAGAAATATTGTTTTAAAGACACGATTGTGTAAAGAATTGACTTGTGTGAACTGACAAACTGGCAGGCCACAGAAGCAAAACACCCAAATCAGTTGCCCTCTCCTCTGGTGTAGAAGTACAAATGTATCTGAGTTTTAATCCCCAAAGGAAAATGTGTGAAGAACCAAACCATAGCCAAGCATGGTGACTTGCGCCTTTTATCCCAGCCCTCAGGAGGCAGAGGCAGGCAGATCTCTGAGTCTGAGGCCAGCCTGGTCTACACAGGAAGTTGCAGGTTGGCCAGGGCTGCATACTGAGCCTGCCTGCCTTCCTGAATGGCCTGATTCTGCCTGAAAGGGGGCGTCTGGCTGCAAGCTCCGCTCCCTTGTGTGTGAGCCCCCTATCTGTCTTCAGCTACACTGCAAAGCAGTACGTTCTCACAACATGTGAGCCTTACAGTCCAGGAGAGGAGTTGTAACTCCACTCATGTCTTAGGGGTTTCTAGTGCTGCGGCAAAAACACTGTTGTCTAAAAAGCAAGCTGGGGAGGAAAGGGTTTATTTGGCGTACACTTCCGTATCACTGATCATTGAAGGAAGTCAGGGCAGGAACCTGGAGGCAGGAGCTGATGCAAAGGCCACGGAGGGATTCTGCTTCATGGCTTGCTCCCCGATTTGCTCAGCCTGCCTTCTTATAGAACCCAGGACCACCAGCCCAGGGATGGCACCGGCAATGGAATGGGCCGAGAAAATTCCTTACAGCTAGATTTTATGGAGGTATTTCCTCAACTGAGCCATGTGTTTCTCACTGATGACTAGCCTGTGTCAGGTTGACACACCGAGCCGGTCAGCAGAACAGGTTTCTTCACCTAAGGGGCCTGAATGCGTGTGAATGTGGGTTTGACAGCTGAGATGCATGCAGCTCAGGTGGTAGAGTATTTGCCTGGTATGCACAAAGCTCTGGGTTCAGTTCCTGCCACATCAACTGAGCATACTGATGCATGTCCGAAATCCTAGAACTTGAGAGGTGGAGGCAGGAGGGTCACAAGTTCAAGGTCATTCTTGGCTATCTAGCAAGTTCAAGGACAGCCCAGGCTACAGAAGACCCTGTTCCCCATACCTTTTCCTAAAAAAAAAAAAAAAAAGTGGGCCAAATGTGGTAGATACTGAATTCTAGCATTCAGGAGACAGATCTCTGTGAGCTGAAAGCTACCCTGGCCTCAATGAGATCGAGGCCAGCCAAGGCTACACATTGAGACTCTTGTGTCAAATACCCATCAGGCTCCATGTCCAATTTAAAATAAAAAATGAAACTGTGACAAGACAGCTGGAATGGTAGCTTGAACCGTGGGGGAAGAGCCCGCTCACTGACAGCAGTTCTGACCTCCATCTTCCCCTACAGTGGCCATTTACCTTCCTCCTAAGATCTGGGTCCTCAAAAGTCAGACATTCAATCTCACTGCTTTAGAAAGTGGGTGAGGGGGCTTCTCATTCATTCTTCTAGGCCCGGTTGTAATTTCTTGTGGCAATTTTTTTTTCAATTCTAAAGAAAAGCACTCACGGAAGTTAATATACAGGGAGCGGATTAGAGAGCAGGAAGTCAGTTTTAGATCATGCCGTGCTTTGTGAAATGCTAGGTCCTGCCAAAGGTCAATGTTTAGCCCTTTTTGTGAGCTACCACACACCTGAGACATACTGACCAAGTGCTAAGTCTAGCATAATGGCCCACACCTGTAATCCAAGACTGAGGCAGGAGGATTGGTGTGAATTCAAAGCTAGCCTTGTCTACTTACTTCCAGAAGAGCTGGGCTACAAAGAAAGACCTTGAGGGAGGAGAGCTAAGGGAAGTGGGGGAGGGGGCTCTAGCTTTATTCTAGAGTCAGACCAACTGCAGAATGAGCTGATCCCACATTCAACGGGCTTCTGGTTTTTCCCGAGCTAGTAAGTCATGGTAAGACACCATCTCTAGCTCACTCACACCTAAGGACAGACTCCCCAATCTCTTACATGCTCTAGAGCCCTGAGGAATCCAGGCCTCATGCGAAAGGACCAAACCCCCAGCACGAGGAGGAAGAAAAAAAAAAAAAAAAAAAAAAAAAAGGATCAGGACAGGACTTTTCCAAATCTTATTAGTCTGAGTCCAATCGATGGATGGAAACCACACAGCAATGCTTACTTAGTAACGGCTCCAAAGCCTGAGAATACTGATGCAAAGTGAAGATGCCGTTCCTGTACTCGAAGACAAGAGTGTTCTCAATAAGGGGAAAGTCATATACTGAGGTGACTATGCTGTAGAAAAAGTTACTTTTTGAGCCAGCCGGGCAGTGGTGCACGCCTTCAATCCCAGCATTCAGGAGGCAGAGGCAAGTGCATCTCTGAACTGCAGAGTGAGTTCCAGGACAGCCAGGGCTACACAGAGAAACCCTGTCTCAAAAAAGAAAACGAAACAAAAAAGTTGCTCTTGTGGTGCTTATAAACCTCACCCAGGTGTATATACACATAGAAAACCTAATATAGAGAACTAAATGCTCTACAGGGCCTCCCATAGCCACCAGGGGCCGTGGGATGCAGTCACACACATGGGACTGTTGGAATGACAGTATCTCATCCACATCCATTTAAGAAAAATAACAAAGAATACATGTTGCCACAATGTAGAACTATCAATTTGTTATTTTTATTTGGAACCTTTCTTTTTAATTAAAAGGAGATATTTAGACATAGAACTAAAGAAGTATTTAATTACCTGCTCTGTCACATCTCGTTTCTACAGAATTCCACCGCCACTGTGACAGCAACAGCCACTTTCTGGGAACTGAATACATAGCCTCCCCATTCTAGTTTTAGACAAAAGTTTCCCGTAAACTGATGCTTAGTACTGGGGTTGATAAGTTGGTTTTATTCAGATTTACATAGGAAAATGACAATATATCCATTGCTTCAATCTTCTCCACACTGATACACTGTTTTGGTTTGCTGTGAGCACGGATTCCATCTGTTGTACTTTACTGTATGACAGTTACATTTTCTTCTTTATCTACTTCACAAGCGAAAAACAGAGACGCCCACCTTCCGCTACCAAGATGCATGCTGTGATGAACAGACTAGCTGGTCCATGGCTCCCCACACAGGCATACCAACCCCTTGAGAATAAGTATAAATGCTCAAGATTAACAGCTGAGGATTCTAGAACCTAAAATTTGTTTTCTCCTCCAAGGTCTCAGAAACCGTCCTCTTAGAAAATTCTGACACAAAGTTTTGCTTTCTGCAGACACTGGAATTCCCAAGAAATATTTAATAAATTACATCAGAGGCCTCTTATTTTCCCACACAAAGAGTTAATGATCCTGAGATTATTTTTTAAGTCCTCCACGATTTCCCCATTGATCTAGGATATTGCCACAATCAGTTACCAGTTTCCCACGAATTCATCCATGTTTCCAGATTCGACATTCTGTTCTGACCTCAACTTTATACAATTCCATCAACAAAGACTTGAGCTGGCATGGTGATATCTGTAATTGTAGCAATGGATAGACAAGTAAGTGGATTAACAGAAACATGAGGACAACTTGGACCACATGGTGAGTTTGAGGTCATCCTGAGCTATGTACATAGGGAGACCCTATCCCAAAATGCCTTCTTTGAAAAATGATTTTCACAAATTATCTATATACCAAAGCATATATCAAAAATATTTTTTTCCTCTTATTTTCAAACCTTTATATTGCTGATATTATCTTAATACCTTTGATAATCTTCCTAAGACTATCCTAATTAAGACCACTGGACTCTAAGTTCATTAAGAAGGATCCTACAATGGTAGCACTAATAAGGTTTATTGTGAGTCTGGGAAGTATATAATACTGTAATATATCTTATTAAATATCTTTATATTTTAAGCTTTTAAGTCACTACAGAAAGATTTCTCACATTTGTGTAACTTCAATGTAAGATAAATCTTTTGATATATTAATCATACATTCTGCTCAAGCTTTCCTGTATCTAAGGCATTCATAGAGTTTTAATGGATATGGATTCTCTGGTGTCTAATGTGGTGAGACTTCTGGCTGAAAGCCTTCCCACACTCGTTACACTGATAGGGTTTTTCACCGGTATGGATTCTCATGTGTAAAGCAAGGGTTGAGAACTGAGAAAAGGCCTTCCCACATTCGTTACAACCATAGGGTTTCTCGCCCGTATGGCTTCTCATATGCACTGTAAGAGATGAACTCTGACAGAAGGCCTTCCCACAGATTTTACATTCATAGGGCTTATCACCTGTGTGAATTCTCACGTGTACAATAAGTGATGTAATCCGAGAAAAGGCTTTCCCACATTTATTACATTCGTAGGGCTTTTCGCCCGTGTGAATATTGTGATGTTTGATAAGGTACTGTTTCTGCCTGAAGATTGTTCCACATTCATTACACTTATAGGGTTTCTCTCCAATGTGAATTTTCTCATGCTCAGTGAGATTCGATTTGCCACTGAAGGCTTTTCCACACTCCTTGCACGTATAAGGTTTCTCTCCAGTGTGACTTCTCTGGTGTCTGATGAGGCTTGACTTCTGAATGAAGGCTTTCCCACACCCTTTACATTCATATGGTTTCTCTCCAGTATGGATTCTCTGGTGTATAATGAGGTTTTCTTTCTGGCTAAAAGCTTTTCCACACTCATTACATTTAAAAGGTTTCTTTCCACTGTGGATGTTCTGGTGTTTAATGAGGTACTGCCTCTGACTGAAGGCTCTTCCACACTGGTTACATTCGAATGGTTTCTCTCCAGTATGAATTTTCTCGTGTTCTTTGAGATATGATTTACCATTAAAAGCCTTCCCACATTCCTTACACGCATATGGTTTACTGCCCACATTTCTCTGATTTCTAGTGAGGGCTGTCACTGCGACGGAAGTTTTCTCACACTCATAGGCTTTCTCCTCAGTATGTTGTTTCTGGTGAGACAGCAAGTTTGCTCTCTGGCTGAAGGCTTTTCCACATTTACTGCATGTGTAGGATTTCTTCGGTGCGTGGCTTCTCAAATGCAGAGTAAGTGAGGCGACTCGAGAAAACTCTTTACCACATTCTGTACACTCATGCAGTTTCTCTCCACTATGCATTTTCTTATGTTCCACAAAGTTCTGTTCCAGGCCAAAGGTTTTTCTACATTCGTTACATTCATAAAGTGTCTCTCCGGGAGCAAGTTCATCATTCAGGAGATCTGACTCAGGCTGAAGACTTTCCAGCATTCTGTTATGCACAAAAAATTTCTCCTAGCATCTACTGAGAAAGGATGAAAGCTTTTCCACATTCACTAAATACATATACTTTCTTTTCAATACTAAATCACAAGTATCTAGTGACGCCGAATATGGATGAGAGACTTTTTATATGAGAAACCTGAAACGTGGTTACAGAGGGACTGAAAAACAGCACTGTCTTTATGTTAATCGTTCTTTTTTTATATTTTCTTTCATTTTCACAAATAAATTATGGATGTGTGTAAATGATAGTTCAAAGTCTCTTTAACTGAGTCCCATATTTAGGAGAGAACTCTTGAAGAACCCAGAGGAAATACTTCGTTTCCTAGGTTTTCCGAATTTGTTCTTAGTCTATTTCTATAGAGAAAGATGAGACTTAACTCACAATTCTTTCCTCCCGTGTCCTTATCAGTGTATAAACTCCACAGGCTGTTTCTAAAAGACAACAACAAAAACAAATCACTGAAAAGAATTAAAGGGTAAAAATGTTGGTGTCTAGAATGCAGTAAATATTCAACAAACTAGCTTGTCATTATCATTAACATCCTTAACAACATATGAATTCTTCCTTTAGCTAGAAAAATGCAGAAATGTGTCATTAAAGAAAGACTGTTTAAATCACACATGGTTGGTCACACTTATAATCCCAGAATTTGGGACACTGAGTCAGAAGACTGACATGAATTTAGGGCAAACATGAGCTAGACAGTGAATTCTAGGCCAACCTGGCTACAGATGAGACACTGCCTTAGAAACAAGACAAAATAAAGCAAAAGACACAAATGACTTAACTACTGAATGTAGAGGAATTTTAATCCAGCAACATGGCAGCTCTGATCACATCCAAAGTCCTTCTAGGTCTGTGTGATCCAGCTGGAATCTAGGTACACCCTTAGGGCACACCTTTAACCCCAAAGATGTTTAATTAAGGGACAGACAAAGTGATGAATCAGAGAAAGATTTGACAGAATAGAAATGCCCAATTTTCACAAGAACAGCACAGGAAAGGGAGGAGACTGAAGAGAGGGCAGGGAGAGGCGGTCAGATCAGTTCAGTCCCATTGAGTGGAGCTGAGTTTGATGCAGTTCGTCTCTTAAGAGACAGTGCAGTGGAACTGAGTTTGTGGCGTTCAGTTCATGGAATTAGGGGCCATTGTACTGGGACAGCCGTACAGAGACGGGTTGCAGAGAGAGAACAAGCCAGGTGAAGACAGAGCAAGCCAGAGAATGAGGAGCCAGAGGATTAGAACATATTTTTAAAGTTAGTATGAGGCCAAGCAGAGCAATTTAGTCAGAAGCCAAGAGAAGCCAGTTCCAGGCTGAATCAGTCACCTTGGAGAGGAGTTTTGAGTCAGAAGACCTGAGCTGAACCAGCCAGCCAGAGTTCGGAGAGAACTGGAAAGGGTGAGTGAATTCAGCAGTGAGCCTCCAAGATGACAACTACATGAGGAGAATAAAAGTAACTTTTACGACTGAAGCCTGGTCTTTTGGTATGGAAGAAAGCTCAAACACAGTAGCATCCCCAGATGCACACAGCTTTGATTGCTTTTAAATGGAGCGTGCACATATCATCAGTAAGTAAAATAAGAGACAACATAAAAGACGAGGCCACTACCAGGACAAACACTTAAGCCTGGTAGGTGCACCGAGTGCCAGGACAAAAACAAACACACACAGGAATTTTTAAAGATACATTTGTCTCTTATGATTTCTTGAAATTCCACTAAAATAGTAAAAGGACTAAGGGGGTGGGGAAAACGCTCATGAAAACTAAACACTGGTGGGCAAAAAGGATTTATAAAAACTAAAGGCGTAGACAGCACTGAGCTAGTTTGACTAAAGAGACTACAAGTAAGAGTACCAAGCAGGGACAAAATTAATTTGTGACAGATCTTAACAAAAAGATTACACAGGTGAGTTAGAGAGATGGCTCAGAGGTTAAGAGCACTGGCTGCTCTTCCAAAGGTCCTGAGTTCAACTCCCAGCAACCACATGGTGGCTCACAACCATCTATAATGAGATCTGGTGCCCTCTTCTGGCATGCAGGTGTACAGGCAGGCAGAACACTGTATAACATAATAAATAAATAAATCTTGAAAGAAAAAAAAAATTATACAGGCAAATGTATGTAATGCCTGCACTTGGATGACTAAGGCAGAAGGACTGCCACAAGTTCAAAAGCCAGTTTGTGTCCAAAATTTGTTTGAGATAACTTCCAGGTGGCCTGGACTATAGAATGAGACCTCCTGTCAAAAAAATCAAAACCAGAGTGATATAATTTGGGAAGAATATATGTTTATACATTGAATATAAATGAACAGCTGATAACCCCAACTCTTTTCCTTGTTTATTCAGTGTGTGTGTGTGTGTGTGTGTGTGTGTGTGTGTGTGTGTGTGTGTGCAGGTACCTTTGGAGAGCAGAGGCATCAAATTCCCTGCAGCTAGGCACAGGCTTTGCGCGCCACCCAACAAGGAGTGCTGGAAACTGCACTCAGATTTCATAAACCAGCAATTGCTGGTAGAAGTTCTTGTGGAATGTATACATTTGACCTTGTCCATTCAAATGCTGATTTCTCTACCCCACTATCTGGTTTCAATCCGGACATTGCATTGTGATGCTTATTCTAAGAATCACCTGTCTCAAGTGTGTGTAAGCATGCTACCATTTGTTCTCTGTATTGCCAATAAAAAAACAGCCAGCCAATGCTGAGCAATGGAGAGAATAGGGTGGGACATCTTGGTCTGGAGAGGAGAAAGGAGGCATGGGAGGAGAGATCCAAGAGGAGAGGACCTGGAAACATCAGAAGAAATGAACTGGACCTAAGATTTAACTAAAAAGCAAGTGTAATGTGGGAAATCTAAATGGGAGGAAGCTATGTGGGCTTTTCAATGACAAGAATTGTGTTATGGGAGTAGGCGCGTAGCTTGGTTAGTTGATTGCTTGCTTAGCATGCACCTTCAAAGTCCCGAGTATGTGGATTCTCCCTGCAGGAGAAGGTGTGTCACTGGGAGTAGGTTTTGAGGCTTCAAAGGCCCACACCAACCCCCGTGCTGCTCCGTCTCAGAACAGGACGCGGTTCCCATACTGTGTTGGTCAGAGAGCAGTAACAAGGCAAAAGATCACATGTTCATGAGAGATGTATAGGTTTTTTTGTTTGTTTGTCTTACACATTTGTGTGTGTATCCACACAAGTACAGGTACCTACGGAGACTGCAGTCATAGGTCCGCGTGGAGCTAGATACAGCATCACTCATTAATCTTAAGCCTGCAAATGAAGCAGAGGGACCAGCGAGCAACACGGAAGACAGAGGAGCTGCAGGAGGTGAGGAAACGGCCTCAGAGTCAGGAGGACCGTCTGGGAAGTTCACTGACCTACCTAATGAATGCTCAGCAACTGTCCCTCCAACGGGAAAGAGCTGATCGCAGTAAACAAACAAACACACACCCGTTGGAGGTTGTAAACTCTCGAGGAAGCTCTAAGGACATTAAGGCATCATAAAAGGCTTCATTCACCGGCAGACTCACGTTTCTTCTCGGCCACACACTGTCTTTGTTTGAACGGAGCAACTCAGGACTCTGATGCTGTGTCTGTAAATCAAAGCAGCAGCGGCGAGGCAGGCTGGAGGCTGAGGACTCTCGGGAGGATTGAGGGGTGGAGAAACTTCAGCTCCTGGGGGCCCAAGAGGAGGCTGACCTGTGAAAACAATGGAGCAGCATGAGGAAATGGGCCCTGGTGCGAGCATGCGCACTTGGCATTCACGCTAAACCATATTCTACTTAGAGCCAAAATGTACTTCAGATGTGGGTAACAGAAGGAACCTCATTTCCAGAATTCACGTGACACAGGGGAAATATAATGCCAACTTTCCAGAGTTTGCCCTAATTGCCATCAGAACATGATTTCTGAACAGACTGTGCTCCCAAGTCATGACGTCTAACTGTTGTCTGTCATTTCCCCCCAAACACAGTGTTTTTTTTGGTTTTTGTTTGTTTTATGAGGCAGACTCTCTGTATAGCCCTGGCTGCCCTGGAACTTGCTCTGTAGACCAGGCTAACCTCAACCTCAGAAATCTGCCTGGCTCTGCCTCCCAAATCAAAGGTATGGGGTTAAAAGCAGGCACTACCACCACCCAGCCCCAACAACATTGAGTCACGTGTGATGGCACGTTTCTCATGCTAGCAACTTGGGAAACTGAGGTAGGAAGGCAGAGAGTTCGGGGTCAGACATGGCTACCTGTCTCAAAAGAAGCTAACAGAGGGTCAGGGAAATGGCTCAGTGGCGAACAGTAGTTAGGTCCATCTATGTCGGTGGCTGTGACGTCCGGCCTGAAGTCCAGCCTCAGGGGCGGAGAAGGAACTGAGGGAGCAAGCTGCTTAGCAGCATGAGACAATCCAGGAACCCTGAATGTGGTGGGGATCGATGGAGGGTGACTCCTCATTCTCCCCACCCCCCCACAGGCATGTACACTCATGGGCACATGTAACCCCACCCTCCCACAGATGCCCACATATGTGAAAAACAGGCACACGCACAAGCACAACCCCCCCCACACACACACCTTGAAAAAGAAAGAATAAACTGGTATGAGTGGGCGCCCAGGAGGCGGAGGCCAAAGTAGCAAAAGTTCAGGTACATGATAAGCTCCAGCCTTGCTACACTACACGAAAGCCTGTCCTTAAAAAGTTAGAGGCCTGAGCAGTGGCGACGCACATTTTTAACCCTCACGCTCAGAGGGCAGAGGTATCTCTAGGAGTCTGAGGCCAGCCTGATCTACACTGTGATTCCAGGACACCAGAGTTAAATAATGAGGCCCTGTCTTGAAAAACAAACAAACAAACAAACAAAAAACCTAAAATGAAAAGGGGGCTGGAAAAATGGATCACCAATTAAATACGCTGGCTGCTCTTCCAGAGGAACCAGGTTCAGTTCCCAGCACCTACTGGGCAGCTAGCAATCATCTGTAAACCCAGCTCCAGAGGATCCAGTGTCCTCTTCTGGGCTGTATGCATGTGGCACAGAGATACACATGCAGGTGAAACAGCCACACACATAACATAAAATCTAAAAGAGAAAGGGCTGCAGGAGACCTTCTTTGGCAGAGAGGCTCGGGGGTTAAGGCCGCTTCCTGCTCTTGGCAGAGGACCCAGGTTTGGTTCCCCGAACAGACATGTTGGCTCATAACCACCTGTAATTCCAGATGAAGGGAATCTGACATCTTCCGACTATAAGACACCAGAAATGCACATGGTCCTCATTTATACAAGCAGACAAGATACCCAGACACGTAAGAAAACACGTCCAAGTACTTATCCCTGAAAGATTCAATCCCTGACGAGGCCAAAGGCAAAACAAAAACACCTATTTTCTTTTAAAAGTCACCAACCATCAACAACATAAACAAACAAACAAGAAGCCAAACATGGCAGCATACAGCTGTCCACGGAGGAGAGGGCGGAGACAAGGGGATCCCGGGAGACCTTGGACCAAGGCCAAGCCAATGGGTTCCCCGTCCAGGAGAGACCCTGTCTCAAACAGGGTCTCTCCAACAGAGAGCCATGGAGGGACCCCTGACATTTACCTCTGCCCTCTATGCCCCGTATACACACACGTCCACAAGCACTTGTGCACATACCTGACTTGTGCGCACACACTCACTGACCCTGACACTTTACTTTTTCACTTGATTGAAAAACTTGTTAAGGGGCTGGAGAAACAGCTCAGAGGTTAAAAGCATGTACAGCTTGCTCTTCCAGAAGACATGAGTTCGGTTCCCCGCAGCCACAAGCCACTGCTTGAAAAGACAGATCCAGGAGCTTGGATGCCCCCTCCTGGCTTCCATCGGCACTCACAAACATGCCCACAAATCCAAAAGCGCACATAAATAACTCTTTAAAATTAAAGTCTTTATAAGAAAAGCGGAGGAAAACGTGTTCTAAAAATAAATGTGACAAGCCAGGCGCGGTGGCACACACCTTTAGTCCCAGCACCCAGGAGGCAGAGACAACTGGATCGCTGTGAGTTTGAGGCCAGCCTGGTCTACAAATCAAGTTCCAGGGCAGCCAGGGCTACACAAAGAAACCCTGCTCTACATAATAAACATATAAAGTAATAAATAAATATTGCCATGCGGCAGCCATAACGACGCAGGCCTTCAACCCCAGCACTTGGGAAGCAGAGGCCAGCCTAGACTGTACAGTGAGTTCCGGGATAACCAGGACTATGAAGAGAGACCCAGTTTTTCTGCTTTTTGTTGTTGGTGGTGGTCATGATCATTTTTTAAGGATGACAAAAATACTTAGATGAAAATCTGTACGTTAACAAAAGCTATCTGGCAAGAGAAATATCTGGACAAATTAAGGGTCTTAATTTGCCAAAGTGCCTTGCATATTGACAAATTTGAGTTCGAAACAGCTTTCTTGCCGTTCTCTGTGCCAAAGGTGAGACAATTATTTATCTTCCTGATTCTATGGCATCTGTAGCAGTGGAAAGTACCGTCTGAGGGGTATTCCGTAAATTAGGGGCAACGCAAAAATAACCTAACCGGAGTTTCTCCAAGTAGGAAATGAATGCCTAGTGATGCGTAGGCACGGGAGCTTTTGGAAATCTGTTACAGAAACACATTTTTTTTCCCAAAGGAGCCCTGGGAAAACATTCCACTTTGAACTGCAGTGCAGACTTGTTTTAATTTTTTTAAATCACTTTTACAACTACTCACTCAATCCACCCCTCTCCCTCTCCCGCTTTCCAGAAGAACGCGTCTGTATTTTCCAAACGCGGCAAGTGTTAGAAACCCACCCGCGTACGCCCACCAACTGGAACCCAGCTTCCCGCTAACTCGGAACAAGCCGAAACACACCCTCCCGCGAGCCCACCCGGGCGTCGGCCTCCCCGCCCCCACCCACGCGAGTTCTCCGCTCCGCGGTCGCCGGGGGCGGCTCCCGTCCCCTCCGCCACCCTCGCCCTCGCAGCAGGGCAGACCTTCCCCGACGGCTACCCCGGCCGGCCTCAGCCCGGGGACACGCAAGCTAGCCCCGCGGAGCCCCGCAAATAAAACTCACCCAGACAAAGGCGATGATGGAGAGCCGCGACGTCTGCGCCTGCGCACTCCCGAAGGCCTCGGCCCAGCGGGGCTTTCACTAGTTTTTTTTAAATACTGTGGACTACATTTCCCAGGATTCTCCGGGGTAATAGTTGATTTTTTTTTTCCCAGCCGCTCTCCCCGGTGGTGGCAAAGGAGTAAGGGGCTCAGATACTGTTACTTTTACTCTGTGCTACCAGAAGGGCAGTGGTGTGACGAGGTGTGCAGCGAATGCGGCCCAGAACACTGACTAGGTTTTACACGCCTCCAGGGCGAGATTCCAAGCAAGGCGTGACCTTCCCGGCATTCCGGGGGGCCGGGCGCCATCTTTGCCACCGTGGTGCACTGGTGCGCTGCGGAACTACATTTCCCAGAAGGCACCGGTTGTTCCCATCCTCAGGCTGCGGAGAGTTGTACCACACTCTTGCGGGTGAACTCTAAACTCGTTGCTACGCTATCACAAACAGACTCCAGACGGGAATTGAGACGGAAAAATTGGGTACAGGCGAAAGAGGCAGGAAAATTAGCTGTTGTGGAATGAATTGTGATTTTTGTAACCGTATGCCCTAGGGTTGTGACCATGTGTAACAGTATGGAAACCAGTTTGCAGGTGTGCTGTGGTGTCTTGCGGGGTGTTATTTAATGGGTAACCTTGGCGTTAAGTCCCCAAACCGGGACACATGAGCCGCGCTGCCTATGAGGATATAAAAGCAGCTGATGTCCACCAGTCTCTCAGCACCCCTAGTACCTGGTATAAGTGTTACAGCGCTGAGTGGAGAGGTCTCAGTGAACAACAGACCAAACAAGGGATTTATTTAGAAAAACACACGACGGCGAATGCCTTGCTAGGGAGAGAAGCAGCAAAGAACTGAGCAAGAGGCGAGCTTCCGAAAGGGTTAGGGAGGGGGCGGAGCTTTCCAGCGGGCCTGGGATTGCTGGGATTTTGTGGCCTGATCTTGTTTTTTGTTTTGGTTTTGGTTTTGTTTTGTGTTGATGTAACTGAGAAAAATGACAGGGCTATATTTGTTGTCCTTGTAATAGTACCAAAGTGTGTCTGAATCTCAAGACGCTCACACCATGTGTTGGGACTGCATACTGGCCTTTTATCCCACATCACAAAAGGGGCCAGCCAAAGAATAGCCGCAACTGAGGTAAAAACCCAGGTACCCTCCTTTAAGGAGGGTAGGGTAGGTTTTTGGTTGGTTTTTTTTTTTTTTGGGGGGGGGGCTATGAATGTTTATTGTCATTGGGAAATGATTATACGTTATTGATGGTCTTAGAGAGCAAGCGTGATTAATCTTAGGGATTTCTCTCTTTTCTGTTCTCTATCTTAGATAAGGAGAAAAGGGGTTGAAAAGAAAGAAAAGGGAGTAAAGGGATATTTTATAGGAATAATAAGACAAACAGTAGATTATTAAATCTACTCAATTTAAGGTTTTGTTTGTTATTCTCAAAGATACTCATTGGTGTATAGAATTTTGTATATTGATACAAAAATAAGTCTATTTTGATACATTGGTATAAATTTTAGTATATTAATACAAATTCAAGTTTACATTCAATCCTTTTAAACTGGCATTACAAATTTAGGGTATTAGGTAATGCAAGCTAATTGTTAATCAACTCATAGTCATGTCAGACACTAGTCTAATTTATCACAAAAATATACATCCTAGGTTTAACAGATAGATACAATTTTATAGATAGGTAGATTATATAAGTCTTCAAAAACCTCAGAGACCTACAGAACATGGCATTGAAAAATGTTTTTATTATTTTGCAGATTCTTTGACAATGAGACAGATCATCTCCTTGCAGCACCCCGCCTACCTCAAAGATGATCATCAAATAACCTCCATATGGAGATGGCTTCAAATGTGGCAAACCAGCCACTCAGGCAAAAAGAAAACGCCCTCATTTCATGATAGACAGAATTCTGCCTAAAATGGGCAAGCTTAAATGCAGGTCAAGTCAACTGCCAAACTCTGCCAAGACAGGGTAAGCAAGTCCTAAATAGTTCCTGCTTTATATATATGTCTGTTAAATACTCTGATGCTGAAGATAATGCTCCAGCATTATAGAGAGTTTTAAATGGCTGTTCAGGCAACAGACTGTCCCTGCCAATTTTCTATTTTTTTGAAGCTACTAATATGTACTTCCTATTTACTCAAGTAATTAATTTTATTCCTTCTCAAGTCTCTGGTGGGGTTAAAGACCAGATTGCCATAGTATTACAATTAGCTTAGTTGCTTAGGAATTAAAAAGGTCTAGATAGATGTTTTTATGTTGATAGATACAAACTATAAAATAACTTAGGTACAAAACCTTAGACCCTCATAGAAAAAAAATATGATTTTTTTTCAAGATTGCCAATTGTAAGCCTTGGCTATTGGTTTTTATAATTGTTTCATAATTATTCTCATTGTAAAAAAGATGGCTTTTTTTTAGATAGAAAGGGGGAATTGTTAGAGGTTGGTCTGATGTGTGTTCCTGGCCTTAAGATCTGGTTAAACCTATCCTTGTTTTGTAAACCTGCCTAAGACATGTCTGACTGGCTGATTAAACAGCCTCTACCTGGGCAGGGCAGAATGGCATAGTCACGGCTAAGGTTCACAGGCTTTTGGAGTTCAAAAGAGGATCATGGAAAACAGACGAACCGGAAGACAGGAAGAAGGAAGACGCCATGATGGGTTAGCCTGGAGAAGAAATCTCATGGATCTGGGAGGAAGGACTCCAATAATGGTGTGATAAAGCCCAGATGGAGAATAAAAGCAAGTATGTCAGAGATTTTATCTGGAAGATAGGATGGTTAAGGAGGATGTCATTGGATGGGGGCTGGAAGATAGGATGGTGAGGTGATTTAGACAGTGTAAGTGAAATATCTGCCCAGCCCAAGGTAAGTCAGTCAACTGTGAATCGAACAGGTGTCTGAGTCCTGTTATTTGTGATAGCGGGTTAGAGAATGCCGCCATGATGATCTTAGGGCTGACAACACCTTTCTATTATTTACTACAATAGACCCTCTACCTAAGTGCTTAATAAACTCACTTTGTTTCACCTTGGCTCACCCTGAAATTCTTCTCTGTGGTTACAGTCAAAGATCCACTTTGTCTCAGTAGCAGTCACTAAGAGGGGAAGGAATTCCTCAGGCTGCTGCTGACTCACAGTGTCTATAATCAACCAAATACATGCTTTACAGATGGGAGGCTACTTAATGTTCTCCACTTCATTCCTACTGAAGGCGGTTTTCTCATGTCTTTACCGTTTCCAGGGGATGTAGCCTTGAGTTCTGGGCTTACCCTTTCTTACAAAGCTCGTCTATCACAGCCTGCAAATGTGATTAGTCTTCACAAAATAATTACAACATGTCCAGAAAGAAAAACTGTTCCTGATAATCGGATCTAACTAGGCAAGAAGTTGAAGTCATAAACAGAGCTAGGCATGGTAGCATGCACCTAAAAGCCCAGCACTGGAGAGATTAAGTGCTGGGTCAGAGAGATCAGGGTCAGGAGTTCTACTCAGCTACGAAGTGAGTTTGAGGCCAGTCTGGGCTGTAGGCATAAGGTGATTGTGCAATTCAAATGCTGATTTCTGTACCCTCATACCTGGTGACAATCCTTGGTCTGAGAATCTCCTGTCTCAGTGTCCTGTAAACACTGCTCCCCAACTGTCCCCTGATACATCAATAAAGCGGCTTACGGCCAATCACTGATCAGGGGAGAAAACAGAGCCAGACTTCCTGCCAGCCGGGGTGGGGGTGGGGGGTGGGGTGGAAGAATAACGGATTCAACCACAGATAGACGTTCAGGAGGGACCAGAAGGGAGAGCTCCACAAGAAAAGCTACAAAATGATTTATGCTGGGAAGAAGCCAAATCAGCTCAGAGGGTTAAGCGTTGAGTAGTAATGGCTTAGTTATTGTGTTGTGAAGCTTATTATTAAACAAATATAAAAGATTCTCAGTTATTTGTGTGATAGCCGGGTTAAGAGAGAAACTGAGAAACAGTTTTATAAAATTCACCTTAACACTGGGCTAAATGAGACCTCTCAAATTAACAAGTTAAAGAAAATATTAATAAAAGATAATCTTATTCCTTGTCCAACTCATACTTATGCATATTCAAAACAACTAGCATTTTTGTTTTGTTTTGTTTTGTTGGATTTTTGGTTTTCAAGACAGGTTTTCTCTATGTTGCCCTGGCTATTCTAGAACTCTTTCTGTAGACCAGGCTGGTCCCAAACTAGCAAAGATCCTCCTGCCTCTGCCTCCCGAATGCTGGGATTAAAAGCCTGCTCCATCACCTCCTGGCTGTCAACCAACATCTTATTAGCAGAAGTTATAAATCCATTTTGGCAGTGTGGTTGTGGGTTTTTGTTTGTTTGTTTGAGACTGAGTCTCACTATTTAGTTCTGGCTTATCTGGAATTTACTATGTAGACCAGGCTGACCTTGAACTCACAGAGATCTGCCTGCCTCTGCCTCCACCTCAGATTAAAGGCATGTACAGATGTGATGTAGTTATACGTGCAAGGAAAACACCAAAGCACATAAAATAAAAAAAATACTAAAAAATATTTACCTTATGTGTATGAATGTTTTGCCTGTATGTATGTCGTGTACCACATTTGTACAGAGTCCTTGGAGGACAGAAAAGGGCTCCAGATGCCCTGCAACTGGAGTCTCAGCTGGTTGAGAGCTGCCATTTAGGTGCTGGGAATTTTACTCAGGTCCTCTGGAAGAACAGCCAGTGTCCTTAACCATTGAACCATCTCACCAACACCAACAATGCTGTTCATTCGCACAATGATATCTTCCAAGAAATTTGGTGTTGGGAGATCAGTATGATCTTGTGGAAACCACTTAATCTGTGAAACAAATTTTGAAAACATTTCTGAGTACTGCTTCACATAACAGTCTTCCTGCTCAGCTAGTAATTATGAGTGAATTGATGTATAATTCCCAAAGGCGTACATATTAAAAAGGTTCATTTGAATATCATTAGTATTTCCTTTTCCCCTACATGCACTGAAGTATAGTAAAACTAGTTCCTTGGTCGAATTCCTTTCACAACTAAGTTAAAAGAGTATTATTCAAATAATTAACAGGAATTGAAACAGAATGTGGCAGTGTATACCAAATTATTGATAATGAATATTCCTTTAATCCTAGTACTCCGGAGCCAGAGGCAAGCAGATCTCTATACCTATACATGCATATATACATACATGTATACATATATCTACATACTATCTTTAAAAATATGCTAGATGTGGTGGAGCACACCTTTAATCCTACGGCTTGGGAGGCAGAGGCAGGCATGTCTCTGTGAGTTCAAGGCCAGCCTGGTTTACAAGTGAGTTCCAGAACAGCCACGGCTACACAGTGAGACCTGTCTCAAAAGTGTGTGTGTGTGTGTGTGTGTGTGCGCGCGCGCGTGTGTGCGTGTATGTGCCAGAGGACAGCCTTGGGTACCCCATTTCTGGAAGTGTCCACTTTGAGATTTTGAGACAGGGTCTCTTCCTGAGCCCTTGCGCTGCTGACCCTTCTAGGTTGTGCTGTCAGTGAGGCCCAGGGATGTTCTTGCCTGCCCCTACAGCGCTGAGCTCACAGGCATGCACCATGCCCTGTCCCATTTTTCCTGTGGGTACCAGGATTGAACTCAGGCTCTCATGCTTGTGCATCCAGCAGTTCGGTGTGTAATATTAATAGTCACCTTGTGTCAGTAAAAATTTAAAGGTCAACCTGTGTTGGTAAATATTCTTTTCACTGAGACTTTTAATTAAATATCCCTAAAATACAGTAAAAGCTGTACACATTGAAAGCATTTTTTTTTTTCCTAAAGAATTGGGAAAGAAGTCTATTATGAACCCTTTGAGGAAACAGGTTGGAAAATGACAGGCTGCAGCACTAAAAACAAATGAAACGAAGCTACAAAGTCTCGTACATTTTAAAATCATTTCATCAATATGACATGCTTTTGATAGTAGCATTTTCCTTCAGAAGAAGATCCTGCAATTGGGATTGACTAGCGCTTTTAGGTGGAATATTGTTTGGTTCAAAGCGGTCGATCAGTAGGGCCTGATCATCTCCTTTTTCCACGGAATGACCAGTTAATCCATCGCATTGGCTGTAAGTCATTGGGAGATCACCGATGAATGACACAGAACTTCCCAGACGATCATTGCAATCCTATTCTTGGCGCCTCAACATCCCATCTTCGCTTGCACTTTAATTTGGGCGCAATTCCCGTTCCAAGAGCTCCATACTGAGCACAAGGCTGTGTTAGTTATGTAGGAACCTTCTTCACCCTAGGTTTCACATATCAAGTTCCTGTGCTGTGGCGCACGCCCGTGATCTCAGCACTCTGGGAGGCAGAGGCAGGCGGGTCGCTGTGAGTTCGAGGCCACACACCCCTATATACATACATGTGTCAGCTTCTCCCATGGAACTTTTCGCATCCCCATCCCTCCCCCACGCCTTCTGTGCATGACCCCACGGGAGAGCCTCCCTCCGAGGTCCGGGACTCGGAAGCGCCACTTCCACTCCGCACACGGGGGACGCAGCGCCGGGGGAAGGCGACCCCGAGGCCGGAGGTCTGGGTGGAGCCGACTCGGGCGGCAGCCGAGGGGTCCCCGCGCGGGGTGAGCGGGGAGGCGCGCAGCATCTAACGGGCCGCCCCGGAGGCTCCTGGGAGAGCGCACCCCCGGCGGGTGTGCGCAGGCGCAGACGGCCGAGCCGCGGCGGGGGGTGAGGCCGCGGGCCGCCGGGGAGTCGGGAGAGGCCGGGACCGCTGCGGATGCTCCGGGTCTCCGCGGCCACGCAGAGAGCGACTCCGCATGGGGAGGCCGGGGAGGAGGCCGGGAGGCCGCCCCGGGCCTGGTAACTTGCAGTGAGCGGGGAAGGGAGACGGACCCCGCACGCTGATCCGTAGCCCCGGGCCTCGGGCGTGGCCGTGGGCGTGACCCCGGGGATGACTGCGGAGCCCGCGGGCGCGGCGCTGGGTCGCGGGTTTCAGCGCGCGGAGGCTCCGACTGCCGCTGGGAGCGGGTCCCTGGGCCGCACGAGCGTGGCGTGTGGGGATGTGGGGTGCACGCGGGGGTCTGGCTCCCTCAGCTCGTCCGGGTTGGGGCTTGGGGGGCGCGGGGGACACGGGGATCGTATCCCCTCGCGTGAGAGAAAGATGGATGGCGGGATCTTGCTTAGGATCGCTGCGGCACGCGTCTGTCTTTACACGAGGTGTGACCGGTCTTTGAGACAGATTGAAGGGATTTGTGGACGTGATTGGAAGTGACTTTGCCTGGGACTCCGTCGCCTTCTGTCGTCGTGAATGACGCGTGACGCTGTAGGTTGGTTTTCTGGGGCATGTTTGAAAGGTTCAACACTAACCACGTGTGTGTGTGTGTGTGTGTGTGTGTGTGTGTGTGTGTGTGTGTTGGTTTTTGTTTTTTTGTTCTCATGATTTTGTTGTCTGCGTGCTTTGGGGATTTTATTTTATTTTATTTTTTCGAGACAGGGTTTCTCCGTGTGGCTGTCTGGGACTCACTCTGTAGACCAGGCTGGCCTTGAACTCTCAGATGGCCTGGGATTTTCAGGCGTGCACAATCACCTCGCTTGTAATACCCTTACTATTTAGATGACTGACTTATGCTGAATGATCATGTATGTGTATTTTTTAAGACAGGTTCATTAGGTATCCCACGTTGCCACTGACCTCACTCATAGCCCAGGATGGCCTAAAACTCGGCAGTGATCCCCCTGCCTTAACCTCCCCACTGCTGTGCGTGCACCGCCGGGCCTGGAAATAGTTTTACTATTTGATTATCAGATTAGTAGCCAGCCAGCCTGCCTTCAAAGGTTTAACTTAGCAAATATACAGGTCCTAATGCTGGAATGGAATAGGTAAGATTTTCAGTGCCCAGCGGTGAGGCCGACTACCGGGAAGCAGGGAGTTAAATACAAACTGTTGGAATGGTGTCCCTGGGAGCCTGCGGGAAGAGCAGCTGCTTCCATCCATGACTAGCACTTTCCACACATCAAAGTGGATCTTTCCCTTCCCGAACACTATAATAGTTATTTCATGCGCTTTTGCTGCTGAGACCCGTGTCAACACAGTGATTGATGTTGGAGGAGGTCCCTCACAGTGTTTTCAAATGCTGATTTCAGTGCCCTGAGATCTGGTTTCCGTCCTGCCACGGGCTTTGTTGTGAATGTTGAAAGGTCTCCTGTAGACGTGTGATGATAAGGAATGTTCCCCAGCTATGCTGATTGCTAATAAAGATGCTGAAGTCTATGACTCGGCAGTGGGAGGTAGGTGGAGCTTTAGGTTCCTGGGTTTGGGTTCGAGAGGTGAGGATGGGAAAGGAAAGAGAAGAGGTAGCAGGAGGGGAAGCCAGAAAGAAAGGAAGGAATCGGAATCACCGTGAGGCAAGATAGACAATGAGCTTGTGACCGTAAGGACAGACTGATATGGGGGTCAACAGATTGGCACGTGGTTGTTGGCTCTCGTGTGGGCTTTAAAAGTACTAGCATTAGAGTAGCTCAGAATCTGCCCAGCAGAGTGTCTACAACATAATAGATCATTTGCTCTCTGTGTCAATTCTTGGGGAACTAGCTGGCTAAAGAAAATTGCTGCCTAATGGTTTTCTGTATTAATTAATTTGTGGAAAGAATATTATTCTTTCAAAGAATAATTAAGAATATTATACTTTCTACACAGTAATTAACTTCGGCAACCAGAATGTTCACTGTAGCCGTCAGCATGCAAACTTTACCTAACCCAGTGGGCCCCCAGATCGGCAGGAGCGAGCGGTTAATTCCTTTTCTGTGTCCACATCTACACTACTGGAATGTGTTACGCAGTACTTCCTTCTGGAGTTAATGTTACTAGGAGGTGACACTTGTAGAGCATGCATAGCTTCCTTCTCAAGATTTACTTATTTCATGTGCTGTGTTGTGCCTGCATGAGTGTACTGCAACCTGTGTGCCTGGTGCCCGTGGAGGTCAGACGTGGGCGTCCCCCAGAGCTAAGGTTGCCAATGTCTGTGAGCCGCCATGTTGGTGCTGGGAACTGAGCCTGAGTCCTCTGCAAGAGCAGCCAGTGCTCTTAACCACTGAGCCATGTCTTCAGTCCCTAATTATGCTGCTTCTTCTCCTTCTTCTTCAGTTTTTGAGACAGGGTTTTTCTGTGTAGACTTGGCTGGCCTGGACTTTGTAGACCAGGCTGGCCTTAAACTCAGAGAGTCTGCCTGCCTCTGTCTCTGCCTCCCAGGTGCCTCCTGGCTCTACAGGCGTGCTCCACCAAGCCCAGCTCAACTGTGCCTCTTAAATAGTGTGATACAAGTAACTCGATAAGGAGATGAAATGGAAAGTATAAGATCCATATATTTTCAAGCTATGGAGAAGTGTGACATATGACCACGTCTTTTGAAGTATATGGAGAAAGATAACACATGATAAAGATGGCCCTTGCTATTAGTCCAGGAAACGTTGATTATATAGTGTGAGACGTTAGCTAAACACAGTGGACAGGACATTTTTCATACTGCAAAGCTGAATAAGAGAAACTAAGGAAAGTTATTTGACTCCTAAAATTATTTGCATCTTAAACAAAAAATAGGGCTTGAGATTATGTTGAGTGGTTAGAATACTAGGGAAAAATCAGAAGATGTGTCAGCTCATTAGGAAACGGACCCACAGCAAAGGTGAAACAAACCAGATATCATTACAAAAATGGGGAAATTTAAACTCATTAAAGGAAGCTTCTCACAATAAGAAACATATACCTCTTAATGACAATCTAGAATAGATAAAGATTAAAGGCTTCTCACCTATGTTCACCAAGGTGTGGGAAGGCAGTTCTGTGTGCTCCTGGTGATGGTGTCAGTCAATGGAAGGAGTATGAAGAAGTCAGGTTCGGGCAGTGTTGAGCACAGGGCCGAGAGACTTGCTTATGCTAGCATGTGCTGTCTGCCTCAGTCACATGCCCAGACCTGTTCAGTAAGCCTGTGCAAGTGTCAGCAGGCTCCATGGGACCCGTCTTAGCTCAGCATAGGACAGCGCTTTCCACCCTGACCCGGTCCTGGGTCTCGGGAGTGTCCTCAGAGTAGGCCCCGTGTGGGAACAGAGGAAATGTATGCAGACCTAATGAAGTTATTCTGGGAGATCTACGTTGCGCGAGCTTCTTCATGGCTCCTTACGGGCTCCATCTTTGCCTTGCCAGGACTCTTCCCTTTTCCAAAAGAGGAGCTGGGACGGCGAGGCTCTCCCCTCACACATCTCAAAGCCATGCCTAAGGTGAGGTGATACCCCTTTCTTTTCTTTCAGGAGATAGGATCATTTGCTAAGCAACCTTGCTTCGGCAGCCTGGGGGTTGGGATTTGCTTCCATGAAATGTTTTTCAGATTAGGGCCAGGGTCTCTAGTTAAGGTCCAGAGTAGAAAGACTAGTGACCCTGGGGATGGCGCCTTCCCAAATCATCTCCTCTGGGGGGCTCACCTGCCTCACGGATTCCAATCCTGCTGCCTAATTCCAGCCTTCCACAGGTATACCTTCTGTTCAAGGCCAGTGTTCACAAACTGATTCATTGTATTGTTCGTTGTCTTCTTTGTTCATCTTACAGAATTACTGCTATAATTAAAATGTCTCAGTTTAGAGAGAAAGAAATTATTGTGCTTGAATTAATCCAGTTTATCTTGATACTGATTTGAAATCTAAGTTGTGAGGTCATGTGATTAGTTTGTGGGAGGATGTCCTGTCTGTGAGGTTTTCAGGGCAGACAGTTGAATATGAACTGCTCCAGAAAGCTGAGGCTGTGGAGCTGGCCATGGTGATCCCAGCACATTGGGAGGCAGGGGTAAGAGGGTCCTGATTCGAGGCCGGCGTTGCAGAGTGAGACCTTGTTTCAACAACAGTAGAAACCAGAGCTTGTGTGCCTCCTCTGTGATCTGAGTGTATGTATGTGCATCATGTGTGAGCCTGGTGACCTTGGAGGTCAGAAGAAGGAGTCCATCCTTTGGAGCTGGAGCTGCAGACAGGTGTGAGCCACTGTGTGGGTGCTGGGAACCAAATTCCTCTGTAAGAGCAACAGGTGCTCTTAACCACTGAGCCTTCTCTCTGGCCCTCCTCCCTAATTTTCTATTGGTTCTGGTGTGCCAGAAATTTCTACCAACTGTGACTTGCCTGTGGAAATCTGTTCAGTAGTCAACACTATTAGAAAATTGTTATTTTCTGGTTGCTGTCGTCTAAAATTTTACATCCACTTGCAGAAAAAAATGCATGTGCCAGTCCACTCTTGAAGTAGTCTGTCCTTGATTCAAGGGCGGTACCTTGTCCTGTTTTCTTTCTTTTCTTTTCTTTTTTTCTTTCATAAAATTCCTCATGTACCAACCTGTAAGGTATTGGTTTTCCCTAAGCATTAATTGGTTCTCTGCTCTGCTTGTGCTTTCTCTGTATACACAGTCAAGACTACATTTAACTTTGACTCCAGTGACTGTCAAATACCTCTCCATTCTAGACAGCTGTCTGGACGGGGCATCAGAAGCGTGTATTCAGCACGCAGGGGCTGGGGTTGCAGCTCAGTCTCCAGAATGTTCTCTGCATGCGTGGCCCTTCTGGCTCAGTCCATAGCACCACATGAACCCCTGGCGTGGTGGCACAGGTCCCCAGTCTTAACGCTCTGGAGGTGAAGAGAGGAGGCTTAGTAGTTGAAGGTCATCCCCCACTGCCTAAGCTGTTCCAGGGGACCTGGTGCCCTCTTCTGGCCTCCTTAGGCAGGGCAGCCATGTGGCACAAATACCATATCCAGGCAAATACTTAGACACAGGAAGTAAACAACCCCAAATTAAACATCTTTTTAAAAGACTGCGATTTCAAAACTAGTTGAGCCTCACTCACTGCCTGACGAGTCCCCAGCACTTAGTTCCGACCATTTCCAATAACTTGAGGATGACCTGCCGCAGTGTGCCCTTACAGGGATCAGTGTCGTTCAAGGACGTGGCTGTGGACTTCACCCCCGAGGAGTGGCAGCAGCTGGGTCCCGCCCAGAAGGCCCTCTACAGGGACGTGATGCTCGAAAACTATTGCCACTTCATCTCTGTGGGTAAGTGGCACTCATGTCCTTCCAAGCATTCCCAAAACAGAGACGTTTCAACCTGGTGTGACAGAATGTATGATTTTTTTTTTTTTTTAATTTTTTGAGCCACGTCTCTCTCTGTTATTCTGACAGTTCTGGGGCTTGCTGTGTAGGTCAGGCTAGCCTTGAACTCACAGAGATCTTCTTGCCTCTGCCTCCTGTGTGCTGGGATTAGAGTCATGGGCCTCCACGCCCAGCCCAGTATACTATTCTTGTAAGGGTTTATTTTTATTTAATGTTTATGAATGCTTTTGCCTGGATGTATGTATGTGAAGCATGTGTGTGCTTGATCCCTGCAGAGGCCAGAGAGGGTGTTGAATCCCCTGGAAATGGAGTTACAGATGGTTGGTTGGGGGTGCTGGGAATTGAGCCTGGGTGCTCTGGAAGAGCAGCCAGTGTTTTTAATGACTGAGTCATCTCTGAGCCCCAGAATGAATGATGACTGACATTAATTTGTACCCCAGCTACCACACTGAAGTTGTGTCTTTCTCGGTAGTTTGGAGGACCAGCAGCTTAAAACAAGTCTGTTTTCTTTTTTCCCCTTCCGTCCTTCCTCTTTTTCTTCATTATCAGGATTTCACATTACAAAGCCTGATGTGATCCGCAAGTTGGAACAAGGAGAGGAGCTATGGACAGAGAGAATTTTTCCAAGTCAGAGCTATCTAGGTAAGTCATAGATACAAAAATTTTGTGGGACAGATGGACATACGGCCCCGTGCTAGAGCACCTTACATGCTCAAGGACCTGGGTTTGATCTCCGGTCTTCACTAGAAAACTAAAGTCCAGTGTGGAGGGTGGGGCAGAGCCTTTGGGCTCGGAGCCTGGAGGTGCTGAGCCTCAGGTCTGACGGTTTTCGGGGTTTAGGCTCCCTGTGTTAGAACGGTTCTGAAGTGCAGTTCGCCACTCTAAGTTTTGCGCATGTAGCTCAGCGGCGTGAGCCACATTCACACTTTGTGCAGTCGTCACCACTCTCAGTTCCAAACTCTTCATGTCAGAACTGAAACCCTGCTGGGCGAGAGTCGAACGCCTTTAACCCCAGCACTCAGGCAGAAGCAGGTGGATCTCTGTGAGCTCCAGGACAGCCAGGGCTACAGAGAGAAAACGCTTCTCAAGCAAACAAAAACAAACAAACAAACAAACAAAAACCCTGTACTCTAAAACATTAGCATCTGGTTGTCCATGTTCCCTGGCAAACATCATTCTAACTCCCGACTCCAAACTACTTGGATTTTATTAGGGATTTGTTTGTAAATAGAATCCTATGGTGCATGTCCTTTCTGTGTGAGTTGGATTCCATGTAATGTCCTCTGCTATCATCTGTGTTGTAGCACGTCAGAATTCCTTGTTTTGTAAGGCTGATTCATATAGTATTGTCCACTTTGGCTTCTCCTTTGGCATCTCCTTTTTCTGTTAGTTACATGGATTATTTCAGCTTTTGTGGGTGATCCTGCAATATGCACAGGTGTGCAAACAGCTTTGAATTCCTTTGAGTGTACACCTAAAATAGAATTGTTGGCTCATATGGTAATTCCAGATTTAGATTTTGAGAGATCGATCACCCAGCTGTTTTTCACAGAACAGCACCATTTTTTTTTTCATTCCTACCATAGTGTACAATGGTCCCAATTTCTGCACATTTTTACCAGAATTTATTGTTTTCTAGATCTTTTCCATAGGGCATATGAATTTTTGTGTTTTTGTTTGTTTGTTTGAAAGCCAGGGTAACGCTGGCTCTCCTAGCCATTTTCAAATACCAGGTCTTTGGGGCTGGAGACATGGGTCAGAGGTTGACAGTGCGTGGCTCTTTCAGAGGACCAGCCCCCACACCAGGCAGCTCAACCGCCCACTGCGTGCGCCTCCAGTTCCAGGGGACCCTCTGCCCCACACTGCCCTGATCACGTGTACTCGTGTACATCCCCCACCCAGAGAGAGGATATTTTAAATAAACAATTACCAGATATTTGAAATATTTCTTGAAATCGGTGATAATTTTATTCCAGCTTCAGAAATGCTTTTCTAATTTTTTCCAATTTCAGATCATAATTTCATTCCAGTTTCCAAATAATTAGACTTTGAGGAGTAGAAAGACTGTAGTAACAGCTTGTCCTTGTGAATACTTCTTGGGGAAGCAGTATAACTTCATTTACTAAGAGAATCAAATTTCCAGTTTCCTAGAAGTACAAATAAGTGGACTTGTACTTGCATTAAGTTTTAGACTCTAGAAAATGTGTGCGTTTCATTCCTGCTATCATTCTGTACTGCAGTTGACCCCTACTCTGCTTAAAAAAAAAAAAAAAAAAAAAAACCCTAGGTAAATAGGGAGACCCTGTCTCAAAACAACAAAACAAAAAACTATTTAATATCATTGCTGGACTCACTTTATTCTGTATGAGTCTTCCCATTCTACAATCCTCTATCTTTTGTCTTTGTTTTTATCCTTGCATTTATTATACTTTTTCTATGCAGGTAGCTAATAGTTGCAACATAATGAAAATGTAACTTTAGCCAGGTGAGTTGGGCGGGGGTGGCATAGGCCTGTAATGCCAGCACCCAGGAGGCAGAGGCAGGTGGATCTCTGTGAGTTCGAGGCCAGCCTGGTCTGAGTCCAGGACAGCCAGGGCTGCAAAGTCATCCACATTTGGCCACATCAGTTCAAAGTCGACTTTGTCTCAGAAAAAAAGAAAAGAGATCATTTATTTTCTCCTCTCTGCCAACCACAATAATGAGCAATCATGGTGTGAATATATACAAACGTATATATATTCATATATGCGTTTAAAGTGTTGCTAATTAATTACATTCTTTTCTAGAAGATGAAGATGTTTTGGTGGAATTCAAAGACCCCCAAGACAGGCATCCCAAATCAGTTGTAATCATCAACCACAAGACGCTAATGAAGGAGAGAAGCAGTATTTACGGGAAAACACTAGGCAAGAACCACATTTCCAGAGCACTGTTAGAGTATAAATCTGACGGGAAGGTTTTGGGGAACATTTCGGAGCTCGTTAGTACAGACGTAAACCCTGTAGGGGAGGCGCTGGGCGCCAGTGCCGAGTGGGAGCGACGGCTCCTGGATTGCACGCATGAGCAGGCCCAGCCCGCGGTGGCTCTGCGCAGGCCCACCGCGCCGCCGCCGCTCGCGCACCCCCGGGCCCTCCGGACCCTCGAGCAGCCGTTTGCCGGGGGTGCCGGCCCGTTCCCCGGGAGAGGATTCCCCCCGGACAGAACTCGGCGGGGAGACGCGGCCTTCGGCTGCGGCGAGGACCAGATCGCCTTTCTGGAAGGGTCGGGCCTCGGCGGCCACGCGCACGGCCTCCTGGGGAGGAGCCCCTCGGCAGGCAGGTACGGGAAGCTCCTCTGCAGGAGGGCCGTCGTGGCGGTGCACCCCCGCGCGCAGGCCGGGGAGAAGCCCTTCCGCTGCCCCTACTGCGGGAACAGCTTCCGCCGGAAGTCCTACCTGATCGAGCACCAGCGCATCCACACCGGCGAGAAGCCCTACGCGTGCGGCCAGTGCGGGAAGGCCTTCCGCCAGAAGACGGCCCTGACGCTGCACGAGAAGACGCACACGGAGGGCCGGCCCTACCTCTGCCTGGCCTGCGGCAAGGCCTTCCGCCAGAAGGCCACGCTCACCCGCCACCACAAGACGCACACGGGCGAGAAGGCCTACGACTGCGCGCAGTGCGGCAGCGCCTTCCGCAAGAAGTCCTACCTCGTGGACCACCAGCGGACGCACACGGGCGAGAAGCCCTACCGCTGCGCCGAGTGCGGCAAGGCCTTCATCCAGAAGACCACGCTCACCGTGCACCGCAGGACGCACACCGGCGAGAAGCCCTACCTCTGCGCCGACTGCGGCAAGTGCTTCTGCCAGAAGACCACGCTGACGCTGCACCGGCGCATCCACACGGGCGAGAAGCCCTACCGCTGCGCCGACTGCGGCAAGGCCTTCCGCCAGAAGGCCATCCTCACCGTGCACCGCCGCGTTCACACCGGCGAGAAGGCCAACGCCTGCCCGCAGTGCGGCAAGGCCTTCAGCCGCAAGTCCAACCTCATCCGCCACCAGAAGACCCACACCGGAGAGAAGCCGTACGAGTGCAGGGAGTGTGGGAAGTTCTTCAGCTGCAAGTCAAACCTCAGCGCACACCAGAAGACCCACAAGGCCGAAGCCGCGAGAAGTCCGTGAGTGGGGCGATTTGATTTCATTTGTTATTTATTTTTTCACTTTTTTTTTTTTTTTCTTTTTTTGAGACAGGGTCTCACAGTGCAGCCGTGGCTGGCCCAGAACTCAGTATGTGAGGACCAGGCCGATCCCAGACTCCCAGAGATCGCCTGCCTTCTGCCTCCCAAGGGCTGGGATTGTAAGTGTGTGCCACCATACACAGTATTTTTTTTTTTTTTTTAATGGCTTTTTCCAGACAGCGTTTCTCTGTGTAGCCCTGGCTGTCCTGTACTAGCCTTGAACTCGCGGAGATCCACCTGCCTCTTCCTCCCAGACTGCAGGGATTGCAGTGGTGCGCCACTGAACCCGGCTTCACGTTCTGCCCCTTAACTTACCACACAAATTCTACCGGGCAAACTAATAACAAAAAAATATTTAAAAATAAAGGCTTTACTTTTTTATTACTAGGTTCAGTAGACTAAACTGACCTCTGATAAACTTCTATAAATACTCAGATCTGCTTATTTTCAGTTACATCCCTCATGAATCAGTATACACTGACAGATGGAACTCGTCCGTGTGGGATAGAAATCCATCGTTACCTCCTCGGATTTCACCAGTTGTGAATTATGACGGCGTGGATTAGGTTTTGCTCATTATATAAAAGTGGACTGTTTGTCGTTGGTTCTTTCCCACACAGCCTGTTTCTCTCCGTGTCTGTCTCTGGATCCAGTCTTGAGTGCATGTAGCAGAAAGCCATTTATTTTTATTCTGTGTAGAAACCCATTATATAGACATACCACTTGTGCCCGTTCAGCTGTTGGTGGGCTCTTACATGTTTCGTTGCTATGGTCATAATAAAATGTACACGCGTGCACTTTTATGTGCCTCAAGGAGTGGAATTTCCGGGTCTTAGGGTTTATGCATGTTCAGTCAGCTGTAGTCGCTGCTGCAGCTCGCTCACAGCACGGATGATGTGCTGGTGGTTCAAACGACAGAGTTCTGGCATGGAGACATGGCCCCGCAGCGACCGGGAACGGGCTGCTCTTGCAGAGGACTGGGGCCTAGTCCCCAGCTCCCACTTGGTGGCTCCCTGCTGGCTGTAACTGCAGTTCCAGATGACCCAGTACTCCCCTCTGGCCTCTGCAGCCACCGGGCTTCATGAGGCTGCACATACATACATGCAGGCAAAACAGTCACGGAAGTCGCAGGCTTTGTGTTAGAACCGACTCTAGCATTACTGGGGAAAATGGGACCGAAGAGAATGTGTATACAAAGGCTTTTAGCCACAGCCCGAATCTTTTTTTTTTTCAACATTTTAAAAATTATCATTTATTACAATTTATTCAATTTGTATCCCGGCCGTGGTCCCCTCCCTCCCTCTTCCCCTCTGTCCTCCCCTAGTCCACTGATAGAAGAGGGCCTCCTCCCCTTCTGTCTGACCCTAGCCTATCAGGTCTTGTCAGGAATGGTTGCATTGTCTTTGTCTGTGGCCTGGCAATGCTGCACCCCTCAGGGGAAGGTGATCAGAGAGCCTGTCGCTGAGTTCATGGCAGAGAAAGCTCCTGCTTTCCTTACTAGGGACCCCACTTGGAGACTGAGTCTGTGGGCTACATCAGAGCTGGGGTTTTCTCCATGCATTGTCCTTGGTTGGGGTACCTGAGTCTCTGCAGGGCTCCCAGAGCTCAGGTTTTGTCTCTGATGGACTCCTTTTGGAGCTCCTGTCCTCTCCAGGTACTTCCATCTCCCCCTTCTTTCATAAAATTCCATGCCCTCTGCTCAAAGTTTAGCCATGAGTCTCAGCCTCTCAGCCCGAACCTTAATATAGTGATGTAATAAATGAAATTGGGGTTACCTTTAGCCACAGTAAAAACCTTATTTGAATTGTACAAGAGAATGGGAAGCATTCAGCATTTCCTTTGCTCAACACTAGAACACCTACAAGACTGTTGAAATTAGAGGTGGGTGGGGAAAAAAGACAGCTTTTACTCAAGGCCCATAGACCTTCCTACGTGTGTGTGTTCCAGAGAACAACCTTGGTTCCCACAAGCTCCCCATCTTGTTTTATGAAGAAGGCACTCTGTAGATTGGCATTTAAACAGCTCGTCTCCACGTGTCTCGCCTCCACCCCGACACTAAGATCTGACCTGGTCTTCTCATGTGGCTTCCGGGGTGGACCTCAAGATTGTTATGCTTGCTTAGCAAGCACTTCCACAACCGAACTATCTTTCCAACCTTGTGCTTCCCAGCTTTGCACAGAGTGAAGCTAGATTCTGACCACCTACACCATTAGCATAGAGGGAAGCCCTCTATCATGGAGTCCCATGAACCAATGAGATCAAAGGGACAGATCATGTGACGGAATCCAGCGGCAGGCAGTAAGTACAACCGCATCCTTCTAAGAGGCGCTTCTGTGTTCAAGTCTACATGAACTTTTCGTTTCTCTTACATGTAGGCTGCAGCTTGGGAAAGTTGAGGGGGGCTTTTTGAATCTCAACAGGAAACAGTGCTGTAGTTTGAATCTGAAATGCACCCGCAGAGGTTCACAAAGGAAAGCCTTGGCTGCCACTTTTGGGGCGTGATTGGCTTCTGGGGGTGCTGACCTCATCAATGAGTTATGGGCCCTGATGATAGTAATAGTTGGGACTCATTTAGAGGAAGCAGGTCACTGGTGACCTGCCCCTGTAAAGCACCTTTTCCCTGGCCCCTCCTCCTCACTGCATTTCCACGTCCTGTCCTCAGCTCCGGCAGAAGCACAGCCATGTGACCATTACCTGAAGCCAGAAGCCGCAGTCAGGCTTTCCTCCTCTAAAGTCTTCCTTTGTGCGCTGTCTCTTTCTTCTCTAAACTGGATTTGGCAAAGTGAAGCAAATACTTCAGAAAGCACCAGGCTGTGTCGTCACCTTCCTGTACTCTACTCTGCTCAAAGGTTTTCTGTGAAGTTGGGAAGGTTTTTCGCTTGGATTAATTAATTTGTTGTATTGTTTGCCAGCTGTGATGAATGAAAATGGTTCTAGAACCCACAGCTCTTTAAAATTTTTGCAGATTCCTGTTTTAAACATCAAACTGCAAGTGTGTGTATGTCTTAGGACCTCGACCAGGGAAGAGGCATCCAAGTTCTTAGAACCAGGAAGTAAGTGATCTTCAGTGGATCAGTGCCCAAAACTAGATGGACTTCATGTCACAATACTGAGGCTTTTACACATTTTTGGCCTTTGACTTCTGTGTATGGTTACATACACTGTGATGTGACGGCCGGAATGAGAGGGAAGGGGAAGGCAGGAGTGATAGGAGGGATCATGGTCAATCTTCACGTGTGAGAATACATGGCAGCTTGCCTATATAAATACCCAGGCTGGACACTGGCCAGCCCACATGGCTGTGTCTTACTTTTAGATATCTCAGTCCTTTACACCCCTCCTCCTCCCACGTTTGTTTGAGACAGGGTGTGACATAGCCCAGGCTGGCTTCCATCTCACTATGTCATATAGTTTAGGGTGGTCTTGAACTCCTAATTCTTCTGCTGCCCCTCCCAAATCTTGTGATTACAGATGTATCACCACACTCAAAAGTTCATCCAGCCTTTGTAAAGTTGTGCCGCTATAATTTCAAAAGACTTGTATGATCCCGCAGAACATACCCTTGTCGTACTTTATTTAAACACAGACGTGGCAGGGTACTGCACATCAGCCAGATGCAAGCTGCCTGCTAGTCTTAGTACTTAGTACCTGTCGTAGCGGTTTCTCCTCCCAGAACCACGCTCCCAAAATAATGGCTCATGAGACTCAAAATATATTTACAAATACCTAGCCTACTTAGGTAGGCTCTTCTCTGACTAGCTCATAACTTAACCCATTTATACTAATCTACATTCTGCCATGTGGCTGGTTACCTGTGCTCAGGTACCATCCATCTGCCCTCTCGATATGTCCGGATGAATCTCTCACACCTGGCGCTATCCCAGAATCCTTTCTGCCTACTGCATGTCCCACCTTCTAGTCTACCCTTTCCTTGAGGCCATAGGTTTTTTTATTGACAGGTGTTGCATCTATACAATACACAAGAGAGTCTCTCCACAAGTACATTTCCACAGACTGCTGTCTCTAGACTGAATGGCATGTGAAATATTACTTTGTGAGTGCTCAAGGCAGAAGTTCTCTGCAAGAATCCTCAGTTCACTAATTCCACAATCAAGCTAGCCTAGCTGGTAACCCATAAACAAACTGGATTGGAAAGGCTTCCAGCCAAAAGCTATTACGAGAGCTGTGCAGCCCCACTATAAATTAACCTCGTCCATGATTACATGTTTCCTGATGATATGTGTGAAAAAGCATTCCTCTTTATGCTCTGTGTTGCTATCTGTTAGAGCACAGTGCATCTTAAGCGTGAACCTATCTTGTGAGATAATTGCTTTTCAATGCAATTTGAAGTACTCAGGCTTCTTACGCCACAATTCACAAGAAATAAGAAACAGCAGATATCTCCAGCCTCCGCTTTTATCTCCAACATGTACCTCTGGGATATTCAACCAATTGAAATCATTATCAGTATATAATCTTGGGCTTTTCAAAACTCCCAGTGTATGACCAATACAAGATGCTGGCTATGGGACAACTTCCTCCATATTGCTAAGAGAACTGCAAAGTGACTAAGCCACACGCAAACAATGTTAGTCTCTTAATAGTTAAGACAGAACAGACTGTTACGGGTGTTGTGGAAAGTAAATGTTATTGGGCTAAATAATGTTTATTACTAGCCCTGTAATTATCACAGCAGTATTATCTAACCCTCTATCACCATCAATATGACACCGACACCTGTTAGATTTCGTAACTGCCTTGTAACAGCTTGGGCTGGGCGGGTACCCGTGCTATCGGTATTCCCAGCCCAAATCTCCTGCTGTCCGCCTTAACCAGTCCTATCTGGGCTACCTTCCATCCATAATCTTAGAAATACTTGCTTATGCTTTTCCTCTCAGTGTTTATTTTTATTCCATTCTTGGAGTCCTTTCTCCTGGCCCATGTGGTTTTTTCTCCACACTAAACCATTGTGGCATCCTCCTTCCTCCTCTCTCCCTGTCTATCCATCTCCTCCCCAAAGCCAGGGAACTTAGCCACATGTACCTCCTGTCCTGCCCAGGTGCAGGCCTTTTAATCAACCAATCAGGAATAATTTATTAGGCAAGGTTAAACAGCAATACTTGGGTACATGACAGTTTGCCCGTAAACAGTAAGAATCTCGGGGGGCAAGCAATTAACAAATACAAAGCATTAGACCATATTCCAACATACGGGCATTGTAGAGCCATGGCAGGTGCCAGGCAAGGGAAGCTACAGGGTCAGCTATGGCTTTCAAAGCACCATTGACTTCCTAGCAGCCTAGGGAAGACTGCGCTAAGAGTGAAAATAGAAGCCAGGTAGTGGTGACACACGCCTTTAATCCCAGGACTTGGGAGGCAGAGGCAGATGAATTTCTGTGTTTGAGCCCAGCCTGGTTTACAGAGGGCGTTCGAGGTCAACCAGAGTTACACAGAGAAACTCCGTCTCAAAAAAATCAAAGCAAAACAAAAAGAGGAAACCTTTACTTCCCATATGAACCTGAAATTTCATTTGTATTTCCTATCCCCTGGATAAATGAAAACATCTTCGGAAAAGAAGATGCTAATGGGAAATGTCACTTACAATTACTCACAATTTGAAAGGACTTAGGTACTCGTCCCACTGATACCTGGATATATTTAGTCAGACACCGGAGGCCAGGAGCCCTGAGGAAGACGATCAAGCCATGCTTCATTGCTAGTCGACTGTTTAATGGAAGCATTCTCGTTTTCAGAGACCAATGCAGACTCGCAGGGCGTCTTCCAACACACTCCAAAATAAACTGGAACCGCAGAAAGGAAGCTCTGTCCCATTACCCAGTCAGCGTCGTGCCAAGTCAGGGCAGCGCGGACCGACGACGGATGACTTAAGATCATCACGGGCCACACCGCAGGTAGTCGCGGCCACTCAAAAGGTCCCTCACCAGGGCGCGAACACGCAAGCCCAGCCACGCCCTTAACGCACACACAAGCCCGAGCTCCAAGCCCCGTACCCAAGCGGACACCTCTTCGCAAGACGCCAGGCGCGGACAGATCCCAAATCTGCAGTTTGAACGTGGCCCGGTGGTCTGTGGGAAATGTAGTGCCAGGGCCTCAAAACCCGGATGTCGGGAAGGCGGTGTCTGCCCCGCGGCCCCAGAAACGGGTCGCGGAGACCCCTGGGAGAGTCCGACCCCGCCGGGCCGCGCAGGCGCGCGCTGCCAGCCAGCGGTGGAAGGTGAGGCCGGAGGCTCTTCCGCGTGGGAAGTGGGCGGGGGACGGGCGAGCCGGGATGGGGCAGAAAGGAAGGAGAGCCCGGGGCGTACAGCGAGAGGCCAGGCCTTGGAGGGGGCGAGCTGGGGACGCTGCAGCTGGGGATGCTGCAGCAGCAGCCGGGAATGCAGCCGGGGATGCAGGAGCAGCTGGGGATGCAGCAGCAGCTGGGGACGCGGCAGCAGCAGCCGGGAATGCAGCCGGGGATGCAGCAGCAGCTGGGGACGCGGCAGCAGCAGCCAGGAGCGCGGAGGCGAGATCCCCTCCGATGTCTCTCTGCACCTCTCCTCCTTGGCAGGGCTAACCGGAAGGGCAGGGGGAAGCGCGGGCGTCTCGGCTTCGAAGTGAGTCGGATTTGTTTGCGATTGTAGGCTTTGGAGAGTCTGGGATTGTGGGAGGATTTTTGTTAACCTGTTAGGCTCTGAGATTTCCTTGCCTCGAGCACCTCCGGGGTGATAACTACAGTGGACGATACGGCTTTGATGAGGTCTGATTTTGAAGTGTACCGGTTAAGTGTCCCATTGTGGACGCTAGTGGCGCGCTGGAGTACCTCATCGCGGCTGGGTAGCACTGTTTGCATCTTCTCAATAGTTGCTGTTTTCTTTGACTGTAGTTTCGTGGGCAATTTAACAAGCAAAATGGGAGATTTGTTTCGAGACGGAGTTTCTCTGCGTAGCCCTGGCTGTCCTGGAACTCGCTCGGTAGATCAGGCTGGCCAAGTCAGAGATTCACCTGCTTCTGCCTCCCGAGTGCCGGGATGAAAGGCGTGCGCCACTGTGATCAGCTGATCCATTCATGTATTTTATTTTTTGAGACAAGGACTCACGATGTAGCCCTAGTTGGCTTTGAATTTACAGAGATCTACCTACCACGGTCTCCAGTAATGACTGGAGTTAAGTGTGTGCTCAGATTTTTTTTTTTTTTTTAAATCAAGAGAAAGTAAAATTTTGAGGGCATAGCACTGTATATTGAGAAGCCCTGTATTGAACGATGATTAATATGTTGGAATAAGCAGAATAGCGTTGAGAACGTAGTTGTTTTTTTTTGTTTTGTTTTGTTTTTTAAAAAACAAAAACCAGCAGGGCTGGTAGCTCAGGGGTCAAGCACTTGCCTATTTTGTGTTGTGTAAGTCCACCCTCCCCTCCCCTGACCTAGAGTAACAAGAAGGAAGCACCCCTTCCCTAACTTTCTCTTACACAGCTACTTCAAAATTCCTGTTTGGTGAACTTTTTCTCATACTGGTATATGAGTTCAAGGGAAGTTCAATAATTTCTGCAGTGCTTTGCTGAGACACTGAAAAATTTGTTGGGCATTTAAATACAGATATTTCATCCTAGTCATTTAGGTGGTCAAACATGACAAAGCTTTTGTGTCTGTGTGCGTGTGCGTGCGTGTGTGTGCGTGCGCGTGGCTCAGGCCAGAAGAGAACATTGGATCCCCTGGATCCACAGTTTTGGCTGCTGTCAACTGCCCACCGTGGCTGCAGGTTCTGGAAACTTTCTCCTCTCTTTTTATTTTAAAGCAAAATCGTCCTGCTTTAAGACTTGTGTGAAAGGTATACAGACGATCCACACCTCCCCATTCTCCAACCTTCTGTCTCTTACTCCTATAGCTGAGAAGTGTCCTATAGAAGAGAGGGAAGAGGGAGATGGGATGAGTGGTGACGCTGTAACTCAGTATATGTCTCCTCTGATTTCCCAAGAGGCTGCTTTCTGGAACGTCCACATACGTTTCCATTCTCATGTGTACAGCCCGTTTTGCTGCCGTCTCGTTTCTGGACACGCGGGACCACCTGTTTGGGTGCCTTTCCTTACCCTGTAAGTCGTCTTGGACAGGATCTGACCTAACCCAAGCAGCCACCACCCTTGGAGGCTTCATCCAGTGTTGAGGTGAGAATTACTTTGCTCTGGTCAAGTACATTTTTGTCAAGAATTCTCTGTTTCATTTCCTGGTGGCACCAAGGTACAAAAAGCCACTTGCTTATGAGAAAGAAATATCCATCCCTCTTCCCTGGGAAATCATGTTCTAAAAACAGTTTACCCACTTAAAGATACATTATTCTCAGGTGCACACCTATGTTCCCAGCACTTACGCAGAGGGAGGTGGATCTCTACCAGGCCAACCTGGTCTACAAATTCCAGAACAGCCAAGGCTACACCGAGAAACATTGTCTCAAAAAAAAAAAAAAAAAAACAGAAAACAAACAAATGAAAGATACATTATTCTCAGCTTTCCAGCCTATTGAGATATAGATTAAAGTAACGGACACAAAACTTTACAGAAGGAAAAACAGGATTTCGGGTTAGAGTCAAGGACTTTGACATGACTTCTTTGTAAGTAAATCAGACGTTGCCACCTTGTTAGAAGGCAGTTGGCAGTTGGAAAGTTGGCTGTGCTGTTAAGAGCACCAAGAGGACCTGGGTTCTGTTCCCAGCAGCCACATGGCAGGTCACAACTATCTTTCATCTTCTGTCCTCTGAGGGTACAGTCTCGAAAGGGTTCTGTACACACTCATACATATAAAGACATTTCAAAAGGAGGCAGTTGGATCAGAATTCCAGGTCAAGTCTGAGACTATCTCAGGCTGCAGAGCAATGTCTCAAGGAGCTAATGCTCATCTAGAACATAAAAGTATCACAATAGCAGAGAGTAATGAACTGTAAGAGCTCATTCAGCCAGCCCTAGATCCATGGTGTTCCAAAAGCCTGTATCCTTGGAGGTGAGAATGAAATAGTTCACTAGTGCCCATGTATTACAGTCATTTAGGATGCAGAGAGATGCTTTTGAGTTGGAAACCATGTGAGCTGGCAGTAAGGTGGGTAAATTCTCAGTGCCCACCATTCTTGGTTTTGCTATTCTAGGCACTGGCCTACTCTACCCCTTTTCTGAAGAGGACCCAAGCGAAAGCCTGGTCATCTGGTACAGCTCTCACAACCATGGCTCAGGTGAGGCGGTTGACACTCCTTGGGAAGGTGTTTTGTTCTGCCCTGTCACACACTACCACCAGCCTTTTTATTTATTTATTTGAGAAAATAGGCTTTTTGGTTCCTTTAATTTGTCCTTAAGGAAGAATCGTTGATGACCCCTAAATTTGGCACCATGTTTTTACACTTAATGGGTTCTCAACAAATTGCAATATCTCACTATTTGTCCTTATAAAAACTTAATTTGCCTATCTACATTTTTTAACTTTTATTAGTTATACTTTATTCACTCTGTATCCCCCCACAAACCCTCCCTCCTCCCCCGGCCTTTTATTTTTGAGGTCCTAGGGATTGCCCCTGGGCTTTGTGCATGCTAGGCACATGTACTGTTCTTGAGTACCATTCCCTGTTTGTTATTTGAGCATATTTGGGTATTTTGTATTTTCCTTTTCTTTTTTTTCCTAAACCCTCTCATCAGTCCTTCCTACAGGAAATCTGACCCCTGTAGTATTCCCCAGAAGCTGTGCTGGGACAAGAATGCATTGTTTGTATCTGTGAAATGCATTAGCACATTCATGTGCCTGTATAAATCTAAAATACACGGACTGGGGTGTGGCTCAGTGGGTAGGATGCTTGCCTGGCATCCTTACAAGCTGCCAGCACCATGGACGGGGGTGCAAGCTCATACTTCCAGGATGTAGAGGATTATAAGTTCAATGCCATCCTTTGGTTACATGGCAAGTTTGAGCCAGTCTTGGCGATGTAAGACCCTGAGAGAGCTTATCAGGTTAAGGCACTTTCTGCCAAGCCTGATGACCAAGAGTTTAGTCCCCAGGACCCACATGCCTGCTGAACCCCAAAGATGCACCCTGACCCATGGACACCTGACTCTACCTGCACCGAAATGATTTTTAAAAGTAGACACACGTTTTGCCTTATCACAGACCAGAGTAAAGATGAAGGTAAAATTGATTGTATTAAATGTTAGGCGAGAGACCTGCTGGCAAGGAATCAAGAATCCAGTTTCTTCTTTGTGCTTCTACAGGTTTGCTTACAATTCTTAAAAGCTTGTGGTCTTCCAGTAACGTATTTCCTAGAATATTAAGACTATTACAGATTTATTCTTTTAAAATTTGTTCTAGGGGCTGGTGAAATGGCTCAGAGGTTAAGAGCACTGGCTGTTCTTCCAGAGGTCCTGAGTTCAATTCTCAGCAACCACATGGTGGCTCACAGCCATCTACAATGACATCTGGTGCCCTCTTCTGGCCTGCAAGCATACATGCAGGCAGGACACTGTATACATAAAGAATATTAAAAAAAAAAAATTTTTTTTCCTAACTAGTTGTGATGGCACACGCCTTTAATTCCAGCACTTGGGATGCATAGGCAGGCAGATCTCTTAAGTTTGGGCCAAACAAGGCTACATAGTGAGACCCTGTCTCCAAAACAAACAAAAACCATTCTAATTTAGTATTAAAAAAATAGAAGGAAATATGCATACACAGGCCACTATACATAACTGGAGCGTAGCTCAGAATACTCTGCTGTGATCTTAGCTACCTTTTATTGAAAATTGGTTAATATCTACTATTAACGCATGTAATTATTACAGTGGTTAATAGTTAATCTGCTATCAGTCAGTGGAAGACACAGACACCAATTAGATTTGTAATATGCCAGTACACTGTACTGGGCAGCGGCTCACCCCTAAGCTACCTCGTTACTCCCAGCCCATCCCGTGCCGACTGCGTTAACTCTGTCTGGGCCACTTCCCGCCTAGTTTCCACACACACCTGCACATACTGTCATCTGGGCTGCTTTACCCTGTCTGTCCCCACCCTCAGAGCAAAGCCCTCCCAGCCAGTTCAGTCTCCTTCTCTCTCGTCTGGCTCTCTCCTTCCCATGATTTTTCTGTACTCCAAGTGCCACCTACCTCACTTCTGCCCTGCTGAGGTGTGGAGGCAACTTTATTTAGCCAGTCAGGGATAATTTTGGAGGCAAAGTCACACAGCGTCATTGCAAGTACATGATAGTCTGCTAGTGAAATACACCAAGCAGAATTCAGGGAGCAAAATAATCAAATACAAAACACCAGATTGTGCGACAGGACAACCCTGTTTCACTCAAAAAATTTCTTTCACATTTTAGAGATTTTGTTGCTGTTTTAGCCCTGACTGGCCTGGAAGTACACCAGCCCTAAAGCCTGCCCTCTGTCGGATGTAGGAAGTGAGCCATTTTCTGAGGCGAGACCTGCAGGGTTTCGAGAACCTTCCGGCAGAGGCAACAGGCAGCTCTTGTTGCCGTCATTTTCTTCTCTCTTCTGCCTGGCTTTGTTCTCCAATACCTTCCTTCAGTTGCTTCTGGACTGCGTCCAGATCTTGCAGGGACTGGCTGAGGACATATTCCCAGGCAATTCATTGCTAACTGCACTTTTTTATTTTGAGCAGCATCTCACTAAGGTGCCCGGGCTGTGAATCACTGGCTCGGAAGGCCTCAAACCTGTTCACTCTTGCTTGCAAGTAGCTGGGATTACAGGCCTAGGCCACCCCAGCCTGATGAAGCCATAGAGTATATCTCATGAGAGTGTGCCTTCTGTATGCACCTCAGTGGCCTGTGGGTTTGTGCTCGAGCAGGACAGGACTAGATTTTGTTCTCTAGTAAGCACGTGCACGGTGTGGGCACAGCAACCTCACAGTAAGTCAAAGTGTGACTACATTTTTATTTTCACGTTAAACTGTGTGAGAACATGCATGTAGCACAGCATTCGTGTGGATGACAGGACACTGACAGACACTAGTCATCAGACTGGGCAACAAGTGCCTCTGCCCACGGAGCCATCTTGGGAGCCCAGTAAGTTACAGTTTAAATCAAAACAAGAAAAACCAAAGCAGTCATTCTTTTCCAGATTTTAGGACTTTCACAGAGAAACAGGGACAAGAGCAGCTGCCCATGTGGAGCGACTGGCAAATGCTTGTGCTTTTCCACAGGTCTCGATTTAATCCACCACATGCTCCAGGGCACCTGACAGCTGATTCTAACTTCAAGGGCACCAGGCGTGCCTGTGGTGTGCAGGCACACATGCAGGAAAACCCTCATACACATAACAAAATCTTAAGAAGTGTTTGAAAGAGTAGTTCCCAGCTGAGCATGCTGGAGCATGCACTCGGGAGGCAGACACAGGCAATCTCCAAGTTTGAGGCCAGCCTGGTCTACAGAGTGAGTTCCAGGACAGCCAGGGCTGCACAGAAAACCTGTCTCTAAAAGCAGAAATAATGAAAAAATTAAAAAAAAAAAGTTCCCGATATTTAGTTACCTGTGCCAGTCACCTTCCCGTTCTGCTCTGCAGGGACCTGTGTCTCTCAAGGATGTGACCGTGGACTTCAGTCAGGAGGAGTGGCAGCATCTAGACTCTGCTCAGAAGACTCTGTACATGGATGTGATGTTGGAAAACTACGGCCACCTGCTCTCCATAGGTACAAAGGCCGGGGCACTTTGTGTGCTTGCTCTCAGGGCACCGAAGCCAGCGCGCTCGGAAATTCCAGACTTTGGTTTGCAGAAGGGATGTTCCATCTTCACCTCCCAGAGGAAGGAGCCAAATTTACAGTTACAGAAATGAGAAACATTCAGATAGACATCTTAGTCATGTCCAGTATTTCTCAAGCGCTTGTACATGAGATTATACATTGAGCGTATGCCCTCTCAGATCTGTAGACCTGACCATTTGTGGCTAGACGCATGCTTTGCCACTAAATTCCATCCACAGCTTCCTCACTCGTTACCTTTTCTTTCCCTTACGAGGCTGTGACGTATCTAACCCCGACGTCATCCTCAGACTGGAGAGAGGAGAAGAACCGTGGACCTCATTTGCAGATCACGTCTGCTCAGGTGAGTTAATGCCTGCCGTACACATGAATATAAAGCCCAACAAATCAGGCAGCAGGACTTGCCACTGAAATGTTTTAAATGTTCCTAACTTTTGAAATGGCCGTCTGACCTACAAAACATAAACCACGATTCTGAGCCCAGCACATGGACGCAACAGGAGTGCTAGAATTACAGTGTATAGGCCGCTCTATTCCACATGTTAAAATTCTTTAGGTTTACTTATTTTTATTTAATGACTATTTTGGCTTCATGTATCTGTGTATAGTGCATGGGTGCTAATCCATCTCAGGGCATGAGATGGATTCGTAGGAACTGGAGTGATAAACAGTTGTGAGCTACCTAGTGGATGTTGGGAACTGAATCTGAGCCTTGGCACGTGAAATCCTGTTATGTCTCAAGAATTTTTGTTGCCGTTGGAATGACTTTTCTAGTTGATAATTCTACCCAACTTTTAAATAGCTTGAAGTGGTAGAGGAAATGTGCGTGGGCTTTTCGGTGTTATCGTTCTGCGTTGTCTGCAAGGTTGTGGATAGACCCCAGAGCCTTGCTCATGCCGGGCAGACACTCTGCTGAGTCACATCCCAGCTTGGAGTCAGCCAAGACTGACAGCAAACATTCCATCCCCTTGTCTGCGCCTCACAAGTGCTGGGATTCCAGGTGTGCCCCGCCACACCTGCCTAACGGGGTTTACTTCAAGATTCTCTAACTATGAGTAATATGAACAGAAATAAGTCTGAAAACTACTTGACTAAAACAGTACAAACCATCCTAGAGGGTGTAATTTACTTTCTGCCTTGGCCTGTCAAGAATCTTTTTACTTGCTAAAATCTTGATTATGCTTTAAGAAAAAAGGAGTCAGCTATCCACAGGACTTCTAAGACAGTCAGGAGCAGCGAGGATAGCAGTTGCACGCACGTGTTTAAAGTTCCCGTTAGTGGTGGTTTCCTAGTCCTCCTGTTACATTTCAGTGGGTTGACAGCTGGATTACAGGATTGCTTTTCTAGATCCTAAGAAACTAATGCTGTGTCAGTTTCCCTGTGTTGCTTCAGGGAAGGGGGGAGTTAAATAACTGGCATTGTTTTACCACAGTTATTGAGAGATTTATGTATAAAAATTTAGGTGATCTGTTCTTGCAAGCTATCCTTCCTGTAATATCTCTGATTATGTTAGATTACTTTAATTCGTTTCATAGATTTGTTTCCTTGTTTAAAAATCTTTCCAACAACAACAAGACCCATACACTGGCAATGGTGGTGAATGCCTTTAATCCTAGTACTTAGAAGGTAGATCTCTGTGAGTTCGAGGCCAGCCTAATATGCAGAGATAGTTCTAGGACAGTGAAGGAACCCTGTCTCAAAAACACAAAAAGAATCATTCCAACCATGCATTCCTCTTGTACCATTATTTGCATTACTTTCTGGGCAGGATTCAAAACGTATGAATAGTACTTTTGCTCATTTCAATCTTTTCCACTTTTTTTAAAATATGCAACGCTTCACGAATCTGCATGTCATCATTGCACAGGGGCCATGCCAATCTTCTCTATTACTCCAATTTGAGTGTGCGTGCTGCCGAAGCGAGCAATCCACAACTTTGTAGCATGTTTGTCAATAGGTTTTCTATTTTTATTTGTTTTACTTAGTAATTTGGAAGTGGTTTGCTCTAGGTCTTTTCACATTTTCGGACTATTTTATAAATGTTTTGTTGTTGTTGGATTTCTGTATAGGCCCAGCTGTCCTGAACTCACTGTAGACCAGGCTGGCCTCAACCTCAGAGATCTCCCTACCTTTGCCTCCTGAGTGCTGGGATTGCAGTTGTGTGCCACTGAACCCTGCTTTAATTTTTTTTTCCCCTAGCAATTTCTTAGAAATTCACGACTTGTTTTCTTTTCTAGAAGAAAACTGGAAATCAAGAGAGTTTTTCACAAAATTTAAGGAACACCAAGAGAAGTACTCAAGATCATTTGTATATATTAATTATAAAGAGCTGACTAAAGACAAGAGTTATATCTGTCAAAAGACATTTACTCTAGTGACGAAGCATGTTAATTCCAAAGAGCTTCCTCCTAAATATGGCACTCATGGAAATGTTTTAGAGAATGTTTCAGACTTAATCAACAGTAACCTAAGCCTTGCAAGAAAGAGATTTAATGAGTATGATGGATACACAAAACCACACCCAAATTCCATGTCAGTCGACAAAGCCCGTACTCGAACTGGCAAGGCTTGCAGTCACAGTGACATACTTGTGCAGCCTGAGAAGGCAGCAACTCCAGCACAGTCATTTGGACACAATGACTATGACAAGTTATGTCTTAGAAAGGGAAGCTCAGTTACCCTCAATAGCGCATACAGAGGGGAAAACACTTCTGTATATAACAGAAAGAAAAGAGCAGCAAATACTGAAAAGAAACATACGTGCCCTGAATGTGGGAAAGCCTTCTGCAGGAAGTCAGTATTGATTCTGCATCTGGCAATTCACACAGAGGCAAAGCCTTATCAATGTCATCAGTGTGGACATGCTTTTAGAAGAAAGTCCTATCTCACTGACCATCAGAGAACTCACACGGGAGAAAAACCCTTTGTTTGTACTGAGTGTGGTAAGTCCTTCCGTCTAAAGACAGCCCTCACTGATCACCAGAGAACACACACAGGAGAGAAGTCCTATGAATGTCCACAGTGTAAGAATGCCTTCCGATTAAAGTCACACCTTATTCGTCATCAGAGAACTCATACAGGAGAAAAACCGTATGAGTGTAATGAGTGTGGGAAATCTTTCCGCCAAAAGACAACTCTCTCTCTCCACCAGAGAATCCATACTGGGGAGAAACCCTATATTTGCAAAGAATGTGGGAAATCATTCCACCAAAAAGCAAACCTCACTGTCCACCAGAGGACCCACACAGGAGAGAAGCCCTATATTTGTAATGAGTGTGGGAAATCATTCTCCCAGAAAACAACACTTGCTCTTCATGAGAAAACTCATAACCAGGAGAAGCCCTTTGTGTGTAATGAATGTGGAAAGAGTTTCCGCCAGAAAACAACTCTTGTGGCACACCAGAGGACACATACAGGGGAGAAATCTTATAAATGTCCTCATTGTGGGAAGGCCTTTAGAATGAAATCATACCTCATTGATCATCACAGAACTCACACAGGAGAAAAGCCGTATGAATGCAGTGAGTGTGGGAAATCATTCAGCCAGAAAACAAATCTCAATCTACACCAGAGGATTCATACTGGGGAGAAACCCTATGTTTGTAATGAGTGTGGGAAGTCCTTTCGCCAAAAAGCAACCCTCACTGTACATCAGAAAATACATACAGGGCAGAAGTCCTATGAGTGTCCTCAGTGTGGAAAGGCTTTTAGCAGGAAGTCCTACCTCATTCATCATCAAAGAACTCATACAGGAGAGAAACCCTATAAATGCAATGAATGTGGAAAGAGCTTTCGACAGAAAACAAATCTCATTGTTCATCAAAGAACTCACACGGGTGAGAAGCCCTATGCATGTAATGACTGTGGCAAGTCCTTTAGCTATAAGAGAAACCTCATTGTCCATCAAAAAATTCATAGCGAAAATACGGATATACGATAAAAGAGGAAAGCAGTACTTTTGTGAAGTTTAATTATTGTTAACCCTTCGTTTTAAAAAGAAAAGAGTGTTTACACATGTAACATCCACTCCACTGCTTTCCTAGCTTATGAAATAGTCATGGTCACTGTTTTAGACGGTTTTGCTGACTTTGAATACTTTCAGGCCAGTTAGCACTACATGAGAGAACTCATCTAAAAACAAACAAAAAACCGTAATACTGTACGAACAGTAACGCTGTACAAACAACTTACAAAATGGCCGTCAGCATTAACTTCCATAAGAGAATAAAAATGAACCCTAAGTATCCTCGTATTTTATTTTACTAAAAAAAGAAACAACAAAAAAAACTTTACTGGGGTCTGGAGAGGTGCCTCAGAGGTTAAGAGCACTGGCAGTTCTCTCAAAGGTCCTGAGTTCAATTCCCAGCAACCACATGGTGGCTCACAACCATGAGATCCTGTGTCCTCTTTTGGCGTGCAGGCACTCACATGCAGGCAGAATGTTTAAATAATGAAATAATTTACTTTTCCTGTGATAAGTGCATTTGCTTTTAATTTTCAAGCATATTTTATCATGCACATTGCTTTCTTAATGTCCTGCTTTGTTTCATTTTAAAGATGTCAGTAGTGTATTCATTTGTAATATTCCACTTTAAGAGTATATTCCAATTTATCTACTGGTGGATTTTTATATTTTTAATGACATATCATGAAAATATTGCTATGTTCTGGTGTATGCCTTTTGGTATTTGTGTGTGTGTGTGTGTGTGTGTGTGTGTGTGTGTATGTGCACTTCTAATTCCCTAGTACCAAAAAGTTACTTTTTTTGTCCCAACATGTAGGTCTTTTCAGTTATGGTAGATTCTGCCATCTATCTCAGACTTTTCCCGGAAGCGTTTTTCATCTAGCGTTTGAAAAAGCAAATCAAACAATTCTTTTTTTTTTTAATTTATTTATTAATTATACCATGTTCTGCCTGAATGTGTGTCTGTACACCAGATCTCATTATAGATGGTTGTGAGCCACCATGTTGTTGCTGGGAATTGAACTCAGGACCTTTGGAAGAACAGCTAGTGCTCTTAACCTGAGCCATCTCTCCAGCCCCCTGAATTCTTAAAAGGAATACATACACACACACACACATACATACACATATATTCCCTGAGACAGTGTCTCAGTATTTCTGACTTTCTTGGAACTTCCTCTGTAGACCTTGAACTCAAGATCTGCCTGAGAAATGGGATTAAAGGTGTGCTCCCTTTCACCCAGCGCCAAACAGAACTCTTTAACATTATCCAGTCAAATTGTATGTCAGGTGTGGGCCTCCCTGACGCCCCCCCCCCAAAAAAAAAAAAGTAGTACCACCAACAGTGTCCAAAATGAGTCAGGGCCGGCTAAACAATTTCTTGAGGGAGACACATAAAAGTAAATGTTGAAGTCTTTAGGCATGGTCAACACTTACACAAAGCCAAGAGTTTCCACTGGAGGAAATGGTATAGATCTCACTGTTCTAGGGTGCTTTCACACCTCACTTACACCTAGTATCAGAACTCATGCTGGAATAGGGGCTAAGTAAAGGCAGCAGGAAAGAAAGGAGAATAATGCCTACGGTGGAAGAGACGGTTTTCATATTAGACCATTTACTAATGGCTGCTTTTAGGGTATAGAGCAGTAAGCCAAGCTCTTTGAAGTTCAGAGTCAGCCTGAGGAACTTAAGACTCTGTTTTCACATAAAAAGTAAAACAAGACCATGGACGCACCTCAGTGCTGGAACACAGGACTAGCATGTGCAAGGCCCTAGTTTGAATCACCTATCCAGAAAGAACACATCTGTGGGGAGTGGGTCCCTAAAAATCCCAAATCACCAGGGTCTGTTGGCTTTCTTAAGTGTGTGTATTTTGCTTGCCTGCATGTACAGTTCTCAAAGGCCAGGAGGGGGCTCCACTCCCAGGGAGTGGAGTTACAAACAGTTGTGGGCTGCCCTGGGTGACGCCCCAAACCTGGCCTCTGGCACATCAGCTGGGGTTTCTGCTTCACTCAGCCCGTTGGGGGGTGTGGTACTGCTCGCTGTGGTAGTCGAGAAAAGCCTGTACAGGTCGTTCTGTCCTCCCACTATACAGTGGTGGAACTCAGCTTGTCAGGCTTGCTTAGCAGCAAATTACTCCACCCATTAAACCATCTCTAGCTGTGTATACACAAGCACATACATTTCGCTCCACGTATGAAAACACATAAATACACAGACATATTGTACACACGAGAAAGGAAAAAAGCTTTTTTAGCAGTAAGTCTCAAAGGCTGAAAGCATTCTAGGGCTAGGTTAGCCTCCAAGACCATAATTACCTCCAGTGACTTTTCCAGTTGGGAAGGTCGCAGGCTCGCATGGGATAGCTACTGTAGTTTGTTAAATGAACATGTCTGTCAAATTGCTTTCTAAGTATACTTATGCCCATATACTACTGTTGCTATCAGCTTTGGTCAGAGAAGCTTCTTTTTACAAGTTAGTGGTGATTTCAGAGACTTAGAAACTGCTCAAAAATCTTAGACCAAATGTTGAATGCCTGTAGCCACAAATGAACATGCAAGGTTCAGTGAACTAGAGCCAGGAAGAACATTATAAAAGCGAACTCTCTACCTAATTCTTTATTTGGCCCACCTCCACACAAAACCAGTAGTTGGCCAGAGAACCAGTGAAGATCTGGGTGACAAACCTGAAGCTCTAAATTAATTCTCAGAGAACCATATGGTGGAGAGTAAGAACTCTGCAAACCTGACCTCTGACCTCTGTATGTGCTGTGACATGTCACGTGTCCACACACACACACACACACACACACACACACACACACACACACACAC